CTAACCCTAACCCTAACCCTAACCCTAACCCTAACCCTAACCCTAACCCTAACCCTAACCCTAACCCTAACCCTAACCCTAACCCTAACCCTAACCCTAAGTCTCTCGAAATTCGAGCTACTACTACTAGAAATATAATCTCTATTAGACTATAAATTATTATTAGATTAATAGCTAGATAGCCTAGCTTTAATAAGAGTAATTTCTTATAATACTTTTGCCTTTATAGTTATAGGTTTATAGTATAACTCTATTTCTATACAAACGTCTAAGGAAATTTCCTTTTAACGTAGTATTAATATTATAGCGTCTTAACTACTATTCGAGAAATAATTATTAGATAGTAGTTAAGAAAGAATATTATTATCTCTATTAATATACTATAAAGAATCTATTAAGAGTATATTAATAACTAGCAAAGTAGATTAAAAATAACTATAATAGAATTATTATTAAATATACTATTATATAGTATTAGAATATAATTACTTTATTAGAGTAGAATCTTAAGGTTTAGGTAAGGTCTAGTAATCTTTATTCTAAATTATATTAGTTAGGTATTATCTTTTAGATATTTAATATTTAATATATTATATTAAGTATTAGAGGTATTACCTTAATAGTATATTATAGACTAATAACCTCTCTCTCTTTTTCTTTATCTTCTCGCTAAAGGTTAGACTTCTTAATACTTTTTAGTAGAATATCTTAAAGAGAACTTATAGAATTATAAGTAATTTCTAAAGAGAGTTAGATAATAGGTTATATAATCGTAGAAGCCGAATTTACTAGAATAAAACCTCTATAAGTATAGGATTTATAGTATAATAGATAGACTTAAATATAGGTTATAACTTCTATAAGAGAAGAAAGTTAAAGCGAAGGGCTAGGCTATTATAGGCAAATTAGTAAAGAGAATATAGGTAATCTAGTTAAATAGAAGAGTTTATATATAGACAATAGACGTATTAACAAAGCTAGAATAGTAGAGAGTTAAGAGCTTTTCGACGTCGATCGAGTATAATATTAAGGTTAGATTAATAGTTAGTCGGTTAAGTTTAAAGAGAGCTCTAAATCGTTATTTTGACTTACTCGACTACTTAACTATATAACTTAAGTAGTTATCTAAAGTTAAGTCGATAGTTCTATTAGTATAGAAATATCTTAAATCTAAGTAGTAGTAGAAGGGTAAATTAGAGAGTTACTTTAAATTCTAATATTTAGAAAACCTAATCTTCGACGTCTTTCTTAGATAGTAGTAGTCTTTCTACGCCTTCTTTCTATACTATTAAGTCTTAGTCGACTAACTAGTTTCTTTTTAGGTACTATAACAAAGTTTAAGGGTAGTTAAAAGCTAAGAATATATAATTATTATAATATAAACTATAATTATATTACCTAAAGAGAGAGTAAAAGAGAAGAGAGGCGGTAGTAAATTATATATATAGGTCTAAATTAATTAGAGGTAAAATTTATATAATATAAATCTTAATAAGAAAGACTTATATATAATAATAGAGCGATCTAAAGTCGATTTTATAGTATATTAATATCTATATTACAAAATAATAAATTATAATTAATAGAGTTATAAGTTATTATTAAAGATAATAGTATAGTTTTTATACTATAGTAGTATACTACTTATATTATCTATATAGACCTAAATTATTTAGCGGTAGTTAGTAGCTATATTAAGAAGGTATTCTATCTTAAGTACCTCTACTTACGTATAATAATAGAGCGATATAATATTAATTTAATACTAAATAGATATCTATATTAAAAGATAATAAACTTTAATTAATAGAGTTATAAGTTATTATTAAAGGTAATAGTATAGTTTTTATACTATAGTAGTATATAGATTACGTATATAGGCCTAAACTATTTATAAGTAATATTATAAATATATAATAACTTAATATAAATAAGTTATATGTAACTATAAGTTAGTTTCTAGGTAGGTATAGTATATATTTAATATAATACTAAGTTATATCTATTTATTTTTAGTATTAATTAAGACTTTAGTTAATAGAGTTTTAGTAGAGTTATAATATTAACCCGAAGCCGTCTAGCTATAAAGCCGCCGCTAAACGTATAGACTATTATCTTTATTATAAAGTCTTTATTTTATTCTCTCTATTTTCTATTAGCTAATTTAAACTAATTAGTCTCTTTAAAGTTAGTTATAATACGTTCTACCTCTTCTATAAAGCTATAGTAGTCTATTATCTTTACTATAGTTACTATATATATCTAAATAGAATTTAAGAAGGTATTCTTAAGGTAGCTAATCTTAGTATCGCTTTCCTAGCTCTCTTCGCTAGTATATAGTAGAAGTTTATTAAATTCTAGCTAGTATTTATACTATAGTTAACCTAGAGAGTATTTTATATTCAATAGCCTCTCTAGGGCTTTAGCCTTCTTGTTACTATCTATAAAAGTCTTGTTAAGTTATATAAAAAATACTTCGAGCTTCTTACTATAAGTAGTATCTCTCTTTTTCTAGAAGTACTTTATTCTAGCTTTTTTCTAGAATAAAAGAGTATTATAGATAGCGTTCTAATAATACTCTATAGAGAGAGTTAGTTTTACTATAAAACTTACTCTATATAAGTTTTTAAGTCTTAAAAGGTAATTCTAAAAGGTATCTACTTATCTATTCTAGGTTAGTAGGTACTAATCTCTAGGGTCTAATAGTTATCTATTAGACTATAACTTATTCGCGTTAAGAGAGGCGATTAGAGCTCTTAAAAGGTTATTTATAGAGAGAGAGTTTTCTAACGTACTTAGTTAACTCTCTTCTTTCTCTCTACGTTTTTCTATAGAATACTCTCTTTTTAACTCGGCCTCTATCTCTTATTAGTATATATAAACTCTTTAAAGTACTTCTAATAACTTAGTATTTATTAATACTTATTATTATTATTTCTCGGTAGCTAATAAGCTTTCGCTAGTAGATAGTATAAACCTATTAGATTAGGGGACTTATCTTAGATCTATAATTAATCGAACTTAATATTACAGAAAAGCTATATATATATAAAGACTTACTTATAAGATTAAATAAGTTCGATAAAGAAGAGAGAAGAATTCTACTTAGAGCCTACCTTTTATATATAGAAGTATAGCGCTTAGTAGTAGTATTTTATATAGCGTATTAGAGTAGGGCCCTCGCTTAGTAAGTACTAGTATATATAGCTAGTATTCTACCTCTAGAGTCTAAACCCTTATATTCTCTATTTAAAGTAATAGTTTTTAGTAACTTATATTATTAGTAATAAGAAGTTATAAACTAATTAGTAACTATTTTAACTATAATATTACTTAATAGTTAAAATATAACTTCTTTTATTAGTCTATTTATTATTACTATAATATTTATATAACTATTACTTTTAGAAAGCTTATTACTAAAGTTAACTAAGAACTAAAAGTAGTTTAAAGAATTCTTACTATCTATCTCTTTAAACTTTATTTCTTCTATAGTATTATAGAAAAGTAGTATATATACTAAGCTTTCTTAAAGAATATAATAAGTTTAATAAAGAAGAAAGAAGAAGTTAACTTAGACTTTAATATTTAAGTATATATAAGTACTACTAAAGAGGTAGACTTAGAGTTAAGACTACTATAGTAGCTATAAAAGAAGAAAGGAGAAAGGCTTTCGCTATAGAGGAGGGCTGTAGACTTAGAGAATAGAAACGTAAAATAAAAACACTTAAAAATACGTAGAAGGTAAAGTGTAAGGAAGATAAGCCAAATAAGCTAAGAAGATAGGATCATGACGTGCTAGCATTCGAAGATGTAGAGGTTAAGCGAAAGGATCTAGGGAGTGTAAGTAGTAGTCAAAATACGATATTTATTAGTCGACGTGGCCAGAATACCTATATTTTGTCAATTAAGTTAACGAAACATACATATTTCGTCTACAGTTTTGAGGAAGTGACATTTTAGACTCTGTCTAATTTACTAAATATAAGTCAGAAGAAATATCAAGATAGTTAGTGACACTCTTGTCGTCTGTCGCAAGCCCGTCAGTGGAGAATTGATGAAGTAACGCTCTAGTGCTACTTTGTAGAGAGTCACATTTCTACTAGTGTATTACAAGATTAACGGGGCATTCATTAAAGGGTTAGACATTAAGACACTGCAGAATGCTTTTGAGCACTCCTCAAACACGCGTTATTCCTCTAAAAATAGAGGCAATATCGCATATCTACTCAATTGAATCAAGTAACGGTAGCATTTTGCGCAGTTTCATTGTCTGTCGAAGGACGTGTCCCGTCAGTCTTGTAGCACACTAGTAGTATCGGAGAATACTTTACAAAAAGAAGGATTTTCACGATTATCGCTCTTTGTCAGTGCGTCTTTAAAGTGAAAGCGCTAAGACTAGAAGCAAGTACATTTATTCATCTACATGTCTAAATCTATTAGCTATTGCGCCAGTGTCATGGAACGAAAACCAAGCTTACCCATCTGCGAAGTTCTTAGACTGGTTGCAACTCTAATATCTCATGAATGCATTATTCTCCATCATAGGAGCAGGCCGGAAAGCCGGGGTAATCTACATCGAGCGTTTCTATAATTGATATCCAAACCACAGGCACGCCAGCCTCGTATCCAACACCCTTTCCGACGCATCAGCCAAGGACAAATCAATCCGTCCATGTACAAACCTCCTCGGCCAGCTCTGCGCGCGCAGGTATCATAACCCGTGGGTGCTCCACCAACTCAGCGATCGCTGGTTGTTGTGTATAAACAAGTTCCTGAAGCCGTACTGGCTTTCCATGACGGATGTTTTACGCAGGCACCCCATTGTACAACCCATGCGACCGTATGTAATCAATGACCTTGGGTGGAAGATCAAAGACATCTTCCCCATTCTTGATCTGGGCGCGGATTCTCGTTGAGCTTACTTCGTTCTCGAATGAATTGACCTGCCAAATTTTGTCGTACTTCATCAAAGGCTTGAGAGCGGTGTTGATGTCCGTCTGAGCAGGCCGTTCCACCACAAACATGCCGTAGTCTCCAAGAATCTGCTCGAGATCCGCAGGATCCCACACTTTTGGATCGCCCATGGTCACAGCCACATCGGCGCCAACGAGTAGAGCTATTTGCGCCTTCTTGTAAATCCCGTCTGCGGTTTGTATGCCTCCCATTTCCTCATTGATCGCCTGGTCGAAATGTCGCAAAGCATCAATCGTGGTACTGTAAACTGGCTCACCAGCCTCATCGTGCCGTAATGCTTCCCATGAATCAACCATGATGTCCGTTGTGTCCTCCACCGCCAATGAGCACATCACCAGGCGATGATGCGCCGGCACCAAAGACGGCTTCTTGTAGGCATCACTGACGGGACTGAGGTAACTGCCGACCACTTCGAAATTCGTCTTCTTGTTGGCGTACTTCTCGGCCATTTCGAACATTTGGAGGTGGAGGATGGAGATAGGCGAGAAGCTGCCGCATGCGACGAGAACGAGGGGGGTCTTTTCCGGATTCGTCATGCGCCGTTTCAATTTGTTGTGCAGAAAGCTGTATGGTGTGCGCGATGTTATCGGCCTCGTAGGCTTCGGCAGTGTCTGCGTTTGTGCTTGTGGATGTGTTCCATTCGATTGCTGAGCGACATCTGTTCCATTCGGCGTTACGGAGCCCATCGTGGGATGTGGTTGAGGGGGGGTCGCGGAGGTCGCGGGGATGATGGCGTGGTATCGCGGTGGATGGTGGTGGATGGAAGATGATGTTGTGTAATGCGCCAGAGAAGGGAGATCTATGTCTTTATATCCAATATTCGATAACGAAAGCAGAATGAGTCGGAGCAGAATGAGTCGGGCCAAAGTTGGTATCTGAAAAGAAAGTTGCGCAGACGTGGGGTGTTCTCGGTGAGTGGGGAGGGGTAGAGAAGGCCGCTATCAGGTTACATAAGCCTGCTATGACTCCCCCCTAAACCCCTACACTAGCGAGACTAGGCAAGTCGAAGGAGATTAAGCACAAGGATCTGCCGCAATGCGACGGTACGTACTTGCTTATGCTTTGCAGCTAGCTACCTAGTAGTTGCGCAATTACTCACATGAATTACACACTTACTTAACATCTAAAGGTTTTGCTATGTAAAAGCACCCCTCGTTCTAGACTATCTGAGTATGTCCCATTCACTTTATACCCATACATAACGTATTTCTTTTCCTCTGAGACAGCCAACGCAACAGGAAATAGTGCAGATGTATACTGAAATTGTGGCTTTTCAACGTCCACCATGCCAAGGTCCCACAGCTACGGTAGAGGCCCCTCGATTAAGCGAATGACCCTTTGACAAAGGGTTTTGTACATGCGTCAAATATGTTGGTTCCTTTCTCAGTCGTCTTTGATCCAAGATAAATTACTTATCCAAAGCAGGTCCTGTTTACATCACAAAGCTACATGCTATTACATTATTACCTAACACTTCCATACCCAAATGGCAAACTCGGTAATGTGACCTGCAGCTCAATCCTGGGCGGCCCCGTCCGGTCATATACCTATTTGGCTGACGATGACTCCGTTAGACACTGCGCCTCCGAACATACTGAAATGATTACTATCTGCAAGCTTTTTGGAATTTGATTGTAGCTCTCTCTTCATTTAGACTTCCATTTACCAAAAGATAGTAGCGTTGTCAGGTGTTAATTCCTGTCAAAATTAAAAGACTATCCAAGCAATTGTGAATATCTTTAAGAAGCAGCCATACCAAAATAAGAGGACATCAGTTGTTAGTTCTGGTCAAGTTCAAAGAAGAATAATCGAATGTGAATATGGCTGAAATCGCACATGGCTAATAATTTGTACACATACCAACAACTCCTTTCTGATAAAGGCTCTGCCACGTATTTGCGATTGATTACCAAACTTCTTTTGCAAAATCTACATCTACTTAATTTGTTGTGATAGGTTTACTATATCACCTATTTCCAATAAGACTCAGCATAAATGTCAGGGAAAGATCGTTCAGAACACGACGTTCTTTACACCATTTTAATTGAAGAAGTGTCTCGCCAGTCTCGTAAAGCGCCGGTTCTCTGCCATGTTCTAATCAGCCGCCATTTTGATATGACTTGAGACAATTAGTTCGATCCATCTCATCGATTTATCAGGTTCGGTGAAATTGATGTTCGGATTCTTCAGCTACGATGAATTACTAAAATACCAAACTACGATAAAATATGCAGATTCCCACGATTTCACGTCCTCATCCTGAAACTATTGGACTGCGAGACAGAACTATTCAAGCTTTCCAAACTTGCGCAACGAATTCCTCGATGTCCTGAAGCAGGACGGATGGTCGTTCCAGTGCAGCAAAATGCCCTCCCTATATTGAGTTTATTAGTCTCTTTCCAGAAATTTATCGGATACAGGCAAAGTTCGGCACCGCTTACAGAATCATGTTGGCGATAGAATACCAAATCACCCGTTGTAGCCGCCCAACTCCTTGGTATTGGAGCAAGTTCTTTAGGGAACCAAGAAAACCCGAAAGGCTTTGTAATGTGCCATTTGGGATCTTCATGTGCTCCTACGTTTCCTGGCGTGTACAACTATGAAACGATGTCAGATACAGTGGCATGAAAGTTGGGTTCGAAGGCGATATACTTGACGGTAAGGATAAAGAGACGTCGGCAGCGTTTCTGTAAGCCAGTAAAGTGTCACAGACTCAAGAATAGTATTGAGTGGCGGATCTTCGTCAGTCCAGGCGAGGAATTTCTCTGCAATCCTGGTAGTTGTTAGCATTTTCTCTCGTCCATTGAGGAAACCTAATCTTAGGCGCTTACCATGCCAAAAGTGATAATGGATTACTCGTAAGGACGAAAGACAAAGTCCCTGGTTTGGTGGCATGCTGAAGAGCATACGAGCTCCCCAATTTCATGAACTCTTCCGTCCGTTTCAACCCTACTTGTTCTGGTTTCGTCAACTCACCCGAGACATCTTTCGGTTCTGGCATAATGCAAAAGTTTACTTCTCGATATCAGCAAAGGACATAAAGACACGCAAGGTTCCATACCATGAACACCCTTGCAACTGTCATGCTCAGCAGCCATGACGCGAGCAACTTTACTTCCCACATCACCACCTTGAACAAGATACCCGTTTCCAAATCCAAGATCTTTCATCAGCTTATCGAAGATTCGCGCTACATCTTCGATGCGAAAATCACGATCCAGAGGAGGCGGCGATGAGAATGCATAGCCGGGAAGGGAAGGAACAATGACGTGATATGGCAGCGTCTCTGGTGTGTATTTTTTCCGAAGCAAATTCAACATTGGTAGAAATTCTAGAAAGTTTCCGGGCCATCCGTGAAGGAGGACCACCGGCACAGCATCTGGTTTCTGAGAGATCAGTGCTGCGAAATGGATTTGGTGTGGTCCGGATTGGTCTGCGATGTCCAATGTAAAGTTTGGGAAAGAGTTTATCATGTCTTCCGTCTTGCGCCTAGAAGATTGAGTTAATGATTCGACCTGAAACATCCAGACACTGATTTACCAGTCAAAGCTCTCCCACTTCTTTTTCGCGTCTATCATCCAGTCTCGGGTTACTCCATACTGGCGACTTTCCATAGAAGTCTCGTATGTTTCCGGTGGGAGCTTGGAGAGTTTGAGAAGCTTGATCATGTCATCTATTTCATTTTGTGGTATAGCGACCTTGAAGAACGTGAGCCCTTTGGGGAGCCTCGCTGGAAACTTGGCAAATGCGTCGAGACTCATATTTCTTCTAATAATCTGGAAGATTTGACCTGTCAAAATTTGAATAAGTCCCTAACTGCGACAATCAAGTGATGAATTTCAACATCTGGACACAGACACGTACTGATAGATATATCGTTCCCGTGTCACTACAAGGGCGTATGTAGGTACATTTTGACCAGTAAGATCCCAGTAATCACAACGCACGCCTTTCCCAACACCCGGCTATCTCACGACGTCACAATGTCTGAAATCTCAATGATCCAAAGAATCTGAGTCATTACTCAGCCGTGACGTCCGGGCGACCTTATGCTCCAGATTATCAAGCAAGCTTTTATGCGCATGCAGAGCTGCAAGTCTACAGCACATGCAACCGAGTTTTATTTTGTGTTGACGAATTGTGCTTACTTTTGGCCGGCTCGCAGAGACAAAATAAACGGCAGAGCCTCTTTACTTGGTATAAATTTGTCGTGCGCTTTAGAGCTGTCAGGCGACTTGCAATACAGCTTTATTTTGAATAGAGTTGACAGGAGCGTATTTGCTCAAAACAATTGACGAAATATCATATAGTTCGTCAACTGTTCTAAGCAACGTGTTTGACTACTCTCATCTCGACCACATCGCAGCCGGGGTGGTAGATTTCGACTCGTGGGAAGTTTCATGTGAACTGAGTGACGATGACTTCTTTACTAGGAAGTGCTAGTAACAGGCATCGTTGTGAGACTAATTCCAACCATCACTCAAGCGAGGCCCCTATCATCACTAGTGAGGTGGTCTCCTATAAGTAACACTTAGCCGTCGCACATTTGCTTCTGCCACCTCGACATTTTTGGATCTGTCAAGAATCTTGCAATTTCGCTGTCAACTCTCTACAACACTGAACCCAACATCTCTCGCCATTCACGCCCCATCGCACATCAAAAATGGATACCGACACATCTACTCTGGCGCTGCCATTGATTTCCGAGAAGGATTACATCAGCATCTCAATTCCACCATCGGAAGTGCTCAAACAAGAAAAAGCAGAGGACGAAAAAACCATTTACGATTGTAAAGAGGAGCGACTTTCTGGCTTGCAGGGATCTGGAAACTCTATCACGCATGCTCAAAAACACTCAATGAATATCCCATCACGTGGTGCAGAGGATTCATGGTCTTTCACCATTGGACTTGGATGTTTTGCCATTATAATATTTATCTTGCTCTCTGCAACCTTCTGGTGGCAAACTCTCTTCATCCTGAGTGAAGATACTGGAACCTCGCCAGATCAGTTGTTTACAATAATAATCTGGGCCTCTGTGGTGGTCGGCTCTTTATTTACTCTTTTGGCCAGAAAAGTGTTCATCAACGGGAGGAGAACTGCCAGAAACATAGAGCCGTCTTTTGTGGCGGAAACGAAGATTATTCCGACAGATATCTTGCTAGAGCACGTTACCACGAATTTATACCAACCCCCACAATTTAAGTGGAATGAAATCGGGGATATATGTACTTGCGAGTATTTTGCCTATAGTCTTGCGAACCCGTCCCAGCCCGTCGCCTCCGAGTTCTCACTGCGGTCAATTCTTTTGCAATCGCTTTTCGGCTACTTATGCTGTGTCACTGTAGTCACCGCTCTAGGTTCTCTTTATTTTGGTGTTCTTATTCAACTATTATCTGGAGAACTGGATGTTATTTGGACATTTTTTACTTGGGATATTGCACTCATAGTTCAACTCTCTATAGTAATTGCTTTTACGTATAATATGCTGGAAGGACTAAGACAAAAGGGATAGATGGCACAAATGGCAGATTTTTCAAGCGAACCGAGGAAACATTGTTTGGAGGCTGAAGAAAAAGCGATAAAGAGGGAAAATATCGAGCTGTGTATTAGAGCTATATTCTACGGTGAAGAGAATACCCCGGAGGATACGAAGAAGGCGTGGGAGAAGTTCATAAAGCCTATCTTTGATGCTATCATTCTATAGATACGGAAATCTAAAGACCTCAAGTTCTTATAGATAAATGTTATATTCAATACACTTATCGTTCGACAAGTCGAGCTTTTTCTGCTAATATATTCGTGTAAATTGAACATAGATCCATCGGCAGGTATCTGACTCGTCCAGACTGATAGTTTCTCTAATCAAGCATTAAAAACAAGCCAGATTCCAATAGCTCTGAAAACATACCACTGAATAGGTACGAAAAGGAAACCAGTGGTAGAGTTTCGCGACAAGGCAAGTAAGTCAATGTAACAATCATAAGATTATCACAACCCAGCTCTACAACTTAGTGAAAAGTCTCACCTAAGATGTGACTCATCCCATCAAATTGTCTCATGTAACTCAAAGAACTATAGCAAGTTTTCCGAAACGTGACAATCCTCGCGGCAGACACAATCAATAGCAGAACCTTCCAACGGCTGGATTTACTTAAAATACAAATTAGAGAGAATGGATACTTCTACTCATTACCTCACAATAGGCAGTGTCAAACGCAAGGCAAGGATTTACACAAGTCCCAGTAAAATCTCACCAGCCTCGCTGTGAGCAAAAGTAAATAGTAGAACCTTACAAATCTTCTTTGAACCTCAGGCATAATTGAGAGAGAGCAACTGTGTCTACTATGGCTTTCATTTCAAGCAGAGTCTGAAAGCATTTATTTCCTGAAAATGATAGACGAATCCACGATATTTCGTCAACGTGGTTGAAGAAATATCTCGTTCTAAATGCTATTTAAATGAGCCAGCCAACCGATCCAGTAAGTAAAGGAACCCGAAGAGGTAGGACAAGAGAGTTTTAACGTAGCAAGTAAGGAGAATGGACAAGCGTAGCTGGGAGCTGTGGAGATCCAACAGAGTCACATTCCACAAAGCAATATCAGGGTCGAGAAAGGAACATGGAAGCGAAAATAAAATGCTTGTCACATAGCTGAAAACCATTGCCTCAAAACAGATGAGCTAATGTTTAGAATTGGGTATCTGTAATAACAACAAAAAATTACTTCCGGTCCCTTTCACGCTTTGCCTTCGCAACCGCTTTTTCCTGCCTTCTCCGCACTCTCCCCAAAACCTTTCCGGAGCGAAAATCATCTAATTGAGGAACCTGGAGTTGTCTCCACACATTGGCACCGAAAGCATCATTGAGTTGGGAAATGATCTCCTGGTAGCTTTCTTCTTGCCTACCATAACGCAACCGAAGGTTAAGTCTCGCGCGACGATTGTGTTCTTTTGTCGATATACCGGGACCATAGTATATAGTAAGTCTTGTAACCAAAGCCTTCCGGACAGCCTCCATGTTAATATGAACGTTTTTGGCAAACAGCTTTTGCAAAATTCTTATACCAAAAGTCATCTTACGTGGTGGCACAATGCGATATCGCCCAGGAGACTTAAGGCGTCTGCTGTTTAGCGCGTATATCTTTCTAGAAAACCCGAAGCGCATGCTATTTAGTGCGTGGATGAATCCCCATTCGACGAGAGCTTTTTGGAACGAAGCAGGGAATATGATCTTAAGTGGATGCAGTGGGTGTGAGTTTGGGAGCCTGGTTTCAAGCCGATGCCGTCTGATTACGCCACCAGCAATACTTTTAGGACTGTACCAAGTGGCCAGGAACAAACACAGCTTTTCGAGTTCAGCGAGTCGCCCAAGCATCCCAAGCCTTTTCATGATCTCTCGCCATACGCCAGGTGGAATGTAGCTGCCAGAATATGCTATACGCTTTATTGTAGAAAGAATGAACTCAATATCATCAGTGTCCTTTGAAATGGGCTTTTTACCTTGCCGCCGTGACCCACGGAAATATTGAGCAATTCGGAACAAGGAAAATCCACTGACAGGCGTCCCGTTCCGTTGCATCGAATCTAACGTAGCATGGAGTGCTTTTGTATCGCCTCGCCGAGCATGTAATCTGAGAATTAAATTGTCCTTTGTAATCTTGGGGGTCTTGCTGCGCAGCTGCTGTATGGATAACGTCCTCCTGTACTGGACCCAATCCTTGTTCTCGGCATAAGTTGACAGAAGAATTTCTTGAAGTGATGAATCCTCCAAAGTATCTGGATGCTGATCGCTCTGTAGCAAGCTCTCCAGGTTTTCATATTCTCTATCGTGGGCGAATTTTACCACTGCGCGAGAATACACAGAGGAACCGACTGAAATCCCCAGTTTTTGTAGCTGCATGATTCTCTCGTGCAATTTCATAAATTCAGGTTCACGCAGCGCGATAGCTTGCAGCGATAATGGACCAATTTCTTCAACGCCTAGAGCATGGATCGAGTTGATCGCAACATCTAACGAAACCCATCGTGTAGCAAACCACCGTGCACCTAGCCTGTCATTGTATGGCTTGGGACTAATTTTGAAATACGCTCCGTGGATTCGGTTCATCATTTCGCGGGTTACCTTAAGGCTCGTGCTGAGGCTGGGTGCAAAGGAAACGCCAGCATCTGCAATGCTCTGGGTAACTTTGATTGCATTCGGCATGTCATAAGCAGTAAGGTATGAAAGGAGTCGGTCCACGGCATCTCTTGAGACTGGTTTGTCCTCATGTTTCATGAAAAACATATGCCAGTTTACAGCAGAACCAAAGTCTTCCTGGTCACACAAGACATTGATGACGTTTGTATAGGCATTGCGATGAGTATTTTCCTCGTAAATTTGCTGGAGAGCCGAAACGTTTCCCTTTCGCATCACCACCGTACGGCACATTGCTGCAAAAGCGTGAGGCCCAGGAGGATGCCGAGATAACAGTCGTTCATGCCATTGAATAGCTTCCTCCCCAGTTCCGCTAATGAGAAAGTGCTGTATAACACGAACGTAGAGTTTTCGCCAGCGTACCGTTCGGGTGTCGTAAATCTCGTCCGCATATTGACAAATTTGCTCCAAAACTATAGGGTTATCGAATCCTAACTGCAGAAAGGTAGACCACATCCTGTCCGATATCGAGGAAGTGGTAGGTAGCTGGACATTTCTTGCACGGACTGCGTCCCAGAACATTTGCACCCCTTCTCTTCCAAACTTCCTGTAACGATGCTCTAGTAGCAACGCCCAAAGCGCCATATCATTTCCATGCTGGTCCGGGTCGAGCAGTTTGGGGGTATTCGTGACCTGAGTCAAATCCGATTCATAATCGAGCTGCGACACTGTAGACAATTGTTTCTGCCATGGTTCCTCCCATGGTCCATGAATACGAAGGTATCCTTCCTTTCTTGTGTAAAGCGCGCTCTGGTTAATGCCATTGCGCTCACCACTTGGTTGTCGAGAGTTTCCATCGCTCGTTGCGCTTGGTCGGCTGGTGTTTACGTTCTCGAGATCCTCAGCTACAGCCACCGCGGCAGCTGTGAATTGTCTAACTCCAGACCTGCATCGATATAGACATCGCCGCCGGCGGTTGTGATTTTCGGGGAGGAAGTGCTTTCCAGTCAGGTATTGTAAAAGTTCGAGGGAAGATGGCCTCGAAAGAAGCCTCTCCAGGGCGGGACGCATAATTCTCATCTGCTAAGACGCAACTGTTTCCGAGAGTATTTGCCATGGCCATTGCATTCTCGTTCGTGTGTGGTGCGTGTGAAGTGCCGTGTTCTTGAAGAAGTTGTCAACTCTCGTCTCCTTCGAGACAGCTTCGAGAATCTTGGGAGCTGCAGGTGGAGAACTGCGCTTAGTCATCCGGGCCGCTAGACAACGACGGAGCTTCAACAATCGACATCACACCACTACACAACCAGACCCAAACCTCACACACATCATCCTCTCTGCACACAGCATACACAATGGCAGGGTAAGTCCGAGATCCAATGCATCGCGATACTACGAAGCAGTCGCAACAGCCGCAGGGCCTCTCAATCACCCTTGAAATACCTTTTCCGAATAGCTTCGCACGACACCCCCTTCAGAACCACAGCTAATCGCGGACTCTGCAGCTTCGTCAACCGCGAAAACCGCGTTCCCTACTACCAGCAACTCTTCCAGGAGGGTCAGAAGAAGCACATCCGTCAATGGAACCAAGTACGTTACGATCCTCGAACTAGAATCGCGTTTGGGGATTGCAAACTGATCAGGGACATAGACTGCTCGAGGACGTGGAATGTTGCGAGTGTACTATGGTACCTTTATTATTACCACTGCTGGTAGGTTCATGTTGTGAACGATACAAATATAGTCGTCTTTAGCTTACAATTTTCAGGATCAATGTGGATGATGGGTCGCATGGTATTGGGACACAAGACCTGGTGGGGGAAATAAGTAACGAATGCAGTGTGATGTTCAGTCGAGGAAAGATGGAGGGGTTCAGGGTTCGTTCAAGAAAACATTGTACATTGGAAGCAGGCAGAGAATAGAGGTTCATACTGATACGATCAATTGAGTCGTTTCTCATTGTGATAAACTCATACTGCAGTTCTCAACAGAAGCAATCTTTCCCCGGTGTAAGGGTTTTATATCGATATGGTAAAGTCTCCAATAACATGCTAGGCTACAGCCGATTCGATGGCTAGCTAATCGAAATCACCCGTCCCATGGGAGGAAATCAAATATGGCCCCCACATTCCAGCACCCGGTGCCCTTATAATATAGAATTGATAGCCATACTCTGAGGCATCTCATCAATGGCCGTTCTTATTATCCTTCCACAGTATATCGGCAACATCAGCGTCCAGCCCTTCCATTGCATCGTCACCGAGATCTGGGAAATCCGTGGCAGTACCGAACTTTCGTTTCTTGGCACTGTTACTTGCCCCGGAGGCAGGCCTGCCATACGGAGCCGACAAGCTAGCAAGCAAATCGGATCCAGCAGCTGCAAGAGGGGCGTTTTGAGGGGCGGCCATAGTATGCGCCGAGTTGTGCGCCCCATTGGCAGCATTTAAGTCGAAATCAGATACCGGTTCTGTTTGTTGTGCATGAGGATACCCAGGTGGTGTCAGCGCTTCTACTTCAGGGCGATCCGGCTCTGGCGCTGGCGTGACTGGAGAATGGCTTGTACCAGGTGATCCATCGGGAATGGCGGGTGTGCCTGGGTTACTATTTGGAGCAAATCCGCGCATTATACTGTCTTCCACTTCGTTGCGTTTTGCATCCGTCCGCTGCCGACGGGTTCGAAGTTCCATGAGCTGACTTTCTTCTGCAGCCAGTGCATCGCGATTCGCCCCGAGAATTTTCTCCAATCCATCTATAAGAACGTTTCGCGCCTTGATACTCTCGGCGACAGCGCCCTCAGCGTTGGCTAAGACTTTAAGGAGACCATTGAGCCGAGCCGCGTGTACTGGTGCAGATGGAGTAGGGACCGATGGATCATTAACTCTGTCGTATTCTTGATTTGCGGCGTTTAAAGACGTTTTCGTGGAAAGGACCAGCTGGGAAATGGTCTGCTGTGGTTCAACGAGGGGGGCCAGTTCGTTTGGAACGGCACTTGATGCAGTCGAACTCGTGAATATAGAGCCACCCATTCGTTTGCCACCTGAAGATCGGGTCTTATCTAGTTCTGCGAGACTTAGCATATGGCCTTCCATTCCATTGAGGGGTCTATACCATCAATCCTCGACTCCACGGAATCTTGTATAGGAGTTTCAAAGATCTGCCGCTGCCTCCACACTTCCACCACCCTTCGTAGCTTCTGCTGTACCTCGTTGGTTGCTCCTTTATATGCAGACGCTGTGGCTTCGGCAATGACTGGGGAGAAAGCTTTCAAGAATTCGTCCTTGCGCCGAGCTTTCGATTGTTGTGCGACTTCTGTAGCAAAATGATATCAGCATCGACTAGTAGAATACGAGGCTGAAGGGATGTTGCAGAGACATACCATTCGCAAGATAGATCAAGTTCAATCTCTTGTTGCTAGAAGAATCCTTCAACCTCTGCAGCCATAACTGTCCAGTACGGTCCGCATGTCTCCTAGATTCGATTCGTCAATTGAAATCGCCATTTACCTCAAGCAACATCTATCCATACCTATGAAACATGACCCATTGAGCGACAGTGACCTGCGACTTGTTAGTTTAAAGCAGCAAACGCAGGACGTGGAACATACGATACTCTCCTGCGTCTCATTCAAAGCTGAGAGTTTTGCAAGCACCGCATCATCGGTATAGGACATATTGTAGCTGGTGGCGTTTGTTTCACGAAAGACCGGGAGGTTTGCGCAGATATGTGAAGCTGGTTGATGGCACTTTGGAGCTGCTCTGATGACTTTACAGCTGGAACGCAATTACGATGTTAGGACCAGGAATCAACTCAAGGGTGACAAAGGGCGAGGTCTGATTGAGCAATATTATCTGCTCAACTTCAAAATTTTGTTTGATCAACCCGAGTCTGGTTGAACGGTTCGTGCACTTGAAGATATAAATCTGGCAAATTCAAATGTAATGAAAACAACATGGAAGCCCGAGGCAGCGGCAGCTCCCAGCTTCCTAGCGTGTCGCCTTGCATTATTAGCATGCAAGATTGCCTTCATGCCTGGGGCTGCCACTCGCTTAAACGCCCCACTCCAAACTCCCCCCCGTTCCCCGTCTACTTTCCTACATTTGGTTATACAATGCAACTTGCGATCCTCATCTATCTTGCTAACCCTGTATTGAATTATCTCTCATTGAGGCCAAACGAATATACGATCAATGGATAAACTGTTGCTGCACTAGTGTGTTGTAAATCTGACGGGAAATTCCTTCATTTAGAAAAACGATGATTTAGGGAGGAAACCGTATGTTTACGTTATTTTTGAGCCACATATTTGATAATACCTCTGTTGTAACAGGAAACCTGTCAGGAAGGAGTGTTAGTAAAGTCAGTTTCCGATATCAATATACTTGGAGGGTGTAGGTCCGTCTTACCTTACACTGGTGATGTATCATGCCCGAACTTTTCTTCATGTATCCTGGAGTACGAGACAGAAACAAAAATTAACTTCGCCGGCAATTCAAAGGTCGAGACATGGGATTGGACTTTTTGCAAAATGGCTTGTTTTCATTCTGTATTATGCTGGTGCCAAATACATCGGGCGCCTCCCCTATTCAGCTTGTCTTTCTCCGGTAAAACTACCAAACGTGAGCTGCGACAACGTCCCATGTTTATCAAGAAATTCACCAATGTTTTGTCGTTAAGTTCCCCGTTTTCCCACTCCTTTTTACAAGCAAAATTGAGAGTGCTGTTTCCAAGTTTGGCCACTTAGTAGACTGCAAGTATCTTGATCCATCATCCATGCGTCATGCCACAGATCTTCGAAACCGTTTTTCTTTTAGGAATTTTCTCTGGTGGTGTAGCTTCGATTGCAATACTAGCAATCAAACCGGTTCCTTTTCAACTTCAGCCCAGGTAGCGTACCTCATTATTGCGCATGCCTTCAGTCTTTCGCAGACTAGATAAATCCACAGTTGGGATCTCATTATGCTGAACTCATTTAGTCTGTCGTCGTCGGCTCTGCAGGCTTGATGAACCTGGGCGAGTTGAGCATTAGTGAACTCTCCAACTCTGATAGCGCAGATGGTTTCGCGAGAGTTGAGGATGCTTTCGGTCGGAACCAACTCGCTTGTTGCGGTCCACGTCCCTAGTGTGGGTGACTTGTCAATGGTGTAGATCCAGTTCTCTTGTAGATTGTGTACGAAAACGAATAGACACCATTGCCATTCTCCTATGCAGTTGTATCGGTCGTGCGGCTTTCCAACGCAGCGGTGCTGCTCGCTTCGAAGAACAAGATAGAGCGAATTGGGTTCAAACTTGCCCTCTCTATTAGGTTTCTTTGGTGAGGTCTCTTCTCTTTGGTACTGAGTAAGTTGCCAGTTGGTGTAATTGGGATTGAACATCTTGAGTCCTTGGATAGCGTCTGCTGTAGACAAGATCTAAAGTTGTTCTAACAGCACTAATAAAGTGTCTAGGTGGTAACAAAGAGCTGGACGGGAGATATTTGTTCAAGATATTTGAGAAAAGAGGAGAAAATAATCCATTTGAAACTACTTACAGGCATCGACATATATATGGCCGAACAATACTGCTGGTGAAGGATGTTCACCTAGTGTTGTTTGAACCCTATTTGTTTATTCACGTTAATAAGAGAAGCGAGATTTGCTCAGGGGTATCCAGTATTGAGCAGTGAACTGTCTATAAAATTAGCTTTTGCGCACCTATTCAGTTACCAGTCGCCCTTTACTTGCAAATCAGATAAGAGAATTTGAATTAAATATTCAGTGATTGGTTTTGATTATTACTCAATATTGTAAAGTTTCCACGAATGTCAAAGCACTGTTTCTATCTTCACTAGGTTGAAAAGCTGTTTCATATTCAGGAAAATTTAATCAGTGTTATGGTTTCTATTTAGCTCGTGTCACGTATTTCAATATAGAGTTCTGCTTGTTCATTTTACAGCTTTATAACATCCTGTGAGGAGCAATAGACTTCAAAGAAGCGGAGTGCTTAGAGTAAGATATTTGATATATTTGCCAGGTCTGAAGTCTAAGGTTTTCTACCTCACTCGCGATAAACTTACAGCGTGGCTCATGCCCCCAATAAATTATTATTTTGTTCATTAACAGTTCCTTTCAGGCTCAGAACATTAGTTTAAGTTAACTCGTTGCTGATGAACTGATAGGTTATACTCTTTTGGGATCTTCGTAGCTTGAGTGTGTCATGACGGAACCGCCAATTTTGCTGTCAAAATTCTTTCCTAAATTTGAGTACAGCGCATGTGTAAGAGTCTACGTGTTGTCTTTTTCGAATTTCATCGTCACTATATTGCAAGTAGTAAAGTCGAGTCCTCGGACAACGTGTAGCTATGACAGGTGGTCTTGACAATACAAATAGCGTAGCCAGATTGTTACAGAGCTAAAGTAATATTGATTCAGAGGAACAGAAAGCTTACGCCATTCTAGACTCATGTCATCTACATTTAAGAAGGGCTACTTATCATGAACAACAAGGCTTACATGATCCGGTCATGTCATAATTTTTGAGGAACAAACTATGAGTTCAAAGCTACATTCTACAACGGCTGAAAACACCAGCATTCACTAACGTGTATCATCACAGGTATTTCTTAAATGAAATTCTAAATAATACATCACAAAATTCTCGAAAAATCTGTAGGAGAGAGAAATCTAGCGTATGAAAAAGGTCAACGTGGTGGAAATAGTCAAATCTATCGTTTATTCAACGGATGACGAAATCAACAACATGAGATTTATCTATTTAATGTTCTCGCTGTAAGCAATCCTCGTGGCCCTGGCCTATTGACTTCTTGAGTATTCTTCTAATTATACTCGCTGACTTTGAAATGGAAACCAAATCTAAACATCTTTCATTTTCTGAAAAGCATAGACATATTCAACTGCAATTCTTCAACTCAATTGACCAAATATGTATATTTTATCAATCTTCCTAAGTAAGTATGTGATATCGACAGCTACTCATTTTGTCTTCCCACCCCGAGATTCGACCTAAGAACCTCATCGTAAATCAAATGGAAATAAGAAGGCTATGACAACAGTGAAAAGTCCGAAATAAGATAGTTGGTGGTATATCAAGTACTTTCTTGGAAGCGGCTTCTTTTTCTGAAACGTTTCAATGTATGCTTCTACCTTCACAAGCACTCTGAGTTCCACCTAGTCAAAACTATTAGGGGTTATTATGATAAACACGGATCAGTTATTTAAACAAAACAGTTTACTACGATGTATTCCTAGTGAATATATCTTAACTAATTCAGTTGAGAGCTGACTTGATTTGTTCACGTCAACCGAGTCCCAGAATGGAGGTAACGGGGTAGGGAGAAGTTTTAATTAGTGAATTATGTCTTGAACAAATCTAGTGTAGATAATCTAATCATATAGAATACTTCTTGTAGCAGTCGAATCCCAGTCTCGTGCCGGTCAGTTAGCTTTTATCCATCTGCCAATTCGATCCTGATTAAACGCTACCAAAATGAAGGGGATAGATGTAGCACCGGAAATGCTAACTATATTGAGATTAGCAAATCAAAATGCACGCTAATATCGTATCGCGGGATTCTTACGCATATATTTAAGTACATAACCCAGTGAAAGCTTCCCGTCGCTGTTCACAGGGAACGTTTCAATGTTAATTGCGAAGAACGCAGCCATAAACGAAAGTGGGAGCTGCACAGCCATTATCAGTACCCTAAAGAAGTTGAACACAAATATAAAAGCTTAAAAATATGATAGTCACGACAGTGAATACCAATACTGTCTTCCCTTGTCTCGTTGCTTCTGCGGCTTCGATAGCACCAAGTCTGGCTTGTTCAGCTGTGAGCTCAGCTTGGCGGGTCGCTTCCGCCGCTTGTCGTGATGTGTGTTCTGCTTGCTTGCGGGCAGAGAGAGCTTCGGAAATGCTGGCTTCCTTCTGCTTGAGATTGAGAAGATGGTTAAGCTGATTGCGTAATGTTAATATACCGCTGTCAAATGCTTCATAGAATGATAGTGAAATACGTACAGAATCATATGTCTTCTCTGCCAGCGCCTCCATTTTTGCGATGCGGTACAGATGGTTTTCTAGCACTCTGTTCAGTTTGAAATCTGAATCGTGTCCCTTTATGTCTTCACCAACGCTACTCTTCAGGATCGCTTGAGCCAGGTCTCGCATAGTTGATGCTTGGTCATTTAGTATCATCTGTAATATACTTAATTCATCACGGATATCCTTAATCTCCACTAACAATTTCGTTTCTTTGGAGATATCAAAGAACGTAATCGGTCTCTCGTCTGCAACAGTAAGCTTTGCCAAGTTCGTGGTAAAGCTGTGGAAACACTGAACCTCGCCCTCAATCTTTACCTGTTTAGTACGATTTTGTTATCGTTAAAGGTTGGAAAGACCTACTACTGTTCCAATGGACCGCTCGAAAAAGTCAAAGAATTGAAACTCATTCGGGACTTGATGTTGATCGAAAACATTCGCACAAGATTGTGCGATAATACCTGCGAGATCATATGCAGTAGTGACAGGCTTTCGTGCTGATCTTTGTAGATGTTTTAAGATTATTTGATGGACGTCTAAGGGATCATCTTGTAATTTAGGTAGGCGAATTTTCTGCTCCTCGGTGACGTGGGACACAGCGCCTGAATCTTCCAGCCAAGAATGCCATCGCTGTGGACTGCAGCTTATCACCGTATCTAAATGTCACTGTTAGACTGGGACACTTTATCCGTGACAAGACTTCCCTTCGTTTAAGATCCATAGCCAAAGTTGATCAACCATGAATAATTTTGGTTCCGAGCTTTCCTTGGTGTAACGATAGACTACCTGGTCACTGTCTCTATGTGATGTGGTTTGAAGATGAGTATAGAAATACTGATCAAGTGTACGCTGGGGTTGGAGAGAGGGAATGCCTCCGACCTTGTTGGCTGGCAGCAAATACCCCTTGATAAGGTGTTCGTTCAAAAGGTCCGCCGTCATTCGATTCGGAGGGCCTGCCGTAATCGCTTTTGGTGTTTGATTCATCTTTCCAGCTGCCTTGTCATGTTTGTTCTTTGGATCTTTGATTTCGGGGTGTTGAGCCCGAGGACCAAATATGGTAGACTCTTTATCTGCATCCGCGCGTCCCGAGCTTGACGGCTCCGGCTTCCCCGAAAGAAATTTCAGTACTGGCGAAACAGTAGGTATTTTTTCCCGGGGCTTTCCTTCATGCTTTGTTGATGTATGAGTCGCTTGGTCCAGGGCTTTCGTGGTTTGAACCACAAGGTTCTCTCTACCAATCTCCCTGATCGGTTCCGGGCGTGCCTCCATGTTTTCTACACTGCTTCTTGCATTATCTTCGACTTGGGGACCCTTGGCCTTAGATTTTCCGGCCACTCGTGGAATCTTTATCAGTTTATCTTCCAAATCGGCTGGGGTTCGGCCAAGTTCTGCCCTCTTATACTGGAGGCTCCCGGTCGGATGGTAATCTTCTATATGTTCACAGGCTATGATTGTTTCATTAGCATGAGTTGTCTCAACATTGCCATCTCTGGAAGATGGGAAACCGTTTCTGGTAATGTGGCTCGACTGTTCTTTTAGCTTTTCTTTGAGGTCTTTGAAGGCGAATCTTAATTTTGAGGTTCCCCGTAATACGTCTTTGACCTCTGCATTATCTTCCTCTTCATCGACGCTTAAGCTAGAAGCGTTGCTCACTGTACTTGTTTCAGGCGAATCTTCTTCTGTAGCGACGAAGTTAATTACGCCAGGTGAGTTGAGAAAATCTGGGGAAGCCTTTTTCTTTTTTTTCGCTTTCCTCATGAGCTTGCGAAGCAGCGATCTCTTCGCTATCTTTTCTGATTCAGATTCAGCTTCTGAAGGTGTTTTGTTGAACTCCACAGGCAACCGATTGTTCCGATCCTCCCGAAGCTTCTTCGTATCGGCCCATAGCATGTCTTGCTCATATTCGGGGACCCACCGTTTGATGATAAGGTAATCTGGATTAGCCTTGTCTATGAAGTGAGGTACTGCGTATCTGTTTAAAGTCTCAATACTCAAATGTTTACGAGCCATCCGTGTGTAAGTAGGTCTGTCCGGGATTCCGGTTCCTGGTCCAAACCCCCTAGCGCGGTCTGTGTGAAGCTTCGTTTCCATTATGACTTCAGACATCTTTTCATATGCCGACCTAGTCTCAAAATGAAGAAATGGCATCTACAAATTTGTCAGATTCATGACCATAGAAGCGTACTTTGGGCTTACAAATAACATTACTTGATCACTGCTGTTACTTCCAAAAGAAGTGTCAGAATCGGGCTGCCAGAAGAAGTTAGCCCGAGTGCGAAAGGCAAACTGAGATACCGTGCCTTAAAAGTTTGGCACAAAGGCCTCATGAAAGATGAATGAGCATTTGAAGCCCCGTACTGTTGGCTTGCGGCATTAGTCAACCCGAGATTTGATTTGAGTTCTTCACTAAGCCGGGCGGCCCCAGATTTGCGCTCAGCAGCTAATCTACTAACCAAGGCCTGTATCAGTATGCTAGATAAATTCTCAAAGTCAGCAGAAGATTCTCAATATTTGGTTTTCTTCCACAGTAATAAGTATGATTGAAATCAATGTACCTCGACCCATGCAATCTGTGCCACGATTAGATTCTCAAACGTAAACTATAAGGGAAGACGACTTGCATTATTTGCAGGCAGATGATACCACCTGAACGAAGGCTGATCTCCAGTCATCTCAGCGTTCTTAGTGGAACCCATAATTGCTTCCGGTCCTCTGCCATAGAGAACATCGTAAACGGAGGCTGTCATTTGGACTCTATGTTCCCGCCCCTGAATATGAAAGTCCACTATGCTTGCTTCAAAGCCATGGCAAGCCTTCAACTCATCTTCTTGCTCTTGTCCAGGCGCGCATGGAATATGAGCGAAACGAAAATTTGATTCATTCTTTGAGATTGTTGGTCCCTGGATGAGTGGAGGAGCCTGCAGCAAACTTAACATCGCTTTGTCGCCCCCCGCAAGATCTTCCACTGCTCTGCCATCGTTGACTCGCATACGTTTGTTTGCTCCATGCTGAAGTAATAACTCAGCAATCTCCAACCTGCCGTGTCTAACAGCGCTGAAGAGTGGCGTGTAACCATCTGAAACTTTCATGTCAATACTTGCCCCTCCGTCTAACAAGGTTTTGGCAACGGCAATATGCCCATTCTGAACAGACTCATAAAGCGCCGTGCTCTTGTTTTCAGCATTGAGCGATTCGACATTTGCGTTGAATTGCAACAACAAATCAATCATAGCCTGATTACCAGTCCCCGCTGCAAGGTAGAGAGGCTTGTTGCCATTATCGTCGACGTCTTCGATATCGGCGCCTTTTTCCACGAGAAGGCGCACCACTTGCCAGTGACTGTGATTAACTGCAAGATGAAGCGCAGTCTGCCCATTTCGAGTCTTCGCTTTCAGATTTGCGCCCTCTTCTTCTAACAAAATCCTTGCCAAGGCTTCGTTGCCCTCCTGGGCGGCTTCCAATAGCAGGGAGCTCTGGATCTCGTCCTCGGTCTTTCCATATTTTATTACATCCATTGCATAAATGAATCCAAGTAAAAGTCGCAATCTCAGAATTCTGTGGGTTCATTATTGTCAAAATTTCAAAAATCTGTGGGGTGGTCGGTTTGAGCTGAAAGGTGCATGATGCCCGCAGCAAGCCGTCAGCTTGTATGCGGAGGAGAGCACCCGATATGGTCTGTCACTCTTGGGTAAATAACAAGCCTATCAGAAACATTTTTATTGCCGGGATTACTGAAATGAACTCCTTCTGTCTCAAAATAAATTTTCTGTATGAATCATCAGCAACTTGAAAGGGCATGCTTGGTTGATATTAGATCGTTTGTGTTGTTGATGTTTGAAAGCGAGAACAATCCAGATAATGACTTGGAAGCACAGGTTCATTAGCACTAGAAATGTCTGACACTACGTGTAAGTTATTTCGGGAGTGCGTCAATATAAGACTAGATGAGAAAATACATTTTGCTCTAACAAAATCCTTGCCAAGGCTTCATTGCCCTCCAAAGCAGCTTCTAGTTACATAGGGAGCTCTAGATGATAGAACAGGTCTACTATAGTGTATTACGTAGAGGTGTCGGGCCAGATAATCTTCTCTGATTTTCGGTAGCGCCGTAGTAAACGAAGGGTGTTTTCCGAGCAAGTTACCGCATCACCAGTGCTTTACAAGACTAACGGGGAACACACAAAGTAGAACAATGTCAAAATCCACTTTTTTAACATTCCTTTCTCCATATGTATAATGAGTCTTATCAAGAGGGACATTCTTATTAATTTAATTAGGGAATTTAAGTAAAAATAGCCGTTAAAAAAGAATGTCGCTAATCAACGGTGACTAGGTCTCCTATTAGTCTTGCAAAACACTAGTACATATACTATATATATATATCTACAACTAAACCTTAGATGGTCTTATTACTTATTGAAAGTTGTCTATTACTAAATTATCAACCACCCGAACCCAACACAAAAACTAATTAAAATCCTCCACCAAACTCCATGATTCCAAGATGACCTCGCACGGTTTTGCATGTTATAGATCAAGGCCCCTAAGCCATTTACACTAGCACACTCCTCAGGTACTGTTAACGTCTGTGAAGAATGACTCGCAGTTACCGTGAGGTATATAGATAACACAGGTGATGTCAGACTACCTGTCCATGCCCTGACACTGGCATGACACTTGCTGTACCAGTTTCTGCCCCAGACGGAGTAATCCCTGTCTCAGCCGCAACTACAGCAAAGTGCAGGACTCGCATATAGCAAGATCGTAGTCATAGCCCCTCCCGGAATTTGTATTTCTACCCCTTCATCTTTCAATTTGGCGACTTGGTGTCCGGCAATTGTAGCTGGTGGTCCGGAGTGTGTAAGCGTTTACTCGTCAATTACACACTTCGACGGCGAAATCACGGAAAGTATGTGTATTTCTCCCACCACTGTTGCCGTTATTTGAGGAAGCGGATATGCAAGGGTTAGTGATGGTGGAAATTCTGGGATTGTAGAAGTAATGATGATATCGTTATTACTCATAATTACCCCGGACAATGAGAGAGAAATGCTTCCCAGGCCTGGCACGAAGGTTGTGATTCAGAGTGGCTGCCCCTGTAGGCCAGAAATGTAGCTTTACGGTGCCCACCGATCTAAACACGTCAGTTGGTCTTGCATTTAGCTTTAATTTAGTCTTCTTACATGGCACACCAGGTTGAATAATCTGCATCTGTAGCATACGGACAAATGTTATATGGTATATTGGCTTTGTTATAGTAGTACCTCGAGCCCTTGCTGGAAGTCGGCGTTCCCTGCACTTGGTGATCATCAACACCTCCAAAGGCCGCAGCATTAGGCGGTTTGGTGATGCTTGGTGAAGGACTGACTATAGTCGACATCTCCTTCGCGGTTTCCGATTTTGTCAGTTCTGTGGCTGAGCTCAATGATATGGAAGCCATGGACTCGGTCGATGTCGAAGGGGGGTATGCATTGTGTGGAGACGTTATCTTGGTTTCGAACGTCAGGCTTCCGCTCGAACTAGAAATGGCTGACGAAGATGTGGAATTCAGAGTTCTCGCCGAGGAGGACGAGGTTGGTAGAGAAGCAGAGAGCGACGGAACCGAACTGTGATCAAGGCTAGTTCCATCCAAGAAAGCTCTAACACCGAATGTCTTCGGAAACATTACTACGGGATTGTCATTACTACATCTGTCGCACTAAAGGGAGGAGAGAAGGTGCCTAACCACATAGTAGCCCCGATGGCAACAATAAGAAACCCCACAATAATAGCGCTGCTGGCTGTAACATTGTCGCTGCTTAGGTAGTGGACTAAGCACAGCTACCGTACTTATTGGTCTTTTGCCAAAGCACCAACAGTTGGAACCTTCAAGCTTTTGTCTCGACATGATCGATATATAATTGTCAAACGGTCCATCAAAGTATGATTGGTGACAGCCACATGACATTCATGAGAGCCTTAAGCATAGGTACTTATGCCATCTTAACAGCTCACAATTCCTTCCGGCGTTACCTCTGCGAACAATCCAAAATAGGATTCAATAGATCCATCAGCCCATAAAGCACGACATCTTTTCAATTTAAAGAGCACTTTCGGAATAACTTGGCGGCAGATTGGGGGCACTTCGCCTGCTGTTGCCCACACCAAGTGCTCGATAGCGAATTGATGCAAGGGACATCGCAGGAAATTTTTTGAGCGCCAAGTATGTGCTGCTTACGGTACACTGCCGGATAAATATTAGCATGCCAGTATTGATGATGCGTGGGTGTGCGATTCGCACAACTACAAGCCACTGAGAGCCCCAATATGCGGGCCTTCTTGCATGGTAACGACAGCTACTACAGCCTCATTTTAGCTAGGTTGATTTGAGATATGCTTAATGATTGCTGAAGCTTAGTGTCAGTGAGATATGTAATCAGACAGACATTTGTTATTTTACCAGTATTATTACACCAGCTACCGTTTCCATCATACTATTACAAACAACGTCAAAAAAACCGTACTGGAAGACGGTTGATGTGTGAGAATTTGACTGGCTTTCTCAGGTCGGCCCCAAAATGTATTTGGAGGATCGCTCGGCTAAGTCCCTCTTGGAGGACAAGATATGACCTGCTCCCTGGGCTCTGGACAAAATACGTTGAGTTTGCATGGTGTTTAGAGTCTCATTTGCCCAAAATAATTGACGAAATATCTGACAATGTGCCAATTTGATACACTAAATGAACAAAATGCGTCAATTATTGTGAGCAAATATCGTCTTTCGACTACCACTTATTCTGTCCTGTGCGAGGCACCCACCCCCTTATGAGGTGTCGTGGGGCCTTAAAACCCGAGGCGCATATACACATGCATGTAATACCGGACGCCGCTGGAGTGAAGTTATGTTCTACAAGCAGCAATATTGTAATACCTCATGGCCATGTCCTAACACATAGAACGAGGCCTGGCAATCGCTCGCTCGCTCACACCTTGAAATTCTTCCGGTCTTTAGGAAACAACAGGCTAGCCTCCTGAGCCTTACGTATGCTTTCTCTCAGCTTGGACTAAATCCTACATTATAATTGTCGTGTGGAGGCAGGAGTCCAGCAACTTTGCCCTTTCCATCTTTCAAAGTCGAAACGAAAATGGTGTATTTCTCTTTAGTAGCATCATGCTTCATCCTCGTTGCTACAGCGGCTCAGTCGATCAAGCAACGACCTACATCACGAAATACAAGTGCTGCACCGATCGTGGTGCAGTCGAGCCAATATTTGTAGAGTTTTGATCCATCCTCTGCTTTCGTGTCAATTGCTGACAACATTTCAGTGACGGCGACAATGGCAATTGGAGTACAATCGCCATCCGCGTCGGCACCCCAGAACAGACCGTTAGAGTCTTTGTGTCAACAAATTCCCCCATCACGGCTGTTGTGCAACCTGCTGGATGTGAAGCCAAAGCGAATCCTACAGGAGTGCCTGTAAATTGTGTTGATTCCAGAGGAGGCACGTTTGACAGTACGAAATCTTCAACCTGGAATCGGCGTGGTCATTTTGAACTTAATGGGGGGAATGGCGTGGGTTTCGAAGCGAATTTGGGATATAGCTTAAATCTCAACTATGGCTTAGATGTTATAGCACTTGGGTATCGGGATGGCGTTGGCTCTCAGAGACTATCAAACCAAACGGTTGCAGGCTTTAACCTTCCTGACCCGTTCTACTTGTCAGTTACTCGGCTCTTGAATCTTATCTAGGACAGCAGACTTACTTATCCGTATAGAGGCTTCCTCGGTATTGGGGTCGAGCCCGTGATATATAAGGAATTTGGGAATTACTCGGCACCTTCGTTTTTTGAACAATTAGCTATTGACGGTCTGATCCCAGGGCTGAGCTGGAGTTATACTGCCGGGGCAGCTTATCGTAAGCTTGTTTCTCATTATCAACGCTAAAATTGATTCTTACCTCGAGTCAGGTCTTTCTGCGGGTCAAAGTATGCAGCTTATATTTGGTGGGTACGACGCCTCGCGATTCATACCCAATAATGTTCACTTCACCCTCAAGGAAGATTCTACTAGAGACATTGTTGTTGGCGTACAATCTATCTTGTACGCAAAACGAGAAACAAACCTGACGACTCTGTTGCCGGATCCGATTTACGCATTCGTAGAATCTACAGATCCTAATATCTGGCTTCCAATCGAGTCGTGCTTGTTATTCGAAAAAGCGTTCGGTTTGACCTGGGATGAGTCAGTATCTGAATATTCTCTGAATAGTACGCAACACAATACTCTTACAAGATCTAACCCCACGGTCACTTTTCGACTTGCTGCCAGTACAACTGGGGGGGCTACAGTTGACATTATACTGCCCTTCCAGTCTTTTGTACATCAGTACCCTTCCGTTCCAAACGCTACCTATCAATTTCCTCTCCAAAGAGCTAGCAACCCGTCACAATATACTTTTGGCCGCATATTTCTCCAAGAAGCGTACTTGACTGTCGACTACGACCAGGGAAACTTCTCGCTGAGCCAATGTACTTTTATCGACGGCGCACCTTCTCGAGTTATGTCAATACCTGGTACCTCAGCTAGCAATGAAAGTGGAAGTGGAACTGGAGATGTGCCTAACGTACCAACTGGAGAATCTCCGAGGCGGCCCATACCGATTATAGTCTCTGGCGTCGTTGTTCCCACGATATTCATCATAATAATATGCGCTGTAGGATTCTGGTTCTGGAAGAAAAAGCAGAGAGACAAGAAGCGGAAGGCGGGTGAGTCTTCAGTGGGATCAGCGGTATCCGTGGGAGTAGATGAGACTGCGATGAATAATCCAACGACTGGGCGTCTTGTTGAAGTCGATGGCCGCGATAAGACACGTGAGCTTCCAGAGCTTCCAGAGCTTCCAGAACATGATGCATCACATAAACTTGCTAGTAATGATGTAACACATGAACTTGCTAGCAACGATGTACCACATGAGCTTGTCTGAAGCCCCTAGAAATGAGCCCAGGATCTGAAAATTATGCTGCGGGGATCACTGCTCGTTCGGCTGAGGGAGATTTCATAAATTACTATACAACCCCGTACAAAGCTATTATTAATAATAAGAATTCGTCAACTTTCGACAGACGGTAGAATACTTACAATAACCCCTAATAATATGATTTAATTCGATCATTATTATTCTATAGAGTAAAGTGTCCTTGTTCTCATATTCTCAAACTTGCAGTCCCCCTAGAGGAAACGCGAATGAGCCAATAAACTTCCCCAAAATCCCACCTTACAGCTCGGTAAGAAACTAGAAAGCTCGTATCAAAACGCAGTAGTTTCGAGCGAGGATGCTCCCATTAAACAGTGACGTCCAAAAGACAAACATGCACCAGCTTCGTCGTTCTACGAAACCAAAGGCAAGAGATGACGTGAAATTACCTACCCGTAAACAACTTTAGCGACTTAGCACGAATATGTATATTTGTTGTTTATGTCGATGTATTAAGGTCTGATTATCAGCTCACCTCGAGCTATTAAATTCATGAACCAGTGCGTTGCAAGTCGAACGAGACACTTCATTCAGTGCTATGCCATCGACGCTACATTGCTCTATTTATATGAGCAAACATCCAGCATGTTGTCTTTAGAAATAGTAGACGTACGTTTTTAGAAAGGAGTGTTGATAGTAATTATCTAAACACTATTACACTTGGAGGATAACCCGGTAGTTTGACAAGAGACTGGTGTTACAACGACAACGTCATAGCCAACCACAAATCTTACAAATCGGTAGAAGCCGCTTTAGGTCCTGATACATTCTGTTTAAATTTAAAGATTAGCCATGGAATTCTGGAGGGACAAGAAACGCAGGTCGATAAGCCTCTGGTGACGGCCATATAGGTTGGACACAAAGGTACTTTCGCCAATTCTTGTGGTAATTTGGTCTGGGCGAAGGGAAGCGTCGTGAGCGAAAAACAACCGTATGCCGTCAACTATCGAGCGGAGAAAAAGTCATAATACATCAGCTGAGCATAATTCAACGCACCCAACGATCACATGTAGACCTACAATTTGCCAACAGGTCCTTGGAACGAGTCCACATAGGCATAGATGGAAAAAATGCCAGCTCGCTCTTCAATTGCAGCCACGCCTCTCGATACCTAGATAGTGTACAAATTATCCACGCCGTCTAAACTATGCCATCAAAACAGGATCCCGCGTACCACCTAGTAATAGTAGTTCTCCTCCAGTGTTCGCCCTCTCATGAACTGTGGCTCACTGCCCCGGACGTAGATATCCTCGAATACGATTTGTGGTGTAGCATCTGGTGGTGGCATTGCCTCGGCCTCAGCAACCTCCTTGTCAACAGCGGCTCTGGCATCTTTGTCGATCTGCTTGAGCTCATCTTCGGTGGTGACATTCCATTCCAACAACTTGAGCTTCAAGCCTGCGATTGGATCTTGAGTTGATCGCATGCGCTGGATTTCCTCACGAGTTCTGTAGGTGGTTCCAGGGTCGGACATTGAGTGACCGCCATATCTGTAAGTGACATATTCGATGACGAGAGGGCCGTGACCAGCAGAGGTGTATTCTTTGCCGTACTGGACGGCAGCCTTCACGGCAAGAACATCCATTCCGTTGACCTTGAGACCAGGAATATATTGGCCACGCTTGTAGTAATCAGTTAACGCCGAAGAGCGATTCGCGGCGGTACCCATTCCGTATTTGTTGTCTGAATCATATTAGCACGTCTGACCATACGGGAACGCTGGGAAAATATACTTTCACATCCAAACAGGATTGGCAGCTTCCACAATTTTGCCATGTTAAAAGCTTCAAAAACCTGACCCTGGTTGCTCGCTCCGTCACCATACAACGCCACAGTGGTGTTCTTGTTGCCATTGTATTGATGCGCAAACGCAAGACCAGCGCCTACTGGGACCTGAGCACCGACGATACCATTTCCACCGTAAAACCCTTTGGCGAACATGTGCATAGAACCACCCTTTCCGTATGCGATACCCTCACGGCGACCGAGCAACTCTCCGATGATCGATTTTACCGAAGCTCCTCGCATCATAGCGAAACCGTGGCATCGATAAGCGGTAATGATATCATCCTCCTTGGTGAGAGAGTGCTCGATACCAACAGCGACAGCTTCCTGTCCTGTCGACAGATGGCAAAATCCTCGGATCTTCTTCTCCTTGTACAGTCTATCCGCAGCCATCTCCATTCGTCTTTTCCCTGGTCAGCTCCATGAATCAAACAAGAGGGCGTTGACGCTTACCGGACAGATACCATATCAGCATACATCTGCTTCAATTCCGCCTTGGTGGTATCGAGGGTATATGGTGGAGGGTCGAGTTCGTAGGTTTCGAATGATTCGTCGGAGAGAGTAACTGAGAAAGGCTTGCTGTCTTCCTATAATCAGAGTGGCAAATCAGCCTCCTGCTTCCCATCTTAATTGACCGTCTGGGTCAACATCTCTCACCTCAGGAACGGCATCTTTATCAGCATGCGCGCTCGCAGCATCTGTCGTAACATTTCTCTTTGCCAGCGCAACTCTCGAGAAGGCGTTGTGGCGCAAAGGGGCCGCCCGGCTTGTTCTTAATGCTCGCGAGAACATCTTTGCGAAGTTCAAAGAACACAAAAAGCGAGCGAAGGGAAGAAGAAAGGGTGGTGTTGTTGAAATTGGGAGATGCTCAGAGTTCGCAAAGAATTGGAGCTTCGCTATCCGATCGTCCCAACGGCCAACAGAATTTAGTCCCCGAGCACGTGATATGTTCCACTCGCCGCCAAGCCACAAGTCAGATACTACCGGACCCAAAGTCTGTACGGACTTCGCGGAGGACAAAATAAGTGGCTATCCAAACACGATATTTCTTTGATTAAGTTGACGAAATATCGTAATTTAGTGGATTAACTTAGAACATTATATCTATTTCGTTAACTGTTTTAAGTAAATGTTATTTTTCAAGCTCTATTCGGAGTAGACTTGTTATTTAGTCTCAGATTTGCGGGTAGGTGACTGCGACTTATTTTGTCCTCCGCGAGCGGACTTATAAACTGGGAACGAGCAGAACTTATACACGGACTTCAATCTCACATTAGACAATTACTAATATTTGAACATTTAATTGTTTTCCATTTCTTGTCCTTGTAGCTGCAGACCTATATGCTAATGCCAACCTTTCCATGCCCAATCCATCCCGTATTTGATGCTGCTCCTTCTTCTCAGAGGTGCTCACTTGTATCCTCAACCCACGCGATCCGATCCCAATGGTATCTGGAAAACTCAAACGCCGTAGATGCACCCAGATTTAGGAGAATCGAAATGCCCCATATAATTAGGAGAATCGAAATGCCCCGTATAATTACAACCCCGATTTCAAGAGCGTAAGTGATGCTTCATACGAAGCAGAGAATATGTCGATATCGAACCGATATTTCGAGGACAGACTTTTCGGTAATAATTTCTTTAAAGTCTGATTTCCAGTCAGATCCCAAATAACAGTGTCGCCAATATATATATAAAATCTGGTTATGTGGCAACCGCACTTGGACACACTTGTTGTACCAAGATAAGATTTAAAATCGAGCGTCTCAATCTTCTTCGTGGAAAAAGGTTGGCCCGGTAGCCTGGGGTGGTGCGGTCGAAGGCCCAACATCCTTCATGTCCACGTCGACATTGTCGAAAACAGCTTCCTGCGAAGTCAAGCCAGACATAGTCTGATCCGTTGTCCCAGTTGAACGATATTCAATCGCGCTGACAGGTCGTGGTACTGTTTCTCTTTCCATAAGCTGCTCTTCTGGGGGCGAGAATGACCAAACTTCCATGATCGTCCGGTTTGAGCGGGAGGCCATGACCACACATTTCTCCTCTTCAAATGCTACTCGCCATACTGCGTCAGCCGGGGCAGTAAGTTCACGGACGAGAAGGCCGGTCTTGAGATCCCACACTTTCACCCGTCCATCACTCCCACCACTAACCACTCGAGTGTCGTCGAATTGGAGACTGGTCACGCTATTGTCGTGGGCAGCCAGGCGATGGATCGGTGCCATCTTTTCTAATGACCACACTCGTACAGAACCATCAGATCCTCCAGTGACAAGAGTGTTCCCCCGCATTTGGAGTTGGCCGACCAAAGATGTATGGCCTTGAAGAATGGCTTGACAAGATCTGGAAAATTGTTAGTTACAATCTGCAGTGTGGTAACATCGTAACTTACCCATCATTAGGATCCCATATCCTGACACTAGTATCCAAGCTCCCGGTAGCAATTCGATTGCCATCAAATGCAATGGCATAGATCTGAGAGAAATGACCTGAAAGGGTTCTTAAACAACGCCCTTCGGATATACTCCACACTCTGGCAGTGGTGTCATAACTTCCAGATACGACAATATCGCCCTTGATCTCCAGACACCTGACACTAGCTTGATGTCCGACGAGAACATTCTTACATAATCCAGTCTTGATGTCCCACACTCGCAATGTGGTATCTCTTGACCCTGAAATTGCCGTGTTCGCATCGGACATCTTCAGGCACCTCACAGTTGATGTATGCCCTCGAAGGGTGTGGATGCTTTCTCTGTAGCACATATCAGTATCAAGTCTTGTTGGTTCACATCGCAACCTACCCTGTAGCCATATCCCACACCCGAACATCACGATCACAACCTCCGCTGACCAATGTATCCTCCCAAGGCACCATGGCCCACACACCCATCACATGTCCTTGGAGCGTCTTTTGAGCATTGCCATCGGTATTAAACACATGGATTTTAGCGTTGTCCAGAGCAACGACAATGTATTTGGGCGTTAGGTGCAGACTTGTCACCACACCCTGGTCTTGAGTAATATGTCTTGCGATATTCCTTCCTCCTGTTTTCCACGCCGTCTCCACCAAGTATCTCTGCTTGAAGTGGGATTTATAAGAGCGCATTTTCGGCCGCCGCAGCACAGCTGAGCTCGTTGCACTGTCAAAACTCCGCGAATTTCTCTGGATGTGGGGTGCAGCCGCAATCGCACTAGGAAACGAGTACGTTCCCTCACCGTCGAAATAGCCGTGTATGGGATTTGGCGGTGGACGAAGTGAGGAGAAGGGCGGTGTCGTGATATGCGCTTCTGACATGCGTCTTCCGTAATCATGTTTAGCGCAAAGTTTCATCCATGTGACATCGTCGGCCAACAACTCTCTCCATCTCTGTGACACCTGAGATGCGCGGGCAAGCACTTTTGGATCATCGATACAGGACAGAACCTAGAAGAGAGTTGATTAGATGACGCTACCTCAACTAGAAGAAGGACGTGACAACATACCCGAAGACATATTTCGTTTGGCAGACTTGTAAAAGGGTCCTTTTTCAATAAAGGGTCAACATATTGCCGTACGAAACTCAGTTGCTGGCTCGTACACAGATTCAACAGGTCTGCCAATATCCTCGTTCGCTCAGGAGGGGATCGTCCCTTGAAGTATATCCGTACTTTAGATAGAAATAAGTCTTCTTGGTCCCCCGCATCGCTCCAATCTGGTTGCGGATGTTCAGGACCGGGACTCGCTGCTGGGGTAGGCGGTGGAGGAGGATCATGGCTCGAATGTGTAGGAGAGTCTGGATCGGCCGAAGGTGTAGTCATATTCGGGGTCGGCGGCCCTCTTGGTCGCGACTGTACGATCTTTTCCACCCTCGATTGCAGTCGCACATGGCCGTTGCTGGTATTCAGAGTCAATGCGGCTCTGGTGGTGGGCGAGAGATCTCCATCGTCCATGTTATTGTAAACCATCGAGGCTCTTCTCTCCGTGAGGCTCAACGGCCGGTAACCCTCCATTGTTGTTGCTCTTTCCATGGACCGCAATATGTTTGCGTAGCCTTAATGCGGCCGGGTAGCTCAATCAATTTCGTGTTTGTGTTTCGACCGGAAATGCTTTTTTCTCGATCCCCAAATGGAATTGCCAATCCTCAATCAGAGCAATGCGACTCTACCATCGAGGTGCAGCGGTCTGCGCGGACAATATGAATCGACACGACGGCTCTTCAGGTCTGAGTCGTAACAGACGGGCGTTTCTTCGAGCGAAATTAGACACGGAGGGGAGGTGAATGTGGTGGTGATAGTAAGAAGTTCCAGCGTTGTACAGCCCGTGGGAAAGGTTGAGAATAGAAATAGGCACACAGAGTGCAAAGGTCCGGCGTTAGAAGGTAAAAGACAGTGGTACTGAGATCTGTCGAGGTTGTTATTCCGTTCGAGATTGGGTGCTGGCCGCTGCCGCTGGCGGTGATGAGGAGAGTTGGGTTCTGTTCGCTACGGGTCCTGGCCCATTGTTGTGATTGTCCTTGATTCTCACGTACCCGACAATGGCCTTGATGTGGTCTGACCGTCTTCGAATAAGGGCGTGGGAGACTGCGTCGAGTGGTGAGTATCGTGGTCGGCGGCGGTCCTCGTCGTGCTTCGAAAACGGGAGCGTCTGCGTCGACGGGAAAGACGTCGTGGAGAAGAGCGGAGTGGGTTCAGTGGATGTCGGTGCAGCGAGGGAGCGGGAGAGCCGAAGAGTCCAGTGGTCGTGGTTGCAAAAGTGGCTCTGGCTCACTTGCATGCGGCGGCGGTCAACCTCCAAGCTTCACTACAAGCTTCAATCGTCAAAGCCCGATAGAGGATCGATTATATATTTTCAAGAATCATGAAGTCATAAATAACCTATTATTGTTTTTTTAATCCTTTAAACATTCATGTATGTCCAGTCATTAAGCACATGAATTTTTAAACCATCACCCGACTACAGCGCTATTCCCCCGCTGCTGAGCGCATGAAAATGGCTGTGGATTCATCTGTAGGCGAACGCAAGGGGATATTTTGACGAGAATAAGGGGGACCAGTTCATTTCTTTTCGGGTTTCGTCATGCGGGAGTAAACTCAATAATCCTTTTTCTTCTTCTTCTTCTTCCAACCCGATTTTCTTTTGATTTGATTAACAAACTGTTGAATTCAAAGTGATATTCGAAAGCTGAAAGTGGCGGGTGGCATTACTCGTGTAAGTCCTTGTCTTGGAAGTAAGCCCATGTGCGCAAAGTCAAATGACTATTATTAGGATGATTACCATTCCAAGGAAATCTGAATACCATGATCAAAGCACATGCAAGAGGTTTGATATCTCGGCTTCTAGCTTCCTGTTTGTGCTCTTCAAATATGCTATTTCATGGCCACTGCTCTTGCTTCATTATCACTGGATGGCGCTCACACCTTGGAAACCTGAAACATTCGAACAGATGCCAGTTTAAATTCTCGACACCCTTCGAAAGTTCCATGATCATCTTCCACTTTCAAGTCTTTTCTGCTAGGACCTTCCTATAAAGATAAGACAATCTCAGACATCTCGAAGTATGTTTCTTGAAATGCGACTTCTCGCTTAAGCTCTGATGAAACATCCGGTTCATCAGATATGCACAGCCTCATCTAGCTACATCGGCGATAAACTTTATCTCTGTCCCTTAAATAGACAACACTAAATCATGTATTTTGACGTCAAATTACCGAGCCAGCGAATTGGTTACAGATATCAAATATGGAGTTAATTCCATAAAGAACTACAAGTGAAGTCAATCATAGCCACCTGTGTAACTTGGTCACCACTCGTGGATGGGAGTTTCGTCCCTCACAAGTGGTGACCGACTATTAGCTGTTCTTTTATTTGGAATACAAAAATGTTTTATAGTTTTAGCACTACCTCAACTACTATTTATCATTCAGTCTTGTAATAACATTCAATCCTTCAACAAGGGCAGTTAGGGAATAGTGTTACTTTCCTGGAAATTCTACATTTTGTCTTCCTCTATAGCTGAAACTTTATATACTATAAAAATTATTAGACGTTAATATTATTAGCTAAATATAAGCAAACTCCTTCGAAGTTTATATAGTATAATCAGTAAAATTTCTTAAAGAATAAAAACAAACTCTACTCCAAGCTCCCTATATTCTTAGTTTTTGGAAGATTCAATAATGCCCTGTCTCCTATAAGAAAAATAAAGTGTGTCTACAAATAAATAAATGTAGAAGAGACGATGTTTTAAGGCGTGATTGAAGGGCTCTCCGTAGTTCTGCGATTTACTAATATCAAAGCTCGCAATATAAAGGTTATACTCTAGTGAAATTTTAAAACCCTTAAATTTATTCCTCTCTTCAACCACTTACCTCCTAAAACTACTTTATATTCCACATTACAACAGAAAAGACGTCTTAGTGACAAATATCAAAATGGCGATTTCTAACTAGTACAAAGACCGAAAGCAGTAGGTGAAATTTGAGAAAGTATTAACTCAATTACTCTAATTCCAAGAGTGAATCTACAAACTTAAACCTACCATATTTTTACTAAAGTTATTTCAAGGTTGCTTATTAGTCTCGTGTACGTTCTAATAACAGACAATTTAGGATATATTAAAGTTAAAAGATATCTCAAAAATTGTGCAGGTACTGGAAGAATACTTTGATAGTAAACTACAAGTGATGGATAATTAAAACTAGACGAATTTTTCTATAATCTTTGTATATACCAATTGAAAGTAATCTTTCAATTACATGTAGATTCTGTGTGTGGATGTGTTGGCGATTTTTGATTCCCGCAATAAACGCCTGTCCGTTCTAGTATAAATACAATGGAGAGATACAAGCAGTAATACTAAAATGCCATCTTCTAATGAACTTCTCAAACATCGAGAACCATTCCTCAGTCTTTCAACAACAAGTTTTATTTCTCGCGTAAGAACACAGGACATGAGGTTTCGTAGGTAGTTTATCTTCAGAACCAATCTCCATCATTTTTATTGCCAAATTGAGCCCGAAGAACTAATCGTTCTGCCCCTTACACGCTCGAATACATTGTATCTTCATGTTTACAAAGTCCGAAGAATTACGTGCGAGGTTGAACAGGTATTTTGGTCTGGATACAATAAAAGTCGCAACTTGCTAACAACTTAACAAGTTCTTCTGATATCAATAAAAAATGGTACCACTATAATAGCACATCAGACCGGGCCGGAAAAAGACTTCAATTACTCGCAGTAATTCACCTTATTAATTTCCTGAAATCACTAGGGCAAAAAGATCATTTTTTCATCAATCACAGCTAAATCTATTTCAGACACATCGAGTGCAACGGATACAATCAAACAAAAAGCAGCCACGTAAAAAGATGAGAGCAGTCACATAAGCATTGCGATATTGTACGTTTAACACTCAAACTCCTCATATTGTACGTAATTACACTTTACATCTGGGTATCGCCTCAACCAGAAACCGAGTATCTTCTCAACCAACCTAAAATACAATGTACACTTAGCGATCAACCAATCAATGATGATGAAACACCTGCGTCAACAACGGGACCAGCATTCCGAGTACCGCCCAAAAAGTATCTTTCATCTGCGGTTTCGGTTTGTTCCGCTGCGAAGCACCTCCGTCCAGATAGCCGTTGGTTGTGGAGTGATCGTGGCCGGAGTCTTCTTGCATGGCGTGCATAGCCACGTATCTGGGGAAGTCAGTAATGGTTTCTGGCAAGTGAGGAAAGTGCTTACAAGAATGTACCGCCGGAGAACAACAGTAGCATTCCAGTCCAAAATTGCCCTCTTTCGCCCTCGATATGGCTGCCCCCGAGTATACTCACAAGCAGCCAGGTGGAGAGAGCGCCGAAAGGAGCTGCCAGACTGAATATAATAAGATGGCCCCTGGCTGCACGTTTCGACAGACCCTGTTTTAACAATACCGATGTCAGACCAAAAGCGGCTGGCATCTTGTGGATCATGATGGCTATGAAAATAATGATCCCGAGCTCCTGATTCGAGGTGGAGGTTGAAGCGCCCATGGCAATTCCGTCGGCAGTAGCATGTATGACCAGTCCTGTAGTTGTTGCCAAACTTCTGGTCTGCTTGGGCGTTGGAGCCATGGATCGAAGAAAGCTCTCCGATTCTTCATCGTCAGCGCCTGGGGATTGGTCCCTTCTCATGCTGAGGTTGTCCAGCGCTATATGTCTGGTAGGTGGTGGAGCTTGGAGATTCTCCGAAGCATATCTTGGTAATTTGTCGATCAGGAACATGAGCACAAAGCCAGATATCAGTGCCACTCCAATTGCAAATGTCGGTGGCTCATTTTCTTCTTTCTCATGATGTCCATCCTCTTTGTTCTTGTCATGACCCGTCTCTGCGGGTGGAGTAACTTGCGCATCTGGTGGAGGTGGTGCTGTGGTGGTTTCACGAACAGCTATCCGTAAAGCTTTAACATCAACGAGATCTTCTTGCTTGATTCCAATGTCCCGAGAAGTAAGAAAAGATGCTATTCCCGAATTGACTGGCCATGCCCTCGTTGACAATCGAGTGTCTCTCTTCGTGTGCATGTGGGGTGCTGACCCCGCGGTATATACTGCCTCAATGCCTTCAGGTATAATGACAATCAATGATGTGCCAACGAGAACCCCCATACCAATTGTCGAGATCATCCGTAGTTGTGAGGAAGATAATGTCATGGACAGAGGAAGTGCGCCCGCTATGAATGAGCTATTGAAACGTCAGTAAGAATTCAGGATAGTTTCTATAGAATACCACCTACGCTATCGCCATGAGCAAGCTCAGAACGAGCAGCAAAAACAAGCCGTCCAACATCTTGGGTGTTTATTTTGACCTAAGTGCTCGCAGCTGGGGATTCAAGCAACCGCTGCTGTTACCGATACATTGCGCCGTGGAACCAGGAGAAAGGGAAGCTTTGCGCCGGAGCGGAATTGTCGTAAATTGTGAATATCTTTAAGTTGGAGGATCGTCGATCATAAGTCAGAACTTGAGGGTGTTGATAGTCGTGGAGATTTTGCTTCGTGGCTGTCGACAATTGAGGCTCAAAAGGAAAGCTGTCACTGTCGTTGGGTCTCGCTCGTACCGTCCTGCGAGCTGTCAAAGCGACAAGGCTGAAAACCAACCGACCGAAGTGGACCCATTTAGGCTGGTCGACCTGATCCTTGGATCTTTCAACCACGTCGCGTCAGAAGTCATTCAACGCGCCCAAGATTATCACTGGACAGGCCAACCTCACAAAGCTCATCACCAAGCGCAACGTGCAAACAACCTCTCAACATCGCCGCCCAACGCTATCAGACGCTCGATTATACGATCTCTAAGAACTCGAATAGCATCTCCACTAATATCATTACGAACACAATGGCGGACTCTACGGACATCTGTAAGTGAACTCTACGTTGGCGCATTGCAACTGGGATCGCAAATTCTACCGATCCGATGCGACAACTTGTGCCATTAGCCACATACAAATCACATTCCAACCCCAACAATCCATCCGCAGAGTCGCATCTGAATATATCTAACAATTCCATTAGGGTCTGTTGAGTCCAACGATGCTGTTCATATCTCGCTGGTCACACCGAACAAGACGCTACATACGTTCCACCCGAAATTTACATACTCGATATTCGGAGAAGAGGAGAGCATATTTGGATATCAAGGATTGAAAATCAACGTCAAATACCATGCTTCTGATATGCGCCCGCTGCTGCAAATCACATACAACAAAAAATTTCCTGCTGTCGGCACCACAGAACCGACTGATCTGAAACCGATTTTGGAGGCATACCTTCCCAAAAGTGAGTAATTTTTGGCTGGCTGTGGAGGAAGTGCTAATGACGTTGTAGCTGCATTCGAAAAACAATCTATCTTTGAGGCTGCCATTTCAGACACATCGAATTCGAATTGGACGCCACCGGGCGAACTGTGGAAGACCATCCAGAGTGGATCGAAGACATTTGAGGTCTGGAAGGGTAGTTTGGCAGATCTGGCAGTTCAGCAGATGCTGAAACGGATACAAATCTTGGTATCATTCTTTATCGAAGCCGGAACGCCATTAGACTTACGAGAGACCGAGGAAGCGCTGAAAAGATGGACGGTGTTTTTCCTGTACCAGAAAACGACGGAAGCAACAGCGGGTACTAGTTCACCTTACACATTTATGGGATATTCGACAGTGTATAGATACTTCATGTACCAGCCTCCTACTCCACCGGTATCACCCGCGACCACCAAAAAGGAACCAGTCCAGTCCGCGAGCCGGGATGATTTCAAATTTCCAGCACCAGAAGATAATGCGCCAGAATTACAATTTTCGTCGCACCCATGCCGCTCGAGGATATCTCAGTTTGTCATATTACCACCATTTCAGAAGGGAGGGAATGGCTCAAGATTTTACAATGCGATATTCGATAATTTTCTGGCCGACCCAAAAACCATCGAAATAACGGTCGAGGATCCCAATGAAGCTTTTGATGACTTGAGAGATCTTAATGATCTGGCTCGTCTGCGTCTGAATCCGACATTTGCTGCTCTACGAATCAACACAAAGGTCTCGCTAAAAGCGAAAGGCCCAGTTCCTCGAGACATCATCGACACAGAAGCACTTGAAAAGATACGGACAAAATTCAAGATCGCACCCCGACAATTCGCTCGTGTTGTAGAGATGCAATTGCTTTCTTTAATCCCATTAGGTGTAAGGCAATCGCTAATTGAACACTCAAGGAAGTCTATTCCCAACCTATCAGCCAAAGAGCACGAATACCATCTGTGGATTCTCATGGTCAAGAAGCGCTTGTATAAACACAACAAGGATATGCTCATTCAGCTCGACCGCACAGATAGAATTCAAAAGCTGGAGGAAGTAACAGGAGGTGTTGAAGCCGATTATGCAAGACTGCTCAGAGACTTTGACAAGCGAATAAAAGGTCCTGCTGTTGCCGCACCGCTGGTAATTTCAAACGGGAAGAGAAATCCCCCGGATGAGGTTGAGGAAGTAGGAGAGCCGTCCGCGAAGAAGGTCAAATTCTCTTGATGCATCTGGGCGGCGAGTATATTATAAGATCAATCAGCCATGGCGTTTGGGGCATTGAATCTGTTGACCTGTTCGGTGCAGTGCAACACTTCATCTGGTGTTAGGAACGATTTAACGATAGCCATAAATGAACAACTTTTTATACCCCAGAACTCCTTGGACATGTGTCTACGCAGTATGGCTGTTTCAAAATCGTGTACCGTTGACTCCCTGAACCCCTTTACCAAGCTGACTGGCAACCACAGTAGCTTCCCTAACTGCTCTAGCCACGGTCCCTCTCACCCCTCCTTCTTCCAGCACCATCAGCCCACCTATCGTGCACCCACCCGGCGTAGTCACTTTATCTTTCAGCAACGCCGGATGCTCTCCAGACAATACCAATCCAGCAGCCCCTTTCATAGTCTGCGCCGCCATTCTCTGAGCCTCTGCTCTTGGCAACCCCATCGCCACAGCCCCATCAATCGCAGCCTCCAGTATGAGCGCAAAAAAGGCTGGGCCACTGCCACACAGCGCGGTGCTGGCATCCATTGTAGCAGCGGGGAGCTGGACGACATCGCCAATGCGTTTGAAGATCCAGGTTATCAGACTCGAAGTTGTAGCTGATAATGGGGGACTCGACGTCGCGATCACAGTCATGGATTCCCGGATCCCAGACGCTGTATTTGGCATTGCTCGCACGACTTGACATAATCCCTCTTTCTCTGGGTTCACTGGTGTTTTGCCGTACATGTACCCGTATATCTGCTCTGCGGGAACGCCAGCTAGGATGCTAATCAACAATTTCCCCTTTAACGCGTCGACCATCCCCTCTTCGCCTAATATGCCTTCGGCCATATATGGTTTACAGCCTAGTAATACTACATCTGCCTCTCTACAGGCGGTGACATTGTCGCTTTGGATGATTTTGACGGGGGTTTTGTAGGGTGAGAGTGCTTTTTTGATCTTTTCTGCGCCTTTGGGTGAGCGGACACAGGCTATGAATTTGGTGGGGAGCTTTGAGGGTGTTTCGTCTGTCTCTGAGGACTGCGAGTTTGGTGCGTGGATTTCGTCGAGAGATGCTAGGATACCGGAGAGGATTGCTATGCCCATTGTACCTATTTTGGAGATAATTAGTTGGTTTTCTTTCTGATGTCTAATTCCCTCTCATGTTCCATCTTCAACCTTCCGCTTGCAATTCGCGGACTGTTGCTCCTCTACGATACGAGCTTCCGACCAGACAAAGGTGAATCGATGCAGGAGCGATACTGACCACAACCTATCACCGCCAAAGTCAATTCTGACCCCTCCTTTGCTGTGGATGCCATCTTGACTTTTCAGACTCCTAAATGATCAAGAACTTCAATTATTCGAAATTTGTTGCGCTGTATCACAAGCCTCCAACTCCGCTGAAGTGGGATAACAGCTGTATCTTTTCTGCCGTACCCCACCACCAATTTCACCGCGAAGGGCATAGCTCCTTTGCCCTTACATTGCCCCCATGTCGAAGCGACCTTTCCGCCCCGCAAAGCAAAGTGATTTCGCGACATCAGGTATTCGTAACCCTTGAAATATTATTTTGTTCTAATTTCTTGCGGCTTGTCACTGAACAGATTTTATTTACAGGCAGACACAGAGGAAAGGGACACGCCTCGACAGGAAAACATAATCTTAGCGAGGTTTCCAATTATGCCGACGACTTCAATCCGCCGGTAGCATCAGAGCCCAGAAAGAGTACCAGTTTTCCAGACCGTGGCCACGGCTTGACCAACATCACGATGGACCCTTTCGAAGTCCGTCTGCGATTTACACAGCATCTACAACATCTAAATGCGTCTGTTACAAGTGCGAATAAGGCGGCGCAATATGCCTTGAAATATAGGGATATGGATGAGGATTTACACAGTTGTATATTAGAACAATTGGAACGGGTGAGCGGACATCCTTTGGAATAGAGGAACAAGAGGCTAAAAGTTGCAGCAAAATTCTATGAACAATCGCGCAAATATCATGTATTTCATCGAACACCTCTGCGACATGGCCGCCCGCGAAAACCACCACGACTACGTCCGAATGATGCAGCGAGATATCCTGCGAGTCGTAGACGCAGTCGCACCTGAAGACGGAAGTGGTGCTGCGAACGTGAAAGTCGTACGCAAAGTCCTTCAAGGCCTGGAAAAGAAATCATTTCTTCTTGCTCAGACGGTCACGGAGATTGAAGAATGTCTCAAAGAGAGAGACAGCGCTACGGAAGATGTGACGATGTTCGACGCCTCTCCTGTCACTGCCTGGCCAGCTGGCTCTGCGAAATATGAGGCGAGTTCTAGGTCAAATGGCACGCCGCATTCGAAGGTGGATCGCAAGCAGATCGAGCAGCGGATCGAGGAGGATCGGGAACGGCATAAGCGGTTAAGGGAGAATATCTGGGCTGTTCCTAATACGGGGGTAGAAGATGAAGAGTTTGCGAAGATGTGGGAGGAGACGAGCGATGTTGGGGAGGATGATTTTATTTTGTATGCTGAGGAGGCCGCGGAACGACGAGAGGCGGCTAGGGAATGGAAGGAGGAGTTTATGGGGAGGGTTGCGGCTGTGGAAGGTTAGTGGGTGATGTTTCGTTGCTTTGTCGATGCTCTGGCGCGCGTCTGGTGGCATCTGAACGGGCGTTGTTAGGAGTTGGAATGTGGTTATGGTCCTATGGGTATAGTATCAAAAGGGGAAATTCATCACAAGTTCAAGTAATTAGTGCCAGTACTTTGCAAGACTTTCGGAGCATCCTTATCGTGTATTAATGCCAGAAAACGACTTTTGAGCACGCTTTCTACAAATAGGTATATTTGCCATTCACAACAGAGGCAATATCGTGTATTTACTCAAGGGGATTGAGAAAACACAGGGTTGGGTACGGGGGCGTCCAGTCAGACTTACAACACACTGGTGGTGTAGGGACTGTGTAGACTGGTGTAGGTAATGGAGAAGTTTCCTGATTGTTATCTTTTCGAGTAGACGTTTCTTATGTGGATATGGCGGAGAATTCCAAACTGGGTTTCATTGAAGAGGTGTAATGGACGATGGGTTGATTACATGTCCTTGCTAAAATGGTGAACGAGAATTAGTGACGAAGATGACTAGAAGATGAGATGATCTTGCTTGTTGATGCTGAGTTCCTAGGAGTAGTTTGGTGATGTGAGTATAGGTTCAACGCTCGTGATCTGAACGATATGATGCGAGGACATTCAAGTAGGAGTGTCTGTGTTTCGATGCTGTTAGTTGCTTACCCAGCTGCCTCTTCATATTTTAGAGGGCACGACGAGTGTCGCCTCTAATTGATCTCGAGGCACAGGGAAAAGCCGATCAAATGAGTAGAAACATATCCCAAAGAGATAAACTGGTCCACGAGCTAGTGAGCAGATTTTGTACATATCTCTACTATTGATACACGATCCCTTTCGCCCACGATCATACAACACGTCGCTTGTCCCAAACCACCCAACCCCTACTCCATCGAGACCTTGCCCCCTAACGCCTTCAACGTAGCAATAATCTTCTCAGCTTCGTCCTTTGGTACTGCCTCCTTCATCATCTTCGGCGCGCTTTCGACGAACTTCTTGCTATCCACCAAACTCAATCCCAGCATGCTCTTAATCTCCTTGATAATCTTTGGTTTGGCTCCTGCCTCGAAGGACTCTAGCTTGAGGTTGAAAAGTGTCTTTTCTTGTTGTTTTGGGGCTGCATCTTCCTCCTCCACTGGGGCAGCAGCTGGTGCAGCTGGGCCAGCAGCGAATCCACCCATTGGCATGTCGGGGATATTCAAACGTGACTGGAAGGGTGAGTTAGCAAGATACATCTACCACCCCAACGCACTCCAAGAGGCCCTTGGGTTCCATAACGGCATTCAACACGCACCTTCAGACTTGCAACCAAGTCAGCAGTCTCTAACAGTGTCAATTGACTGATTTGATCCACAATCCCCGAGATCTTTGGATTCGTAGCCTCGGTCGACGCCCATCGTCGTGTTGGTGTCTGATTCCTCCGTTGTGCGAGACATACTGTTGAGAGACGTATGGATGAAGAGGATCGGATGGTACGCGCGCAGCTTCGAGCTGCAGACTGGCAGGATAACGACATGGTGAAGGTGATGGAAGTCGAGGTTTTGGCAAAATTGAGGCTCCTCGAAGTCGTGTATGGATGAGCATCTGTAAAAATCTTAGCGCGGTCGAGTTGAGATGGTCTGTGCACCTATCGCGAACTTTTTTTTATTTTGCGACTCCAATCTGGTGGAATATATTCAACGGACTCACCAGAAGTCTTGAACCATCACACAATGAATCATTCCGGGGAGATTCGAGGGCAAGATGCCACTCCTCGGCTTACAAACTCGTTCGCAGATCTTCCCGAAGAAATAATAGAACTCTTGCGCCACCAACAAACTCCTCAGTTCCTCGATTCCTTGTCCCTCACTGCGCTCGAACCAAAACTCACTTTACGACTTTATGCAATTTTCGAATGCATTTTTACGGATACTTGCGCGAGATGGACCAGTCTAGGAGAAGGAAGAACGCAGAGCAATTCAGTCATCGAAGCATTGGCCAGAATTGTACCGCTTGCGCCTCATCTATCAGTCTATCTTGAAAAGTACCTCGCGACAACTTCCCAAACCATCGCACACACTTCCCACCAGCCGTTCATACAGGATCTATATATTACAAATCCACACTCAAATCCACTCGCCGTTTTAGAGCTGCAGCGAATCCTCCTGGCGGCTTTCAGGCTGTTGCGATTCGATAAATATACCTTCTCTTCCGTTATATCTGGAGTTCACATCCAGTCCTTACTTCACCATGAAGACAAAGCCGTCCGGTACCTTACGGTTCGGATATTTTGTCAGCTTCTTCTAGCATCGGACTCGAAATTGGAGGCCATGATACAGGAGTATGTTGGATCTGACGCCGTCTTTGGAGACTTTGATGGAGAACAAGTAGATTATGGCTTCTTGAGTCTACTAGAGGAACGCAGATTGCAAAATGGACACAGATGGTTGATTGAATATCGAAAAACGTATAGCTTATCGACTGCTGCCTTTTCAACGGATAACCTTTCGCCATTTACTGTTCGATACGGAAACGTCTTACTTCCAAGACCTAACGGCAAGCCTTTACTGGCTTCTGGCATGGTGCGGACTGATACCACATCAAAGAACATGGAAGCGTTTGCGAGCTCACTTCTTTCACCATCACCTATTCTACTTCACGGTCTCGCTGGATCGGGGAAGACTTCTTTGGTTGACGACTTTGCGCGCGAGCTCGGGACTAGGTCGAACATGGTCACGATGCACTTGAATGAACAGACAGACGCAAAGATGCTGATTGGAATTTATGCGACAGGATCGACGCCGGGCTCTTTTAAGTGGCGACCTGGAGTTCTCACGACCGCGGTAAAAGAGGGTCGTTGGGTTTTCATCGAAGATCTCGACCGAGCGCCAAATGAAGTCCTTAGTGTAATTCTGCCTCTAATTGAGCGTCGAGAGCTGCTGATCCCGAGTCGCGGAGAAACAATCAAAGCCGGTCGAGGGTTTAGGTTACTCGCTAGCATCCGAACATCCCTAAACGTTAATGGGAAGGAAAATGCTCCAGCCTTTCATATGCTAGGATCACGCTTGTGGCAACGCGTGCCTGTTCAGATGCCTTCTCAAGACGAGTTTCGGGGGATTATAGACGGTACTTATCCGATTCTTCACAAGTTCCTACCCGGAATTATCAGCGTATATGAACGACTGTATGTCTTATCCAACAATTCCGCATTCGCCTCCCGCTCTCGTACTTCACTGGGTCGTCCGATCAGTCCAAGAGATCTTTTGAAATGGTGTCGGAGACTTCACGGCATTCTCGTGGCAGCGGGTTCAAAAACCGGCGAGGAGCCGATCACTGAATCTGTAAAGTACGAGATGTTTTTGGAAGCAACGGATTGTTTTTCCGGTAGCTTGCAGACAGTTGAGACCAGACGAACGATCGTAGCTGCAACTGCAGAAGAAATGCATATCGATCCGCAGCGAGTTGAGCATTTTCTGACTGCCCATATCCCACGATACGAGGACTCCGAGACTCACTTGACTGTTGGCCGAGTTCGTCTTACAAAACGCCCTGCGAATCGTATCTCAAAAGCAAGCAAGAAATCAAGACCATTCGCCAATACAACACATGCTAAAAAGCTATTGGAGCAAGTGGGCGTTGCCGTCAAAATGGCAGAGCCAGTCCTACTTGTCGGCGAGACTGGTATTGGTAAAACAACAGTGGTGCAGCAGTTGGCAGATTCTCTCGGGGTCAATCTCACTGCAGTGAACTTGTCACAACAAAGTGAGGTCGGTGATTTGCTTGGTGGTTTCAAACCCGTGAATGTTAGGAGTCTCGCGATTCCGTTGAAAGACGAATTCGATGACCTTTTCGCAGCCACCGGCATCTCTACCACGAAGAACCAGAAGTACATTGAACAACTCGGAAAATGTGTAGCCCGAAGTCAATGGAGCAAAGCTCTGAAGCTTTGGCGAGAGGCGCCGAAGATGTTCGACAAGATCATTTCAGAACTAAAGCGAAGAGAGGTGAACTCGAGGTCAACAGAGGAGCAGCCGACAAAGCGGAGAAAGACCGAATCGCGGTTACAATCCTTAGTTAAACTCAGACCTCGGTGGGAAAGATTTTCTAAGAGTCTAGACCAGTTTGACATTCAGTTGTCTAGTGGCTCGAAGGGCTTTGCTTTCAACTTTGTTGAGGGAAATATCGTCAAAGCTGCGCGGAATGGTGATTGGGTGCTGCTCGATGAAATCAATCTTGCATCTCCTGACACGCTGGAAAGTATCGCAGACCTGCTTCACAGCGGCAGCGGTACAGCTCCATCGATATTGCTGTCCGAAACTGGGGAGATTGAAAGAGTGCGAGCTCATCCCGACTTTCGGATCTTCGGTGCCATGAATCCAGCTACCGATGTAGGAAAGCGTGATTTGCCAATGGGACTGCGCTCGCGGTTCACAGAGCTCTACGTGGAAAGTCCTGACCGAAATCTCGATGATCTACTGAGTGTCATCAAAGCATATCTCAAAGGGACCAGCACCAACGATGAGAAAGCTGCGCACGATGTTGCTCGCCTCTATTTGAACACGAAGCGCTTGACTGATGAGAAGCGATTAGTAGATGGGGCGAATCAAGTTCCGCACTTTAGTCTACGGACACTCACTCGAGTGCTGGGCTATGTTTCTGAGATTGCGCCATCATATGGTCTTCGTCGGTCTTTATACGAGGGCTTTGCTATGGGTTTCCTGACACTGCTGAACAGCGAATCTGAAAAGATGCTTATGCCATTAATCAATCACCATCTTCTTGATACACATGGCAATGCACAGTCATTACTTTCCCAGACCCCTCGTCATCCAGATGATGGGAAGCAGTACGTCCGGTTCATGAATGGGAAGAAGAATCGCCAGTATTGGATGCTCCAAGGTGCTGAACCCTCACAAGAGCAGCCCCATTATATAATCACTCCATTCGTGGAACGAAACATGCTCAATCTAGTGCGTGCTACATCGACACGAAAGTTCCCAGTTCTTGTGCAGGGTCCAACATCCTCCGGCAAAACTAGCATGATAGAATACCTCGCCAAGTTTAGTGGTAACAAGTTTGTGAGAATCAACAATCACGAACACACCGATCTACAGGAGTACCTGGGCACGTATGTCTCCGGAGCAGACGGACAGCTTCGATTCCAAGAAGGGTTGCTTGTGCAAGCTCTACGCCAAGGCCATTGGATTGTACTTGACGAGTTGAACTTGGCACCAACTGATGTTCTGGAAGCGCTCAACCGACTTCTTGATGACAATCGAGAACTGCTGATACCTGAGACTCAAGAAATCGTTCGACCCCACGAGAATTTCATGCTGTTTGCAACACAGAATCCTCCCGGACTTTACGGTGGCCGTAAAACCCTCTCTCGCGCCTTTCGAAATCGTTTCCTTGAATTGCATTTTGACGATATACCTGAAGACGAACTGGACTTCATCTTGGAGAAGCGAAGTCAGAAGGTTGCCCCATCAGATTGCCGAAGGATTGTTGCGGTGTATAAGGAATTGTCTAGATTGCGTCAATCGAATCGGCTGTTCGAACAGAAGGACAGTTTTGCGACGTTGCGAGATCTTTTCAGATGGGCACTTCGAGATGCCGATAATCGGGAGCAGCTTGCCGCGAATGGGTATATGCTACTTGCTGAGCGTGTTCGCAATCCTGAGGAACGAATCGCTGTCAAAGAGATCATTGAGCGTGTCATGAAAGTTAATCTTGATCCGAATGTTCTATACGATCCGAAACTGTCACCTGAAATCAAATTGTACGAGGCAACTTCCAATGCTCAAGGAATTGTATGGACCCAAGCTATGCGCAGACTTTATGTGCTCGTTGCTCACGCTCTCCGCAACAATGAACCAGTCTTGCTTGTTGGTGAAACTGGTTGCGGCAAGACTACCGTTTGCCAGATGCTTGCCGATGCGTTTGGTAAAGACTTGAACATTGTCAATGCGCACCAGAACACAGAAACCGGCGATCTTATAGGTGCCCAGCGACCTTTACGAAACCGAGCTGCAAATCTTGAGCAGCTGAAGCAAGATCTTCTGACAGCGTTGGGACCAGTTCATGGACCTATCGATCGGGACTCCGATGTCGACAAACTTTTGTCCGTCTACAGGTCACTTCCTGAACCTTCACTAAGCCAAATCCCAAGTCATCTGAAGGATTCCATTTCCATACACCTGCTGAAAACGACAGCCTTATTCGAATGGTCCGACGGTGCTTTGGTACATGCGCTGAAAGCAGGACAGTTCTTTCTTCTAGATGAAATTTCGCTTGCGGACGATTCCGTTCTTGAACGTCTAAATTCTGTGCTGGAACCAGCAAGAACCATTCTCCTAGCAGAGAAGGGAACCGAAGACTCTTTCATTAGCGCGGCAGATGGATTTCAATTTCTTGCAACAATGAACCCTGGTGGCGATTACGGGAAAAGAGAATTATCGCCAGCACTTCGAAACAGATTTACAGAGATATGGGTTCCTTCGCTTTCTGAGCATGATGATGTTCTCCAAATCGTTCAGACCAAGCTCCAACCTCAATTTGTGAAATTTGCCTTGCCAATAGTTCATTTCTCCGAATGGTTCGGACAAACATACAGGTCGTCATCTTCAGCTTCAATATCTGTAAGAGATATTCTAGCCTGGATACAGTTCGTAAACACTACACCGGTTCCTGATCCATACTTCTTGATCGTACACGGGGCGGCGATGGTTTACGTTGATACTCTTGGCGCAAATCCTGCTGCTCTTCTCGCTATCGATGCCCAGAGCATTTACACCGAGAGAGCCAAATGTATCCAGAAACTTGGAGAGCTATTGCAATTCAATATTGCGCCAATTTACAACCAGCCTGTTAACCTCGAGACTGAAGCCATATCGCTTTCTATAGGTGGTTTCTCCATCGGTCGAACCGATGAATCTAGTGTGGAGCCTGGATTTGCCCTTCATGCACCAACCACAAAGCTCAATGGCATGCGAGTACTTCGGGCACTTCAAGTTCAGAAGCCAATCCTTATCGAAGGTAGCCCAGGTGTTGGAAAAACTACATTAATTGCCGCACTAGCTCGCGCCTGTAACAGGCCTTTGACACGAATCAATCTATCGGAGCAAACCGACTTGATGGACTTGTTTGGCTCTGATGTTCCAGTTGAAGGTGCAGAAGCCGGCCACTTTGCTTGGCGCGATGCTCCCTTTTTGCAGGCCATGCAGAAGGGCGAGTGGGTATTGCTCGATGAGATGAATCTCGCATCTCAGTCTGTTCTTGAGGGACTGAATGCGTGTCTTGATCATCGTGGTGAAGTGTATATCTCAGAGTTGGATCAAACCTTCAAACGCCATCCCGAATTCTCTGTATTTGCTGCCCAAAACCCTCATCACCAAGGAGGTGGTAGGAAAGGGCTTCCTGCCTCTTTTGTTAATCGATTTACTGTTGTATATGCTGATATCTTTAGAAACGATGACCTAGAACTAATATGTACACATAATTTTCCCACTATGGACGAGGATCTTATTCGCAAGATCATTCGGTTCGTGTCGACACTAGAGCACGAAGTCGTGCATTCGCGACATTTTGGATTACAAGGAGGCCCGTGGGAATTCAACTTGCGTGACGTCCTTCGCTGGTTACAACTTCTCTCAACATCTACGCTCTCAACATCATCTGTGCCTGCCGCTGAATTCCTAGATTTGGTTATTCGTCAAAGATTCCGGTCGGGTCGGGATCGAGAACAACTGGCAAGAGTATTCTCAGATGTTTTTGGTTCTGCAGTTCCCTTTCATCACCTGTTCCACAACCTGAGTTCAAACACATATCAAGTTGGTAGGGCATTTGCCACACGAAACTCCCTTACCCAGCCTGTACCCTTTCCAGCAATTGACTTCACGAAACGACTGGCTGAAATAGAATCCGTCATGATATGTATTGAGCAAAACTTGCCATGCATTCTAGTTGGTTCTTCTGGTTCTGGCAAGACAACTCTCTTGGAACATATTGCAGCGGCGAAAGGAAAATCCCTTGTGACCTTTCCGCTCAACTCTGATATCGACACAATGGATCTAGTTGGAGGATTTGAACAAGTCGATCCTCAACGTGGTGCCAGTCATTTTCTTGCTCAACTCTCCGAGTTCCTCACAACCCGGGTTCTTTCGTCTCTTCCTGCTGAAGTTCCAAGTTCGGCAATCAAGCTTCTTCAGACTCTCGAAACGACTACAGACACTAGCGCCGCTTTCTTCACTGAAGTAGGCAACGTTCTCGAGTCTTTGAAAAATCAGACATCCTTAGCTGAGTTTGAGACTCTTGCGCAGACCTGTAGGCAACTAGCTGCTAGCCCGATGACTCTGGAAAGCGCTCGCTTTGAATGGATTGATGGTCTCCTAGTCAAGGCCATCGAGCAAGGAGAGTGGCTCGTCCTTGATAATGCTAATTTGTGTAGTGCTTCGGTCCTTGACCGGTTGAATTCGCTGCTTGAGCCAAACGGCGTTCTCAGCATAAACGAACATTGTGGGCCTGACGGTGAACCAAAGCTTGTTCGACCACATCCAGAATTCCGTTTATTCTTGACAATGGATGCTCGATTTGGTGAGCTCTCTCGCGCCATGAGGAATCGTGCGTTTGAGATATTTCTTGAGCCACTTCCAGCGAGTGTGGAGTCAGCGATGCCTAGATTTGGGCAGGCCGAGGCGTCGATGCTCAGGTATCAAAGAGTCATAGACATCGCTCAGGCTGATGTCGTAAGATGCGGTCCATCGACGTCTTTGGCTCGCGTGGCAGTGGATAATTTGTCATTATCTGACTTATCAATGCTTCCACGCTTTATCGAGCTATGCAAAGGGTCTAGTTTGGCTATAGATGCGTCAGTTCATCAGGTCGGCCAAGCGTACATGCAAATGTTTCAATCGCCCGCAAATAAAGAATTCAGAGGTGCATTGGGCCAAATGTGGGAGGCAGTTTCGCAGATTTTACTGGCATCGGATTTCACGGACGCACAGGTTAGTGACCGTGCTGTTCTTATCTCGTCATCTTTTATTTGTAAATATACTGATAGTCTAAATAAAAACATTCAGATCCTCCATCCACTGCAGAACTCCCCCTTGGTTCCTATGTTACAGCAGTCTGGGAGTGCATCTGCACCATACTGGCTTGGCGCATGCTTAGAGTTTTTCATCGAGATCGATCAAGCTGTGTCCATGCAACGGACTCAAATTGAAGGCACTAGTACTCTTAAACCGAGCAAGATGAACAGACTACAGAGGTCGCTCGTGAGGGAGCGAGTTCCAACTGTTTCCAAAGATTCTACGATCAACATTTCGGGTTTCTTGGAATTTGTTCTAGCAGCCTTGAAAGCTTATATCCAATCCCACTGCCATGATGCCGAGCATTGGAGAGGACAAAAACAAGTGGTGGGCTACTTATTGCATTATTGGTGGCACACATACACTCTAGCGACCTCAACAACCTTTGACGACGCTACATTTCAAGCTCACTTGGCCATTGGCCGCGATCTTCTTGCCTCTCTTCAAAGCAAATCTCCACATTCAACCTCCCTTGTCGGTAATGTAATGGAGAAGCTGGATTCTGACTTCCATTCCGGGTTTCGATTAACAACGGGTCTAAGCATGGAACTCCTATGGAAACGACTGAGGCCTCTTGTGATATCGGACTCGCAGGTGATGGAAACAACATCAAGGATGGAAACACTCGCGCATCGTTTCGATGCGCTGAAATGGAAAACTGCTATCTCCATCTCGGAGGTAGGACACATTATGCAATCTCTTTGCAAGGCCTTCAAACTCCTGTTCGCCCCAGCAGTGGACGGTGCTTCACTTCTGGAATCAATCAATTTCGAACTCGAGAAATTGGAAAATAATGCTGGCGAGACACAAGACGTTGTTTTGCCATACTTTGCGCCAAACTTCGAAGTTTTACGACAGCTCATAGAGTTACAGAGATTGAAATCCGCTCCATCTGCGACATCTGCAGTTGACAATGAGATCATTGTGCTCTCTAACTACCCCACGGTTTTTGAGATGCGAGATGCTATTTCTGCTGATTCTTCTCATTTACTACCTGGCATCAGTAATATCTTAGGCCAGAGCGATCAGTTTCAGCCAGTCTCGAACAGCATGTCTTACTCGTTACTGCGAAAGCTGAACGATATCAGAGATGTCGACATGAAATCCCTTCGATTGCTCGAGGCAGAGTTACCAATCATCGGCAAACAACTCTCGAAGTCCACTGCATCACTTTGCCGTGACCAACTCCCAGACGTCAATGAAATGCTGGGACGATTGGTCATCGAAATAGTCGCTGCCCACAGTGACAATGCTGCACGCGAACTTAATAGCTGGGTCGCATCATTGGCCCAGCTCGATATGACCGCCTCAACTCCTTCAAATCTTCGAGTTATGCTCGAGGCTCAACGGCCTATAGTGGAGCTTGGTCTTGCATCACACGTAGAAAAGCAAGGTCTCCCACAATTGACTTCAGCTTTGTATGCCATTGAAGCGTCAAAACGTCAAAGCGAGCACGCTCTCGGCTTCTCAGCTATTGCATGGGTGCAATTCGCCATTGCTTCTCTCCTTCTTTACGTTCCCGATCGTACATTTGATCCAGATAAGCGGCAGCGCCTAGAGCGGGAACGTCACCAAAGCTTGAGTGACTCATTACAAGATAGCGTATCTGCGCTACGACGGTTTGAGGATATTTTCACACACCAAAATTCCAATGCGAGAATCCAGTTGCTTGAAAGCGAGATCGCTGATCTCGGTGAAGCGCCAGCAGAATTGCAACCAGTATACCGTCCAGCTATTTCAGAGTTGGACCAGCTTCAGGGAGAGTTCAACAACATCATCCGAACATTTGCCCATGCCAGCATAGATACGGTTCTCGTGGAATACTTCGAGAGTCGGGATTCAGACACACTACAGCAAATCAAGTTGATCCAGAACAATGCCAAACAAATCATTCGGAGATTGGATGAGAGATTTCCTGCATACAATGATCTTACCTCACCAGTCGTCAATATGCTTCATTGTCTGGTACTTGGACTTTCGTTTGCTATTCTCACAGAGAACAATTCTTCGGCATCCAACCAAGAGCTTCAGTCGCTGAGCCAGGTAACACCATTCCTTGGAGGCACCCCCAACAATGTGGACGAATCATTTGTGACATCTCACCCCGTGCAATATTTGAACATTGCGGCAGCAACTGCTTCAATAACTACGGTTTCATCCCTTGATTCGCTCGAGAGGGAACATTTGTTTCGAGCGATCCACGTATGCTACGAACAGTGGAGCAAGCGGCTGGAGCACGATCGTCGTGAAGAGGAGTCTGCCGGTGGTCTGTATCGCTTTCGAGGAAGCGCAGAGGACGAGGATGAAGAAGATGCGGAGCAATTCAATGAATTGTTCCCCTCGTATGATGAAGATTCCACCACCGATACCAACCAGGCGAAGAGCACCTTATCCGCCAGAGACGCGGCTATCGAGGTTGCTAGGGTACATGCGAGCATATTTTTGGGTGGAAGTGTACCCTTCGAAAGTCTTCTGGGGCTCATCCGGCAAACGTCAACTAAGATGGCATTAATTAAGAACGCAGACTCGACAGCCAACAGTACGGGTATGACAAAAGCACTTCTACAAGGAGCATTCTTGCTGTTGAGTGATTACACACAAGCGCTGTCGACATCTGCAACTGCACCTGACGCCTATAACTTTTACACTGATGCGCATCTTCCCGAAACGCGCAAACTCGTTAATCTGGTCCACCAGATCCAGACTCGATTCCGTGAACTTCAAAGTGTGGATGAAATCGGGCACATGCAACCACTGGAAGATGTACTTGTTTCTTGTCGACAACTGCTCCAATTCAGCCATACTGAACCTCTTGCCAAGATCATTACCAAGGTTGAGCAAATTCATACATACATGCATGAATGGCAGTTTGGTGGTTGGGCAAGTCGTGCCAATTCTGCTCTATCGCATTATGACAACCTTACCGCTACGATTGTCAGCTGGCGTAGACTTGAATTGTCAACTTGGGCCAAATTGTTCGACATGGAGACGAAGAAGTGCGATGATGATGCTCGCTCTTGGTGGTTTGTCGCATATCAAGTTACTGTTGCGGCACCCCTACAGATCTCTGGAAGTCCGCTGGAGCTCAAAGAGTACGCTCAAAAGCTTCTTCAGGACCTGGAGGTTTACTTTTCTTCTGCTATCATTGGTCAATTTACTCAACGACTCGAGCTGCTCAAACAATTACAACTCCATCTCCAAGCCCTTGCATTGGATATTCCACACTTGAGTATAATACATTCAGCATTATCCAACTTCATCATCCTATACTCGTCATACGAGAAGCCAGTTCAGGATCATCTGAAGAAAGGCAGGCTAACGCTGGAGAAGTCAATGAAAGACGTGCTTTTGATGGCGAGCTGGAAAGACACGAATATTGTTGCTCTTCGCGACAGCGCCAAGAGATCCCATCACAAGCTCTTTAAGCTTGTTCGAAAGTTTAGGGCCCTGCTTAGCCAGCCAATGGAGTTTGTGATCAAACAAGGGATTCCTGATCAAGAGATGAAGGAAATCGACAGCATCAGTTTGCAGTCTGCTGCGCAGCCACTCGTGAGCTTGTCCGCTCTTAAATATTGCGAGATATCTGTCCCTGGCTGGTCAAAGAAGAGTAAGCGATTCACTCAGGTTTCCAAGACTGTTGGTATGATGGTCGATGCATCCCAGGTTCCTGACAACGCAATCGACGGCTCCGACTATCTCAACTCCTTCCTCTCAGATTTGCTGTCCAACACTGTAGAGCTGCAGAAAGCTACTCCTTCTGTGCTCACCGATGAAAACAAAGATGAGGTCAAACATCTCAAGACCCAGAAGCGGAAGCTATTTGCAGATACCCTGAAGGACCTTCGTCGTATGGGCATCAAGCACAATCTCGGCGCAGATGCACTAGCAAAACAATCCTCACTGTCCGCCACGCTTGCTGCGGCTGGACATATCGCCAGTAATGAATTTCAAATACCAGATCTTGAATACTATTTCAACAAGGCAGTCGATCTCGTTCCTCGAGCCAGAGAGGCTGCACGCCAGCCCTCGCCCGACTTGAGCGGTGCGGAGGTCACTCGTAGCTCTGGATTTGTGGAAGGCATGCTGGAAGTACTTCTATCACAGCACAGTCTCCTTGCTTCGACTTCTCTATGGCTCAAAAAGCTACGTACACAGTTGAGGCAGATCGAAGGGCTCTGGGCTCCAGGCTCGTACGAAATACAACGCTTACGTACCGCTTCCAATATCGAGAAACTTCTGAGATGGCTACCAAATATTATAAAGGTTGCTGTTCACGTCATCGATATACACGCTAAGATGGGGCAGCTGGACGCGAAACAGATATCAGATGATCTTCGCGCATGGCAAGATAGATTTGAAGTCCTGACCCACGACTGGGATGCTCTTGCGATACTACCCGATGGTGTAATTTCGACTAAGCGACAAGAAACCGAAAGCGCTATTAGGAATGCTAGTGAGAAATTCCGAATCAAGCTTGAGGATATGGTAATCGCGCGACCCGATCTTGCATTTGCACTTGATCAAATAGTGCTTTGGGTCCGGGTTGAGTTGTCTACAGTCACTTTACCTAAGCCTAGCAAGACAATTCAAGACCTTGACCAAAAGCTTTCCAACTCCTGCGACGCAGTGCTTCTTGCCATTGAAAAGCACAAGAAGGATGTTTTAGAGCTTAGCGGATCTACTGAGGACCAAGGTTGGTTCATCAAACACGACAGTACGCTCATCAAATCAATCAAATCCCTACACAGCAAATCCGTTGTGTCCCAGCTTGAGAATTGTTTCGCTGCCCTTCGGCTGTTGGACCTCTCTAGTAATGAGGTCAGCCAAGCTGCCAGTGCTGTTTTTGCCTCAGCTTTACCCATCTTTCAACAGTACTTGAATACACTCGAGCAATCTGTTACTCGGCATGCTTCGCTACATCGTACTACATGCAAAGCAGCATATATCCTAACAAAATCCTTTGTTCAAATTACTACTCAGGGATTCTGTACGCCATCTGAGAAGTCCGACGCACAAGATGGCCAGACAGAGAAATTGGAAGGTGGTACAGGTCTTGGCGACGGTGAAGGAGCACAGGATATTAGCAAGGATATACAAGATGACGAAAATCTGGATGAGCTAGCTCAAGAGCCTAATACTGAAAAGGGAGAGATGGAAGATGAGCAGGATGCTGTAGATATGGCAGATGGCGAAATGGAAGGGGAGATGGGAGACGCGGAAGAGAAGGGGTCGGACGATGAAGGCTCAGATGATGGAAGTCAAAGTGGCGACGACATGGATGAAGAGACGGGTGATGTGGATGATCTCGACCCTACTGCTGTAGATGAGAAAATGTGGGATGGCGATGGTGAGCAAGCCGAGAAGGATCAAGAAGGCGACGAGTCGAAAGGGAAATCGAACGAAGATGAGCAAGTGGCGGCTCAAGAAAAAGAACAGAAGAAGCAGGCAGGAGAAGCAGAGGAGGGGGAGAGTGGTGATGAAAACGAAGAAGAAGACGGTGGAGCTGAGCAAGGTGAAGAGGTTAAGCAGGATGAAGTTGAAAAACACGATCCGCACGCACCGGAAGGTGAGACGCTCGACTTACCGGAAGACATGGAGCTTGATGGCGAAGACGATAAGGAGAGCGTTGCAGAGAGTGACGGAGGACTAGAAGACATGTCGGATGTGGAGCAGGATGGAAAGGAAGACGAAGTGGCCAACGATGGACAGGAAGAGAATGATGCTGAAACGGCCGATGCTGCGGAAGAAGACCAGGCTGCCGGCTCAGACATGGATGTGATCGATGTCGACGAAGATCAGAATGAAGAAGGAGAAGGCGACAAGACCGAGGATGCTGGCCAGCAAGAGGACCCGGATCAGCTACCTGAGCCTGACCATGACGAAGGGCTTCTTCGCGATCAATCTGACGAAGCAAAGACGGATGCAGACAATGCTATGCCCAGCGAAGCTCATGGAGTCGGCGAAGATCAAGAAGACAATGCGAATGATAAAGAGTCATCAACGAAGGCCCAGAGAGACAACGGAGGTGAAGGTGGAGACAGTTCTGAGCAAAAAGATACTGCGGCAGAAGATGGTGAACGAGGGCGCCAAGCGAATGGGGGTGCGCCAAAGGATTCTATGGAGGAAACTCAAGATACCAGTGACGCCCAGCCATTCAAGAAGCTAGGTGAGGCGTTGGAGCAGTGGCATCGACAACAAACGAAAATCCGTGATCCAGCTGAGCAGAAACCCGAAGACAACCAGAGCACAGATGTTGATCCCAATAGCACTGAATTTCAGCATCTGCAAGACGAAGATGCTCAGGCAGATACACAAGCACTTGGAACTGCCAGCGAGGAGCAAGCTCGTGCACTTGACGAGTCGATGGCGGTTGATGAAGAGACTACAGACATGCCAGATCAATTTCAGCCCGACGAAGTAGAGATGAAGGACATTGATAACCAAGATGCTAAGGATGTAGAAGACCCTTCATCACCAAATCCGCAGGAAAATTCTGACGCCTACGAAGGCCGAGCCGGTGCGATGATAAAACAGGCAGAAGAACGCGACACGGATATGAATGCTCCAGATCGTCAAATGCGAAAAGAATTAGAAGAGGACGTGGCAGAAGTCGATAATCAACTTGAAAGTACTCATCTAGACGAAACGACTATTGAGCTTCGTTCAGCCATAGATGCCAGAGAGCAATGGACCCATTACGAAGCAATGACCCGCGATCTTTCACTCTCGCTCACTGAACAATTGCGACTCATTCTGGCGCCAACACTCGCCACCAAGATGCGCGGTGACTTCCGTACTGGAAAGCGTCTGAATATCAAGCGCATCATACCTTACATTGCATCTCAGTACAAGCGCGATAAGATATGGATGCGCCGCAGTGTACCTTCCAAGCGCAGCTACCAAATCATGTTAGCAGTGGACGACAGTAAGAGTATGGGTGAGAGTGGCAGTGGATCACTTGCCTTTGAGACTCTTGTCATGGTATCCAAAAGTTTAAGCATGCTTGAAGTTGGCGATATCTGCGTGCTCGGATTCGGTGACCAAGTCAATATAGCCCACGATTTCGACACGCCATTCAGCTCTGACGCTGGTCCTCGAATCTTCCAACATTTTGGCTTCGAGCAATCTCGTACAGACGTTACACGTCTCGTTCGCGAGTCAATCGAAATCTTCCGCACCGCCCGTGCGAAAGCCTCATCATCTCCCGCCGACCTATGGCAACTTCAACTCATAATATCCGACGGTGTATGTGATTCTTCCGAGCACGAACCTATCCGGCGCCTCCTGCGCGAAGCACTAGAAGAGCGCATCATGATGGTCTTCGTAATCGTCGACGACGTTCGCAACAAAAAGAAAGGAGAGAGCGTGATGGATTTGAAGGAAGCGAGGTTTGTGAAGGATGAGAATACGGGACAGAGTAACGTGAAGATTGAGCGGTATCTCGATACTTTCCCTTTCCAGTATTATTTAATTGTTAGCGATGTCAAGGAGTTGCCTGGTGTTTTGGCGACGTTGTTGAGACAGTGGTTTACTGAGGTTGTGGATTCGAGTGGTTGATTGTTTGGAGTGGAGTTTGGGAGGAGTTTGTGTATGTAAAATAGGGAGGGAAAAGTATTGAATTGACTATTTTTTCCGATAGGTTGTTCAAGTACGAGGGTGCTCATCAGTGACGCAGCAGCCACTGTAAGCCTCCCGTCATCAGTATGTTGCAAGTCTTATGGGACACGTTCTTACGGTAAACAGCGGTATTATCTATCTAATCCTTATTTTACTTTATTTATTTAAGCAAATTTACGAGGTTGTCGCTTTTGAAACGATTCAATAAGTATACTACCGAAAGCGCGATGGACCGAAATTTACTGGTAGTATTGTACTTGGGCGTGTCTAGTCAATCTTCAGACACACTGGTGCACCAAGTGATTGACTGGTGCGGAGGACAAATAAATGTCAGTCACCTGCTCACGAATCTGTAGACTGAATGATTCGACTTCAAATAGAGCTAAAGAAGTCTTATTTACTTAAAATGATTGACTAAATATCTAATAATGTGCCAGGCTAATCCACTCAATATACGATATTTCGTCAACTTAATCGAAGAAATATCGTGTTTTGACTGCCACTTATTTTGTCCGCCGGGAGACTACCTAGCTCACTTGGATCATCCTTTGTCAAGCATACTACTCAGAGGGCGATTTTGTGGAGCTTCTATTGGCTGTGTCTGATTTCAGCTCTCCGCCAAGCGTTGCCGGCATGATGGTTCAGCTTTCGAGCACTTCATTCATCAAGACTCAAGCATTGAAATGCTGCATTCATGATTCTTCGCAAGATACCATTATTGTGGTTATTCGTGGTGTGCAATGTTCCAGTATCCGCAGATTACTTTTTGTAGAAGGTGTGAAACTTTCTTCACGGATACAACACTTCGAAAACAGATATTCTCGGACACTGGACATCAACTTAAGCTCTCAGCTCAAAGTATCAAGGACTCATCACTCAGCGGCTGTGAGATATGCATAGCAATCTACGACCATAATTGTTTTGTGCCACGAGTAGAGCAGGTATTGCTCGTCAAATACGAGAGGTTACATAACAAACTTATGGTCAGTGACATCAGAGGTGCGGTGGATGAAAGGACATCTGCTGTCAGGTTCTGGAGCAAGAGCGTATATGCTAGTTCAGGTGAGTAGCTTGCTTTGAGACATGGCACGTTTCTAATGCAATAGATAGCAAGCCTCAGCGCCGAATTCAGGATTGATCGCATTTCTGGAATTACTAATCCAGGGTGTCAAGAGAGCTTTTCCCTTATGAATGAATGGATGCTAGACTGCGTGGGAACCCATCGAGATTGTGGCCAAAAAGCCAGCGTCACATTCCCCCAGGAGGCTTGTCCAATTATCGCGACCTGGAGAACCTGAATACGCCAAAATCCATGAAGTGGCACACCAGTCAGGTAGCTATACGGCTTTAAGTTACTGCTGGGGCAGACCTCAGATACATGCTACCACGAAGGCTGTCTACCCACAGTACTTAGAGCAGCTACCGTATAGCCAACTGCCACAGACAATACTTGACGCCTTCCGCGTAACAAGAAACCTTGGTTTACTTTATATATGGATCGACTCTTTGTGCATTATTCAAGATGACGACGAAGATAAAACAAGCGAGATCTCGAAAATGGGAGATTTATACCAAAACGCAGTGTTGACAATATCCGCCGGGCGAGCTTCACCGTGCTATGAAGGCTTTCTCGATCACGATTTTCGACCTCAAGATTTTGTTTCCCTGCCCTCCCCCGAGGTTGGAAACTCAGGTTCTCTGCTTATACACGGTGGCTACGCGAACCCTATGGTACCTGGGCTTCAGCCTTCAAACAAACGGGCTTGGACACTTCAAGAAACCTTCATGTCTCCTCGACTATTGATTTTTACCGATATCCAAGTCTTCTGGAAGTGCCAGACCTGTTTCAAAACAGACGGATACGCTGAGAAGAACTGGCATGCTTGGTGTGCATCTACTGGGTACGTAGGCGTCACTTCCAAAGAATTAAACCCTCCATCCAAATCATTTCTGAAAAGGAGTTTCTGGAAAAAGGCAGGCAAAAGTCCTGAAAATGAGTTGCTCGTGCAATGGAATAGAGTGTTTAACAACTATACTCGACGAGAACTCTCTGACGAAGAAGATAAACTCCCCGCTATTGCGGCTGTGGCAGAGAGGTTTTCGGAGGCTTTAGGTAGCGAGTACCGTGCTGGGCTGTGGAAAAACCACTTAATTGTTGGTCTGGCATGGAAAACAGTTTATAAGCAAAACTCCCGTCCCCCAAAATGGCGAAGCCCAACTTGGAGCTGGGCATCCATAGACGGAGAGGTTGCTACTACTTGGCTCGTCCCGACAGCTGAACTGCTGCATTGTAGCACTACGCCGGCCGCTGAATCTATAAAGTTTGGTGCCGTCACCAGCGGAGAGCTGGTAGTGCGAGGATTTCTAAGAAGGGTCGAGTTGAAAAAGGTGGACGACACTTGGATAATTGCCGGGAACAACCCCTCAATCAAACGAGTGGTTAATGGGTCAGGATCAACTGGTGCACAGTTTTCCTGTGATGTTCTATCAGAAATGGAGTTCTTGAGTCAGAATTCAGAGACAATCATAGCCTGGTGTTTGGCTCTTGGAAATAAAGTGGAGAGTGTGATTCGACGCAACGCTCAGCATAGTGTTGAGACTTCCTGCTTGGTATTGATAAAACTAGGTCATTCTTCCAACTTATATCAACGAATAGGGTTTTATAGGGCTGCTAGAGTTTATGGAGATCAGCCGAATTGGTTTGAGCAGGGCTAGCGTGTCGCTGTTAATATCACTTGATATCTAGATGTGCAGGAAATATCAAAATACACGTTAGTAGAATAAGACAAATATTGAGAGTACATTGACAGCACAATATTCTAATATTGAAAATGTAGATTCGTCAACGGACAACCGTCAGACCCTCTCGTGGAGGATAAAATAATTGGGAGAATCTACTTACTAATTTGTTAAGTCTTTCGTATACTTTAGAGCCAGCGAGTAGCTTGAATTAGACGGGATGGGATTATGTTGGCGAGAGATCTGGCTGCCATCACATACAAGCGAAGAACGTACTCCAATCCATTCCTCGGTGAAGACGGACAACAATCAGGGAAATTCTCTCTGGTTTCTGCGAACAGTTCTCAACTGTATCTTACTTGTTTACCTGAGACCACAGAGCTCCGCGCAAATGGTCAAGATGTTGCGGTAATCCCAGTCGAGCTTACAGACAAATCTGGTACTCGCCGCGTGTTGCAAGACCGGGAAGTATCTGTGGCAGTGACTGGCAAGCGTGATGCAGGAACCTTGGCAGGTTTTGGCACCGCTGAGGCCAGTACATACGCCAATTTCACGGATACAACAGTCAAGTCTTATTACGGGAGAGCCATGGCTGTTGTACGAGCTGGTCTGCAGGAGGGCCAATTGTCGGTCACTTTCTCTGCGCCTGGATGCGAGCCTGTCACATGTGTTATAAATGTTACATAAAGTAGCATACCACCAGTGAGTTGCGAGTCTGATAGGAGACTCTTAGCTATAACAATAATAAAAAACACTTTCCAACATTCTTCCTTTAGTAGCTAAAATGAATCTCATCAAAAGACACAACATCGTACATCTACTCAAACAAATTGAGTGAGTACTGAGTAAAGAAAGCTTTTGGAGTAGGTTTTATTGCCATTTTACCCTAAAGAGATGTCCCGTCAGACTTGTAACACACAGGTGTTTCATCCTCAACGCTGTATGAGATATGTCAAAACATCAGCATCGTATCATGCGGAGGCATTAAAATATGAGAGGACTTGTAATTCCGCACTTCACGACAGGACTGGAGTAACAGTCGAAGAGGCGACAGGCAATACTGAACTGACCTCCCTCGACATCATTCAACACTACACAGAACTGTCATAGCGATAGTGATTTCAAGTATGACTTCTAATTATTCTTACGTGTTGAAGAGCATCGCTATTCTAGAATGTTCTTGTTTCGTCTGCTCAGCATTCTTATGAGCACGAACAACATCACTGATCTGCTGGCAGTGACTCCATGGCTCTCGTTACCCGCAATAATTTTCTGGGACATAGATGATGTCTCTGTTGTGGGTTTTGACGAGGTCCAACATCTCCTCTTCCAAATCCATACTTCCCCATTTCACCCTCTTCGTCAAAGTCTTAGTGCAGGATGAACATGCAATGCAAAATAGGGCACAAATAGGATGTCTCTCTAAGTAGCAACGCTTGTGTAACATTTTGCAAAACTGCATCTTTGACTTTACCACACTGCAAGCAACCCAATTCTTTTGGATAAGCTTACTCAATAGCCAGTAACAAGTCGTAAGTTATATCGCTATCAAAACGCCAAACCAACAGGAGTAATACCATTTCGACCATATCACGTGACCGTTCCTTGGAGATAATACAGGCAATCATAAATCTCTACTGACTGTCTAAGCTCTTCCAGAACTTAGGCTTTGTCTTCTCAATTCTCACATGCCGTAAGAAGCTGTTTAAGGGGGGCTGTACGCCCAAAAGCCCTTAATCAAAATAGCGGGGCAAGGTGCATAAGCGAGACATGAGGGAGAATGACTCATGTTTGCTCATTCTGAGGGATGGGGATTCAGGGGTTTAGCGATGCCCCCCATCGAAACTGGGTCGTAATGGTGTTTTGAAAGTTGAGATTGTAGAATTGGGCTTGGAATTACATATTGGTGACTTCGACTCATGATGAGGGGATAAGTGTAGAAGTCGCTCATGAAGAGTAAGGATTATTGTTGGACAAGTATGGGCTTGTAGAGTATATAGCTTGTATGATAGAATTAATGTAATAGCCTTATTTGAATCAACTTCAGTGATGAGCAGTGATTGCAGTACCAAAAGTAAGTCATTTTATCACAAGCGCGTCAATGTATGAGGGAACAGTATGAAGAAATAATTTTGCCGAGATGATATTCCTTGATTCTATTCGACATCGTCTGAAATAAAACCATCCTATCTTCCCTATCTCCCATTGGAATACGGTGGATATTCGCTAACACTACAAGCCAAAACTTGTCTAGGACTTGGATCCCATTAACCCACGCAAGACCTGAACTTCACCCTCCAATCTCGCGACTCGAATCTTCAATTCATCTCTCTCGGCTTCAGTGTCCTTGAGAGCTGATTCTAAGCTGCTCACTTGATCCACTCTCTTCTGCCGGTAGCGACGAGCTGCCAGAGTGTTGAGGGTGCGTTTGTGAACTTTGGAAGGGTTGTTGGAGGTAGAGTTTGGTGATCTGGAAGGAGACTTTGAAGCCGTTGTGGATGACGGTACGTGTGGGCTTTTGGTGATTGCTGTATCGGGAAACAGGATCATGTCATTGGGAGATTGTGAGAATTCTATTTACTGTTAATAAGAATGATATTGCTTAGTTGTGAAGCTGCATACCTTGTGATAGATTCGACTCTGGAGAGTCAGATAGTTGTGGTGTTTCTGTTTGACTTTGATAAACAGGGTTCACAAATGTCATGGATGGCATTGATAGTGAAGGGATTGATAGATCAAATGGCGCCGTGGTGAAGAGGGGGTCGGTTTGGAAGTCGTTCGAGGGGAGGAGGTTAACATCATCCAGCAACCATGAGTCACTGGGTTCGATGCTAAGATTCCCGTGCCAGGTGTCTGAACCAAGATAGTTATCAGGGTCCACGGTAGAGAGATTGTCCGGTGCGTGTACAAGAAGTGATTCCACGAATGCAGAACACGTAGTTTGATTTGCAAAGTCCGAGAGTTCGTATTGTGTTTGACTGAGCGAATGACTATGCTGGTGGTCGTGGGCGTTGCTGGTGAGGTTGCCAGAATAGAATTGCGGATTGTCTGACGGCCGCGGCGGAGTCTGATCCTGTTGTCTCCATTGATTAATCGCTTGCTACGGGCCCAATTGACCCGTGTGTTATGCCCTCAAGTGGGATTGGTTTGGTGATGGGTTGAAGAAGAAGAAGAGGAGGAAAATGGGATGAGGTTATTGCTTTTATGGAGGGGTGGGTGGTCACGGGGATTCTTGGCCTTGGTTCAGCAAACACGCTGTAAGCGGAGTCATAGCTCAAAGCGGGGCTTGAACAGACCCAATGCACATCAGTACGCCGAGATATGCACGTCAGATGTAGCTTCGGAATCAATATCTGGATCAAATCATTATCGGTATTCTAGCGACCTCATTTTCGTCAGGAGCTCATAATTCGGGGAGAGCGAATTTACCGACTTGGTGGCGTCCCGGTGGACAAGATAAATGACAGTCGAATCACGATATTTCTCCAATTGAGTTGACGACGTAGATTTAGTGGATCAACTTGGAACAGTATCACATATTCCGTCAATTATTACAAGTAAACAGGCTTTCTTATTATTAAGCTATATCCGAAGCTGACCTATTCAGTCCAAGATTAGCGGACAGGTGACGAACACTTATTTGGTCGTCTGCGGGGAGGCTTGTTCGCTCAAGTGGCGACTTGATTCAGGAGAAATGAGAATTTAATTCCTCCAGCTCATCCTCCAGCTTTTCTTCCTTCAATCCCATAAGAGAAGTTACAATGACTAGATTTGCTTGTCATCACGTTTGGCGACTTTGGAAGAAGAATTCACCATCTTCAAACCACCTTTGCATCACATTTTATTCACAAATCTAATTATCCCCCTTCTCCGGATCTCTCATTGTGCTTCTCTTTCTCACAATTCCGTTCCCTGAATTACCTTTCAGTCGAAGGAGACTTCGCCAGCTCGGCGGAAGAGGAACGTGGGATTTTGCAATTAGATTCCTTCCGTCTGCAACAAAGAGACATGCTAGCGTAACAGGTATTGAAACAACAAGATATATCCAAAACGTTTCTTTCAAATTTCTCAGATCCGCTTCCATGCTGAAGAAACTAGAGATGAAAGCCATGGGCGCGAATATGACCGCTACGTAGGTGACACGAGCAAGATTCTCGTTAGTTTCACGTGCTTGTTGGTTTTCTTCCATGCTGATTTGGTTTTGTTCCACGCCGATGATGGTTGTGACAAGGCTCATGATGTTTGGGGTGCGGGTTTGTAGTTCTTCGACTCTAGCGAGGAGGCTTTTGAAATCTGAGTTAAGACGTTGAATGTATATCGAGCTTTGATTTGAGTTCTGTTCTTGCTCGATATCGAGAATTGCATTAAGAGTCTCGGAAATCATGGTTCGATATGTGGGAAGAAGCCGACGTAGGGGATGAAGACGATCTAGCAAAGCTGGCAGGTTCGTATCCGGGCGGTATAACGGGTGCTCGAGTCGATACTCAATTCTAGTGAGACCAGTAATGATATAATCAATCACTCGCATCCAGTCAGCAGTCACAAGACTAATGATCGGCAAGCCCAAAACTCGGTTATCTTTCTCAATTGCTTTCATCTCTTCGCTGGACATGTTGCAAGCGTAATAACAGACGTCCTCAAAAAGGGTTCCGTGAGGGCCATATTGGTCAATTACTGTATCGTGGATGCTTGGGCAAGGCAGTAAATTTCTTGGACCCTCCCATAGGGGATATCCTGCTTCAAGGGTTGGATCAACCACAAGAATGCCTGTTATCAATCAGAGAATTATCACGAAAGCTAGTCAAATCTCTTACCAAGTATTCCATGATCTTCCTCTTTGTTCTTACGGATCCAAAGTGCAGTCTTGCTCCGTACCAAACCCACCGTGGGGCCTTTCGGTTTTCGAATTGCGCGCACTTTCCAGCTCAGGTCTTCCTCTAGACTTCTGAGAACATTCCAGTGCCCCAGTTCGCTCTTTCCCTCTCGGATAACGATTTCAGACTCAAAGTATCTTGCTCTCATGTACCTCAGATTGAAGTAATTACGTGTCTTGGCTTGGTGTGGGAGACCGTTCAAGTCGGTGAAAGCGTCCGTCTCCTGGTTCCACAGATAGTCCTCAATATGACTTCTGAAATATTGAGGATCAACATCATACTTTGCACCCAGAGCTTCGATAACATCTCGTGATAGGTCCTCGACAACGAAAAGCCGTGCATAAGATGGCTCAGCTGTGCTCTCGAGAAAGGTCTGGAGGTCTTCGGTGTTATCAATATGAGATTCAGTTGGCTTGACATACGAGTTCCCGTACTCAATGACAGCGACTTTCACCTTCCTCGCCCGTTCTTCGATATCCTTATCGCCAAGTACTTTCCATTTTATGGGTGTAGTTGAAACTTCCATAAAATCCGCTAACCATGTTATGTGAGGCCACCCTTTGCTAAGAGATTTGAGGTACCTCAAGTAAGGTCTTTCAGATCTGCATTCAATATCAGTAAGATGCATTTGAAGCCTATCAGGAGTAGATACTGTACATATCAATTGCCCAATTTTCGCGTTTGATGCGTTGGTCATAAATGCCCCCAATATCTTTGTCATCCGGTTCCAATGTCTGAGGAAGAGCATTGGGGTTTAGAGGTATGACCTTGTCTAGCTTCGAAGAATCCTCAGATTGGTGGCTTGTGGAGGCTTCCCATGAACCTTGTTTGCTTGCTTGTGGGATCAGACTAGGCTCCACCAACAAGTGATTGGGAGGAAGCATACTCGAATGCATCGGTCAAATGAACAATATTAAGCTTGTATATAGACTTATAATGTTTCAAAACATTTGAAGTACTTACTTTGGACTCGAAAGTGAAAAGTGATTACAAGAGAAGGAAGGAGAAGATGCAGCGCAGATTTTAGGGGTGCAGCCTGAAGTTGGAAAGGTACCTCAGCGCAAGGATCTGACGTGCTTAAGCGCTGATACCTCCTGTACACGACAGAGCCTTTTCTAAATGCTGCGCATCTCACGAGTTTCAACCATTTTCATATCTCTATTTCACGATCAAAATATAATTGTGTAAGAGTCTTTATGGAGTCGATTAAAAGTGAAGTTTTTAATATCTGGATCTAAAGTAGTTGAGTTTTGATGGTGAAAATGGTTTCTCGCTGCACCGAAACATTGTGCCAGATTCACTACCCAAGAGGATCGTGAGACCTTGTAACACACAAGAAGAATTTCCAGTAATTGGAGGCAACCAATACGAGAATGTTAACAATGTCTTCTTACGCCATCATGGAGGCAGCGATGCACACGCGCCCAAATTGAGAGATCTACTACTACCCCGTATGTATATTGTTTTGAGTATGCGAAATATCGAGATCAGTCAACTAGAAAGAATAAATATATCTTTGTCCCAATGTATCACCTCAAACTCGAATTCAGCCCAGGTGGCCCAGGCATCGTGCAAGGCAAATTGACACGTCCCCGTAAAGGATCGCTTAGTTACAGATTGACCAGTGTTGGTGGCCGTATGTTGTGATACCCCGTTATCTGTTGGTCAGTACAGAAAGGTCGAGAGTATCAGACATGCTGCGCCTCAAATTTTTCTTATCGCCTCGTTCGGGTCTCTATGCTGCGCCCACCCGCTTTTCAGCCTCGATAGTCGAGGATATACGATTGGTGCTTGTTGAAATCTTGAATGTTTGCTCTCTAGGTAACCGAGTTCGAGAATGAGATCCTTTTCTAGAGGAGTAAAATTCTCTTGACTTATCTCAAAATCCAAAGAGAACTGTACAACGCTTGTCTCGAACTATTTGTTGACTCCTGTATACCAAATTGACTTTTTCTCCAAAATCGCTGAGGTTTGTTGGGAGATCTCGGAATCCCAATTGACGTCAGATTGTAACTCCACCCAAAGAATTTGATCATGCAATAGTAATTTGCGGAGAGATATAAAGCGAAAAGAGCATGGGGAGACTACAATAAAATGTGCCTAAACACTGCTAGAGGAGACACCTCTTGAGCACGCTGTCGTTCGTAAATTTGTCTTCCTATGTCTAGATTGCCTAGTAGGAACCAAGAGAACAACGAAAGCATTCAAATATTTAAAATCGGAGAGGTAATATGGTGTCTTCGATCATTGCGTTGCCCAATGATATCCTCTTGGACGCCTTCAATTTGAAGGGGAAGTTATCAAGGACCCCTTCAAAAGTGCAGTCAGAGCTGTGACCATATTTGCAACATGAATCCCAGAGGATTCTCCCTCAATGCCCACAATCAGGTGTCTCTTCTTTACTTCTGTTGCAAGAGTGGGCTCTGTAATACCTCTCGCTGACGGGGGAAGATCAAGAACATTCAAGGCCTCGAGCACGTCATTTCCTGAGACACCAAGTGCAGCCAAAGCATCATATACCACAACTTTGGTAAATTTGGTCACCTCCTCTCCTTCAGGGTATTGCTCGCCATCTGGATGTGCATCTAACCAGTTTGTTCTAGTACGGGAAAAGTGATGTTGATCTAAATCGGGACGGAATCGCTTGCTGGGGTCTTTTTGGGACGCATTTCGGTAGAAAGAAATATCTTGCAGTTTCTGAACCTTCAGAAGATGCATACCTACTTCGTTCTTGGTTTTGGCAAGTTCGATGAAAACATCCAGGTCAAGTCTAGCCGCAATAGCTGCAAATTTGGTGTACACTGTCGAAGGTATCTTCAGTCTTTGTATGAGAGCATGGAACTCCCTTGCGGCTGTTGGGTCGTATCGGTTGTTGTTTGCCGTGTCCAGAGATAGAAGAGCTCCGTCTGGAGATATATAATAGCCACCTTGCAGTACTATGTTCGAGACAGAGGCTTGCATGAGGTCTTCATGATCTTTTGAGAATATGTGAATATCTGCCAATGATGACAAAAGCAACAAAGTTAACTTCTGACCTGCTGTCTTAGCGTTCTGGAGTAAGGTTCTCAGTAAACTTTGGCCACATAACCTCTCTTTTGGGTTTTCCTCGCTAAAAAACCGGGGATCTGTATCAGATGACATAAAAGCGCAATCAAATTCATAGTCTTCAACACGGTGTCTCTCCTTCTCTGGCTTTGTATCATCAAATCCACGAGTACCTTGAACTATGCGCATATCGGGTAAACCCAGAAGATCGAGCGCACCACGACCGAAACGAGCACGATCTTTTGCAGGTTCGAGATTCGCGATAAATCCCAGAAGTTCAATAACCCCAAGACGATGTAACTCTTTTAAGACGACCATAGCCGCGAGATCGTCGTAGTCCTTTGCGAGATCTGTAATGACGAGTACTCTAGGCTTTTCGATATTGGTTTGTCTTCGTCCCTTCACAACACCAAGAAGAATCTCGTAAACTCTTCTTTCAGCTTCAGTCAGATGGACGCCATTTTTCTCGTTTGGAATCGTCCAAGACGAATCTGGAGAGCCTGAGATTTCGGACGCCATGTATTTTGTCCCGCTTGGACGACTTGAATTGCTTAGACACAGATTTGAACTCCTTCCTTGTCGTAGTGAGTGATGAAAATGAGTACTGTGTTGTGGAACGTGTTGGAACAGTGTGTTGGAGTTTCTTTGGGGTAGTGAAGCAGGCAACGAACTTCATTCGATTGTGATATTGGTTCAAGGTTGAATTTTCTCCAAAACAGCTAAGAAAGTTTGTCCTCGTCTGGATTTTCCGCAACTGGTGACGAAAGATCCAGAGATTTAAACTGAGTTAAGTATTGTGTGTAATTGTCAAAAGGTGACTGCTTATGGACTCAGCACTGCCACTGCCACAGCTCAGCTGCGCTGGCAGTATCACTTCTCTCACCGCTGACAAAACCGGTTAGCAACGTGCTTAGTAATCATGAAATTATTTCCACCTGATCCATAATAGAATAAAAAATCACCACATAATATAACCATCAAACCCAACGACAATTTTGTCGACCACCCTTGCCTAGCGAAGGGCATAGTTTATATAAAATGCGTCTTTATGAAAATAAAGAGATGTATGAAAAGATGGAAAAAGCTTATCAAGAATATGATTGATAGAAGTAGTTTAAGCAATCAAAGATGCTGGTTTCTATTGTTCGGCCGCCTTCACCACGCGCGTCATCTTGCTTTTAGCCCTATCATTCAACTAGACCGAATGATGATGTCAAAACATCGAGAAAACGAGGCTCTCGGTGACATCTTGCATTTATGTTCCCTATACCGCTACTACCCTTTCTTAATCATGTCAGAGTGAGGCTTAACATCTAATCAGAGTATTTATTTAAGCAATTTGATTCAATCAGATAATTTTTTTATAGCAACGCTAAAGGAATAGCTGAGTATCCCCTATGTGCGACGACTATTTTTCAATTGATTCTAGCTTAAAAATAAGGTCTCGTTAAGTGGATTTATTCTTTCTATTTAGTCAATTGAGACTCTGTAGGTATCAGAAATGATAAGAGTACAGCCGAGAACAGGGAGAGGAGCAGTCTATTGATGGACACTTGAGTCTAAGGTATGTGTCTAAGACATTAAAAAGTAAGTTCAGTCACTCGTAAGGCTGAGAGTTCGATCAAATAGGTGCTCAAAGGATATAATGTACAGTCTTCTGTTCAAATTTGGAATTTTTATTGTCCTATGAAATAATAATTCTTCACCAACTTCCTGTATTTTTTTCATTTCTGGTTGAATACATATCTCATTTGTTTTTTGCCTCACTATATCTTCAGACTTAGAACAGTACACTGTTGAGTTTTAAGATATTCTAGCGGCCAACCGTGAGTACCACCAAATATTCTCGATTCAAACGCAATCAGAGATTTTGTTGTCAGATACTGCTTTTTTAGTAATCGTCCCGGTAGCAACTCCAGCACTTTGTGACGGACAAGCGTTGTAATTGATTCACCTCCAGAATCGTGTAGTTTCCGGGAAGCTAAAATCAAGAATATTTTAGTTCAACGTACTGGATCTCCTAACATAGAACATTTTGAAGGAAGGGGCGTTATCTCGCAAAAGAATAATAGAAGTATCTATAATCAATAGTTATTTGCGGACTTTTGAGTAACAAACTCTACGTGAGGGTCTAATTTCTCGTTAACTTTCAGCTCGGCAGTAGTATTGTAGTATACAAATCTCGTTTCTTAATAACTTATATATCAAAGCAAAATAGAAAGCAATATTTTTATTGGCACCTTGAAAATATATGTATTTCGATGTAAGAGGAAATTATTAGTATAGGCATATTTTAATAAGCTTAATTTGACTCATTAAAGTTCCCTAGAAGTATTGTAAAGGCGAGAAGAAAGGAACGAAAACGCCCAAGGTCGTAGAGCAGACTAAGCGAACTTAGCAAATACATTGTGATCTAAAAGAATGCTAACTAGACTATTTGATACTATAAGATCTAATAGATTATATCCCGAAATGCTTCAATCTTATAAAGTTACGGATTGTGGCATTGCTGTATATCTTTTCAATAAAAAGTCGTAGGGTGTGTCAAAGATCGCAATATATTCTGACCTTAGACAAGATCTGATGAAATAGCGGTATTTAAGCACCAGTTGAACTTCTAGGTGATTATCAATCACCCTCTTGTTTCGTCCACAACAATCCATCCATCTTCATCGTGAACATCTCCACTCTCGATTCCAGTCTTCCTCAGACGTGTTTTCTCCATCTCTTCAACGTTTCCTTCGTGTTCCAATTTATGCACCACATTATTGTTGTTGATTGGCTCCCCAATATCGCTCTCACTTGTGTCTGCTTCACCCTCAATAACCCTGACGCTCATCCGAGCCCATCGCTCCTCTCTCAACCTTCGCCTCCAAGCCCTTCCCGTATTCTCGAATACCAACTTTACGTTCTCGCATTCCATTTTTGTATTTCTTTGCGAATGACCTTTAGATGGATGATATATTATGCGCACGTTTGGGATGCTTGTGGATGTAGCTTAAATTGTTTTGATTGTTGAAAAGGGTTTGAGACAATGAGGTTGAAGCTTGGTTGAGATGCAACATCAACAAAAAGTGAAACAGTATTTAAGTGACCAGTGTACTTAAGCGCAGCGGATATAAAATTCCATACAATGATTGTGACCAATATCGGATAGCAATGTTCTCATGATGGTCTCGGTGTGGCTGTGGCGGAGTTTAGGCAGCTTCGAGGGCATACTTGACGGTTCCTTTTTAGGCCGCCGAAAAATTCAGAAGTCGTGGTTTATAATCTTTCATCAGGTTATAACGAGGCAATTTAAGTCATGTCGGAAAATGATCGTACGAATGGCATAAAAGAATCTCGGTGAAGATCGTGAATGTTTTTCCGCGTGTGAGGAAGCTAAGTCGGAAACAAAGAATCGCACCGAAGGACCGGAGGCTATTTGGCTCCCCAAATATTTTTCTTATTTTTGATCATTAGGTGTTATGTTTTTAAAGTCTAATCATCACCTTAATCAGTTCCAAATAATTGTTTAGCTTTGCACTCACCAAATTTGATTGTCGCCCGAAAGTCTTGAATCATATCGCCGTTTATATGACGCAGTATGAAAAGGCATCTGTAGAGCCCTCGATCAATCCAATTCGGTGTAAAAACTTTCATTGCTAAATTAAAACAATCGATATGGTCGCTGATGCAAGAATGCTAGTGTGGCCAGCTGCAGTGCTGATCGACAGTTTTATTGTGATAGACTTGACATTCGGCGATATAACACCCATCCTGCTTTCTCCGCAGCGTGCAGATATGACACCCATAAAGACTTGTCCTCTAACAAAATTTAATCTGTGTTCGGCACTCGACGGCCTAGCAGGTTGTGCCCTTCGATACGAATGCGTCGAAGTGGCTGCCACCACACCATAAGTTATTAGTCCGGGAGCCATCTTAAAGGCAAACCGTTCAATGTGATAGTCGCTGGTGTGCTCTATATGGACTTGTGTTTTGCGAATCTTCATACATTCAACATTACGAGAAGTGCAACTAAGTTGTTGTCATGAAGTTTCAAGATACACATTGAGTCCGGAGAACGCATCACCTCCTGACAAGTTTAGAGCAATTAATAGAATTTGAAGTATTACAGCACTGGTGCCTTGTAAAACGGAAAGCGACGATAACTTCAGAAAACGACTTTCCAAGACTCCTTGAGATCTTAAAAGAGAGATGAAATTGTGTATTCTCTCAAGAAGATAAAGCAAATACACAGCTTCTGGCAGACTATGTTCCTTCTACTATTGAGTGATCAGAAGTTCAACTCATTTGTGGAGTGAGAAATAGAACTATAGAAGACGCATCAGCAGTCGCCACCGGGCTGAGCACAGTGCCGAGTTTTCGTAGTATTATGATTTTTACCTCTCTAGCTCTTTTACTCTAGTATTAGGGAGTGCTTTCAAATCAAATTATAATCTTCATATACATATCAAAAGTACGGATTTTCCAAATATTATCGTAATCCAAACTAGAGAGAGAGTATGTCAAGCACGGTTGCCACATACTGCTGTAGCGTTGCAACGACCATACGTACAACCACTACAGCTTTTTATTCACTACAAAATCTATTACAGAGATCCTAGTAAACGGAGCAAAGGTAACGTACACACCCTGTGGCAATCTAAATAGAGACCGCGGGAGTCGAATCAAGCTTAAATTTAGGGGGGCCGCTAGGCTAAGCGAGTCCCTGACAGCTGGTCTGTGTTTCCTACCAGACTCTGTCGTATCTAGAGCAAGTATATCGCATTAGTTCTCATCATCAATCTGCGAGCTGATTGCGATCTATATTCACATGCAGAATATATACTCTAACTGGTCCAAAACCACTTTTATCTACACCATTCCCCTCTTTGCAAACGTCAATTCCTCACATTACATCATCACCGCCTATCTTCAGTAACTCTAAACTCTCTATCAACCTGAATCCCACCCATTTTGCTGTTTGCCCCCTCAGATCTCGAATGCACCAGCGGATACTCGTCAACTTCCGCGCTCACAATGTGCGTGTCGGTGTCGGAGCCATGGTGCGGCGAGTATCCCTTCGGTTTCCCAAACTTGCGCGACTCAACACCCTGCGAACTTTTGCCGTACGCGGTGTTCTTGTAGCCAGATTGTCGGGAGAATGTGTTTTTGGCGCGAACTCCCAATACACTAAGGACCGGACGGAGGGAGGGTAGACAGGCTGGATGGTTGTCAGTAGATTGCCGCAGATGGGCTCTCGAAGCGGGCGAGCTTACATGATACAACAGCCAGATTTGTCTCAACGTTAGTCCACATTACGAAACTTGTGATGGTCCATGATAAATCGGGGGAGGTGAAATCCGTTTGCAACTGGATCGCGAGTCGAATGATGCTGACCACGCACACGAACCCGCCTAGCATGAATATTCCGATTAACGCAAGTTTGCGTCCACTAGACTGCTGCAGATTCCAGATGAATGGAATAGGCAGAAGAAGGATCGCAATATCTGTTGCGATGTTTGGTACGGAATTACCGAGCAGGAACTTTGTATTATCGACGCATTTTCCACCGATTATCGAGCGGTTCCACCAGAAGTTTACTGGAGTGCATTGAAATATGACGACAAGTACCTGTTTGATGTTAGCGTATACCATAATTTCGATGATCACCATCTCGGCGTACAATTGCAATGTTCCAGGCTACGACGATGCTTCCTAGGATATAAATCGGCAGGTGGATCTGCTTTATCGGCCTGAATATCCGCCAATAGAATACTAGTATAGAGAGCTTAGAGAACGAGATAGACGTTGCATAGAAACATGCAGCGGGTAAGTAGGTTTTGAGGAAGTTCGTGATCGCTGCCGAATTTGTGAGGTCTACATGACGACCTAGGCCGTAGTTCATCACTTTGAACCCGTTGTCAGCGATTTGATTTCATACCGAGCGGTTGTTACAAGAGCTAGGACTTACGGAGAATGGTACAAATGAAGAATCCTAGACTCCATATCTATCCAACGGTTGATCAGCTTCCGGGTCTCATGTGAGAGTGAAGAAGGCTTTCATGTGGATGACTTACCAGCGCGAACAGAACGAGCCAGTCGTCCCACCAGAGTTTCGCCTTTGTGAATGAAGTCTTCGTCACTACTCTCAACAAAACAGCAATGGCCGCTGCCGCAAAACATATGCTCATAGCAATACGCACTGGTTCGCGTCTATCATCCGTCGGTGACCCGAAGACTGGCACGGTAGGTGGCGCACCATTGCCGCCAGGGACTTGGCTTGACTGAAGGGACATGTTTGCGCAACTTCCGGAGCGACCAGAGATTATTGTTGTGCAGTAATGACGAAGAACGGAGTGTAAGCACGGCTGAAGGTTTGAGACCAGAGCCAGTGGAGGAAAGGTGCAAAAGAGAAGTGTGGCCGCGAAGCTGTCGATTTGGGGAAATAATCGATCAGCGAAGGTAAATCGCTGTGCTCGCTATACGAGCCGACCAATTATTCGTTATCGGTCCCGAATAACTGCAACGGAATCGCGTGTCGAAGATCGTCCTATTAGGTCCATTAAACCCTGGACAGTGCGCCACCCTTATTGAAAATTCTCTAGGTCTGACTCCCGTAAAATATGGGAAGGGTTTGGCCATGCTAGAGCCCCAGCAAGATGTATTTCCGTGCTGACAGCAGTATCGTCAGCCGATTGTCACCCTAATGCAGTAAGTTTCGGGATTTGAGCGCCCCTTCATTAAAGTTGCCGAATTAATCTATTAGAGTAGCATCGCTTTGTGTTACCAACCTAGTACAGCGAGGCGCATTTACGTGGCGTTTTATATGCATCAAAACTGACATGGAACCCACTCATGGCAAAAAAGAAAGGCCTCATCCGAAATCTTCATGAGACTTTAGGATTTGAGCACGTCGTGACGATTAATCTTCTTTTGGGCATGACGAGCTTTAAGAGGATGGTTAGATACCTGTCGGGACAAATGAGGTATCGAGGAGTAGCTTGGTAAGCGTCTTCTCGTTACATGACTTTTAATAGAGCAGTCACTCAGCAAATGAGCCCTAGGTACCTGTTCTGCATGTATTGGACTATTTTTTCACTCAACTGCAGGCGTCAGTTTGACCTTGCAACCATGGAGGTTCTTCGCTGTAATCTGCATCTGGCCCACCCATTCCCTCTCGTCCCTTGATTCTATATTGTCGAATTCTTGTAATAGTCTCGCTACAAAGTAAGAAGTTTCCATTAGCGCTTTTTGCTTGCCAACACATGATCTTGGACCTCCTCCAAATGGGGCATATTCCCATGCTTTGGGCTTGAAAGTGTTCCAACGTTCAGGCTTGAATTGGTCGGCGTCTGACCCCCATATTTCGGGGCTTCTATGTAACACCGCAAAGTTCGCATCAAAAAGCGTTCCTGCTTGAATGTATATTGGAGATTTTCCATCGCTGCCACCGCCAGTTGGAAGGATGCAGTCGGAAAAAGCTTCGCGGATATGGTAAGGAAATACCGGGTAGAGGCGGAGAGCTACAGTTCTTATCAGTACTGGTTTAACCACGACTTGGGACTCGAAGTCCCAAAGCGAGAAAACTTACCTTCATTAATTACATTTTGTAGATACTTCATTTTCATAGCAGCATCAAAGTCCAAAGGCGTGCTCCCAGTGGACTTGGCCTCTTCCCGTACTTTCGCTTGAATATCTGGATTTCGAGCCAGCAGATATACAATATTGCTAATTAGACATGCTGTAGTCTCATGAGCCGCCACAAAAGCTTGCGTAGCTTCATTGCGTAACTGAACTCTATCGTCCATGTTCTCTGCCATAAGATCGAGGAGCACTGGCCGCTTCGAGCTGTTGCTGGTTTTAAGCTGCCCGTTAGCCTTGCGTTCCAAAGCACTATCGACGTATTTTTCGATAAAAGCGTGGTTCTGCGCGTTTGATTTGTGCCATTTTGCATCGCGGTGCAAGAATTTCAAAGGACCCAATGCCATGCGCAGTCCACCACCTCCAAGAGAATAGCCAAACGAATCGATAAACTCTTGCGCGTCTCCTTGTAATCCGCGTGCTAAGGATTCGAAAGATTCGCCAAACAGAAAGAGCGTTGCAGTATCCAGGTAGAGACTGAAAATCAATTGCTGCAAATCTGTAGTAGTTTCGTCTCTGGGAATCTGCTTCAACATCAATTGTAAATAGTGCTCATATGTTGTATGGTCTTTGATGTTTGCCCGCGAGAAACTGCTGCTGAACAACTGCCTCGAACGTTCCCACTCTGGCCCATCGGTCGTCAAGAAGCCTTTACCACAATACGCATTCAAAGCCGGCAATCGGTAAGATACACCCCAATTGCGTGCATTCGATGCAAAAACACTTTGGAGGTTGTCCGGGTCGCAAGAACAGATGGTAGGCGCCCCAAGTGTTTTAGTTTCAAAGGTACGTCCATTCTCTTTATATCGCTGGAAAAATACTGGCAGGAAAGTATGCTCGGAGAACATCTTTCCTGCCTGGAGAAACAGATCAAAACCGAAGACTGGGTCTTTGTGAGGGTACTGTTTTGGAGAAGCACATCCATTTCTACGTGCAAGGTTATTGTATTGATAGATTCGTAGCAGGCGATAGGCAATAGCGCTTGCTATCACGCCGCAAAATATGGCTATGAAGCTCGCCATTGTCGACAATGCTCGAATGGAAGTTACGAGCTTGCTAATAGAAGCAGGATAGTCTAGAGAGTGTTTTGCTCAGAGTTCAAGGGTGGTATGAAATGTCGGGGTAGCTGCGTCTACGCTGAGAAGATAGCGCTATCATTGTGTCAACTCGGAATATTGATTATTAGCATAAGTCCTACGCCCCCAACCCTTCCAACCATGCCCAGCCCCAGCCTGAGTTGCGAACCTGGGGTCAACGCCACCAACACAATAGTGCTGCGGTCCGTGCCGTAGGGCTGCGGATCTTTTACTTTAGGAATTGGGCACAATATTCACCTCTAGTTTTGCGCCAACAATGAACCAAGTAATCAAATTTCTGTGCCGTTTGACAGTCAATTTGACTTCTGCCCTCGTCAGCGACTTTAAGTGAGCCCTGCAATCTCAGAAGTTCTCACAGCTCACGGAAGAAAACTGGTCAAGCACTTTGAGGTGTGCGAGTCGAGACTGGTGAAGTTGACTCAAGGTTCAAACTCGGCAGATGTGGGTCTAGCAAGATGAAGATTATGATGGCAAATAACGACAACCACTCGCATCTTCCTATTATTTAGTGAGCTCACGTAAGATATTTCATCTGCTTACGGATTCAGTTAGGCGGTTGGATTCGGCTGTGGGTTGACGTTGCAACAGACATCAGACAAGCTGATTGTCTTATTGTGCGGCACTCGACCTCGCATAATGCAAGGTGATAGGAAACCTCGGGGAAATGTACGTCTGGCTGCCGGCTCAGTGGTTCTGGTGGCGTGAAATCACGATCAATGCTGGCGATCGATGTCCCGGAATAATATATTTTTGACAGGTACAACATGCTGGCAAACTGCCTGAACCGAGGCCTCCAACTTCGTTGCGGGTCCAAACAATAGCACCCTGCAGCTCAAGGTTTTACCGTTTAAGGTTATTTTTACCACATTAATTTTTACAACGTAATATTTACGAAAACTGATAATTTATGCCTTTTAATTATAGTGGTGTGCTAAGAAAAGTCGCAGTGTACTGGAAGTTTTCCAGCAGCCTAGGTCTTTGTCACTGGGTGTCCGAGGTGGTAACTATCCTTTTATGACGATAACCGTAAGAGAACTCGTGTATAGTAATTGATGAAATCTTCCAAGATGGTTGAGGTTCGTCGAACACGACCTTGGCCCAGGTACTCTATGGTAGCCTCTTCAACGCTGGTTTTCTTCATCGTCGGCTGCGGAATTGGCACAATATCACCGTTTCCTTTCCAAGACCCTTTTCTCGATAACTATATTCAAGTACTCAGTGCGACAGAATCCTCACTGACGTGCACTTCCATGCGAGTACGTCGAGAATGGCGGAAACTTTCACAACCACAACGAGAAAATTATTTCAACGCAGTCCACTGTCTACGCAAGCAGCCTGCAATCTTAGCTAACGGCTCGCTCTTCGACGACTTCCCATACGTCCACAAGGCGTATGGAAGCTACTCGCACAAATCAGCTTTGTTTCTGCCATGGCATCGATGGTTTATTCATTTGTTTGAAGAGGCACTTGTTACTCAGTGTGGATATGCTGGAGCATTACCTTATTGGGACTGGACTTTGGATTGGGAGGACATAACCAAATCGCCTGTGTTTGACCCTGTCTCTGGGTTTGGAGGAGATGGAGATGCTACTGGTGAAGTTACGGTCGGTGGTGGACGTTGTGTGATTGATGGGCCGTTTGCAGGGTTAGAAGCTCTCAGATTTGACGCAGACTGGGCTCCACATTGCCTATCAAGGGGGTTTCTCAAAGGAAAGGTTCTGAGAAAGATGTGTGGGGAAGATATACGCCCGGATGTAGTAGCTAAAGTTCTTGAAAAAGAATCTTTCGAAGACTTCATGTCTGCTTTGGAGGAAGGTCCGCATATCGGAATAAGCACAGGCATTCGAGGAGATTGGGTCAAGTTCACTGTTCCGTATGGTATGTAATTATTAAGAAGCTCATGGCAATTTACTGATATGTTTAATAGACCCTCTTTGGTACCTTCACCATGCGCAACTGGACCGGCTGTGGTGGACATGGCAGCACAATGCTCTCGGAAGAGCCTTAGAGTACGACGGCAGGTCAAACAATAACACAAGTGCTCGTGCAAAACTGTCAGACACAATGGACTACGGAGACTTCGTGTCAAGTATGTATGTACGACAAGTGATGGGGACAGAGTCTGAGACCTTATGCTATCGTTACGTATAGAAATGAATATGAATTTTTACTTTAAGAGTTTCCCCTCGATATTCCGATACTTGATCATCAGTCGCCTCCAGACGTAGATTGTGGGATTTGCTCCTCTACATCCACAAGAATAAAACTCTTGTCTTCAAGTACCCTCCACTTCTCAGCCCACTCCTTCAATTTCTCGTAATCTCTACACTGTCTCGGGAATCCCATTCCCGGAAACCCATTATCTGGCACCTCGAAAGGCTCGAGACTTGAGTCCGCGCTACACATGATTGCATTCCGCAGATACTCGAAGCAATGCCCGATATGCGCATACCGGTCGATACCATTGTCGAACGACTCAAGCTTTGAGTCATTAAGTCCCGTAGAATACATTGTTCGTCGCAGAGTATAGAGACAATGTAATTGATGCATTGCTGATATTGTGGAGATGTTCTCTGTGGCTGGGATATCTGGGTTTCGTACGTATCCTAGGCCGAGTGGGAGAAGAGAGTCCCATACTGGCTCAGCTACACCATCAAAAGGAGGAGGTTTCATGAAGCGTTCTTCTTGTTGGAATGTCTTCATGATGTTTGGTATGTGTACTGTACAGAGTCAATTGTTTTTCGTAAAATCTTGTGTGGACAATGACAACTCACCTCGAGGAACCGCTTCTTTGAACGCATCAGGAGTATTTCGCAATTTTGCAGCTTCCCATCCCACATAGCAACCAGCGATAAATAATGCTACGCAAAGCCCAATTAACCTGGCAAAATCGACATGGAAGCTCAAAGCATGTCGATGACTAGATGACTTCTCTTCTAAGCCATTATCGTCCAGGAGCGGTTCTGTCGATTCATTATTTTCTGCCATCTCAATTTGCGGAAAGTGATTGTCTACAGCCTTTCGTCATAGAGAAGCCAAAAAGGTTACCAAGGCCGGACGTGAGATCCAGTAGGTAGGTCTTCAGGTACCTATCCAGTTAGTGCATGTCTTTCGCAGCACTTCCAAAAACACCGGAACATAAAAATAGGAGGCCAGCTCAATGTTTGGTAAATATGGACAGGGGCATCACCACAATAAAAGTAAAGCATTGGCGGAAGATTACAGATTTTCTATATAAATCCAAGACAGCCGCTTGCAGATTCGACGATACAACACCCCTCCTCACCCTAGACAGTATGACTTCTCGCATCGAAGATCTTGCTCTAACGGTCGCCACCAGCATCAGTCAGATTGGCGACTATCTCCGTTCCCAGAGCCTGCCATTCCCCTCCTTCGATGTCGATGGCCCAGTGGAAGCTACCCTGAAAGATGTCCAAATCGAGCAAGCAAGACAAGACGCTATGGCGAGCTGCCTAGAACTCTTTTCCCTTCTGCAAGGCCCACGAATGTGCCTTCGACCCTGCGTAAGTCACATTTCTTGCTCGGCTTACCACAGGGAGTCAACTACTGATGCTTGCCAATATCGCAGTACAACGCCGCGCCCATGCACGCCATATACAAGTTTGAGATCGCGCAGAAGGTCCCCCTCGTCGGTGACATCTCCTTCACGGACCTCGCCGTCAAGTGCGGACTTTACGAACCTGATTTGCGGCGTATTATTCGATTTGCTATCATCTACCATCGTGCATTTCTCGAACCTCGTAAAGGTTATGTCGCTCACTCGGCTGCTTCACGGCAGTTGATGGAGGATGCAGATGTGCGCGATGGAATTGGGCTTATGTTTGATGACTTCTATCCGTCGTTTGCGCGGGTGAGAAACATCCAATGGATTTCTTGTGGTTGTGTGTGCTAAGCGAGAATTACAGACCGTTGATGCTATAGAGACATTTCAGGGGCAAGAGCCTAATCAGACGGTAAGTTGTCACTTCTTCTTAAATTTTGGTTGATTGTGTATCAAATATTATAACTTCGCGTGTTTAGGGATGGGCTCTAGCCCACAACAGCACGCATCAGTCAACCTTTGAGTACCTAGCGGAGCACCCCTCCCGCGCTGCTCGCTTCAGCGGTGCAATGAAGTTCTTTTCCAGCACGGTCCCTGGAAACTCCCCATCTCACCTGCTCCAAGCGTTTCCCTGGGGGGAGCTTGGGGCTGCAACGGTAGTTGACGTGGGGGGTGCAGATGGCTATGTCAGCATGCTGCTCGCACAATCGTTTCCGAAATTACAGATTACCGTCGAAGACCTGCCCCATATCGCTCAAGAAGGGAAGGTACCACTCCCTCTCAGAGAAAGGGTACGGTTCGAGGCACAGGACTTCTTTCAGGAGCAGAACGTCAAGGGCGCGGACGTTTATCTTTTACGATGGGTGCTGCACGATTGGCCGGACAAGCAAGCTATCCAGGTATTGAGAGCGTTGGTTCCTGCACTGAAGAGCGGCGCTAGGGTGCTGATCAATGATAACGTTGCGCCGGGACAGGCAGGGCTGATGCCGCTGATCCCAGAGCAGTTCATAAGGTAACGCCGTCCATCTCCTCCCCTCTTCCCCCGGTTGATTATGTTGGTTCCAACAATGTCTTTCCCATCTAGCGTGTTGGTTCCAACGACGTTTCCCCTTTTAGCGTGTTCGTTCAAACAACTTACCATACGATTATGACATCTGACATTTAACAGAGAGTTGGATATGATCATGCTAGCTGCTTTTAACGCGTACGAGCGTGAGCTAGAGGACTGGGAGAGGCTTGTCAAGGCAGCTGACCCGCGTTTCGGGCCTATCAAATACACCCAACAGTCGGGTGCATTGTTGGGTGTTCTGGAGATTGAGTGGTTGGGGGAGTGATGAGCGCTTGAAGGCACTAAAACCTGACGACATGTCAGTGAGAGGTTCTAGGTTGTTTTCTGCAGTGTGCTGTATGAATGAATTTAACCAGTTCGTACTAATGCCGGTATTTGACCTTCCCGATTTTGTTGTGATTGCTTTGTGCGCTCTCGCAGTAAGCTGCATCATGGTAACCAAAATCGGCCCATTCACTGCGAGATGTGTGATTCTTGAACAGCGGACGTAATGCACCGGTGTATTCGGTGTATTGCGAGACTAATAGGACATCCTCTAAATATCATAATTTAACGACTTTCCAATTCTCCTTCCTCGATAGATACATTGAACTTTTTCAATTGACGAAATACTGCATATTTATTTATATAAATAGAGCAATAATAGTATTTCTGGCAAGGTAAGTTATTTTGCCGCGAGAGCAGACCTCACGCGAGTTGGAAAATGAAGGGTTTGTCCCATATCTCACGCTTGTATTTACGAATATCGACACCATTCCCAACAGTCACAAATCTCCCCTAGAAGCTAAAATCTAAAACACTACCAACCCAACATCTCTTGATAGCAACTTGCAATCCTGTCCTACACTCCCTTAATACGCACGTCCAACGGCCTCCAGATCAACATCTTCCGCCCCATTTCGCTTGTACGCTCTTCCAACACTCTCTAAATCAACATCCTCAGCAGATCCTCGCTTGTAAGCGCGTCCAACACTTTCCAAATCCGCGTCATTGGCGGAATCTCTCTTGTAGGCTCTCCCCACACTGTCGAAATCTACAGCAGCAGCTTCGTTACGAATGTATGCTCGACCGACGCTTTCGAGGTCAACTGCATCTGCGTTTGTGGAAACTGTTCATTCATGATTAGTTGAATTCAGGCCGATGAGAAGGGATGAATGACTGACCTGGAGCTGCCACAGTGAAGGCGGCACTCGCTATGAGGATTGTGAAGATGGAGAGCTTCATTTTTGCAAATGTGAAAATTTCGTAGATGATTTTACTGCAAGTGAGATTGAGAGACGAGTTTTGGTATCTGAGCCTTCACACCAAGACCGTTCTTTTACGTGGATATACTATATATCCGGCACTTCGCTTGAAGCACTAAAGCATCTAGACCACTGAGTGCGAATAGTACTAAGTCAACTACGCCGTACCCTATACAACACCGCTCGTAAATGTTCCGTAAGCATGCAAGATTGTCTCACTGCGGTTTTCTCCAGGATCATCAGAGTGGGCAGATTCAAAAAGTCCCTTTTACCCGTGGCCTAGGAAGTGATTGGCTACTTTGTCTTACTTACTCAAGTCTAACCAAGAAACAAGGTCTTAGATCCATTTTACGTAGATCAACATTGCTAGTCTTGCGAATGACGAAATTGAATAGTAGCGGCCGACAACCAACCAACTGTTCCAATTACGAGCAGATCAAGAGGTAGATATACGGGAAAACTAGCAATACCACCCTACCCACGGAGCAACACTGCCACTCCGCTAGACTATCACAGCTTGTACAACAATGTCATCACACCGCCGAAACTCTGCCTGGAGGATCGATAAGGGTCTCATGTGTGAAGCTTATCAATATAGTTATTTTTGTCTGACACATGTAGTAAGTCGTAAGTCATGATCAACAATTCTCGGTTGCCGCTCTGCCACATACACGCATCGGATCGAGACGGTAGCATTGGCATCGAAGAGACTGCATAGACGAGTGTCGTCTCGACGTAAGGTCTCCGATTGCAGGATTACGCGGCGCCCTGGCTGCAGGTGATTTAAGTCATTCATTTGAAGTGCCGAAATTTAAATGGTAGTTGCATGAGGTAGATAGTCCCTTGTGCAGGACGACTATATTCTGATACTGAGCTAGACTGTACGACGACCGACCTCATGCCTCGCATGCTCATTGTTTCTTCATCACAGACTAAAATTCAACATTCTTCTCAGCCATGGGTAATGAAGAATACTCGCCTTTGAACGAGGACGATGTAGAACGATCTTCAAGTGAGCTTGAACAGAATAGACCTTACCACGAATCCAACAACTCCAAATCCTCAAAATTATTGTTAGCTACGATCTTGATCCTGGTTCTCATAAATGGCATCCAAACAGGTCTCCTATACCGCGCCTCCTCATCACTTACAATATTTCATACACCATTAGAATACGGTACCTCTCCCCCCAATCACTCCCAAACCCAGCTAACCCACTCAGCAATCCCTCACGAGATTCCCACCGAATACCGCCATTTCTGGTGGAACACCGAGTACTCGGGCAGTAACTACACAATCCAGGACTCCCTCTGGAACTCCATCCTGCCCTCGCACGGTTTCGTAGCCATGGACCGAGAATGGGCCAAGAGTCAGAACTGGCCGGAGAGCATGTACCTGCCCGACGATAAATCTAAGGGCGTGTATCTGCTGGAGGCGTACCATCAATTGCATTGTTTAAAGATATTGAGGACGACTATGAAGGAGAGTTTGATGGGGGAGAAGTTTACGTGGAAGCCGGGGGAACATGTTGAGCATTGTTTTGGGTATTTGTTGCAGGTGAGTAATTATGTCTTACTTGGAGAGGGTATTTGATGAGGAAGATTAAAATATGCTGACTTGTATGAAGACGACAATGTGTAACGCAGACGCCACACCTCTCTACACATTCGGCGATAATACAGCAGGGCATGGCCAACTGCATAAATGCAAGAGCTGGGATGCGTTACGAGAGTTCGCTACGGAGAATAAGGCGTGCTACCGGGATACTATAGAAGATGTACTACTCAAAGAGCATTTTGGATATTGTGATGATGGTCATGATGGGCTCATTCATGGGAGTCCTGTTGATAGGAAAGTCGGTTGACAGAAGAATTTGACTGCGCATTGTGAATATGATCAGGGGATTGCCAAGAAGAGTGCTTTGCCATGTATACTATGTCAGATACTACCAATATTTGATGAAAAAGAGATAAAGGTTCAACTATCTCCTCGACTGTTACGAGTGGCATTAATCCATCTTATTTCTCCCAGATTCTACGAGTCCCCAAACACTTCCGCCTATCTCTTCAAGCGCCCTCTCAAATGCGCTCTCATCAAAGTAAAGCTTGCTGCTCATTGAAACCTATATATCCGCCCAGAGATCTCTCATTCAGATATCAAGTATTCACACGTTACCACCACCGTGTTACAACTCCAACGGGACACCTCCTTACAATAGAATAATAGTACTTTGTAACGAAGGTTTTTTAGAAAACGACTTTCTAGAATTTCTGCTGTAGACATATTTATCCTTTTTTATTGACGAAATACTGGTTAATTACTTGAATAAATAGAGAGATTATGGTGTCTATGGCACTCGGAGGGTGTCCCGTTAGTCTTGCAACGCAATGGTGTTCTAGCAGACCCTTCGCATCTCACGCTCATTAATGTAAAGTAATAATAATTACAATTTGAAGACGTCGGCTCTCGCGTATCATCAATTCTCCATCTAAGAAGAATAACCTCCGTGATTTTCTCAAATTTGTAACTTCGCCGGTCGAACTACTCATAAGACACAAAGTGTGACAAAATGTGGTATCCAATGTAGAATATCTGCTGTTCTTTAGGGGTTGATCGGATTAAGGTTTACCGTTTGTGGAGCGGCTGCGAAGATTGATGAGGTCTTACTTAGGGAAACAGTGCGTGGTCAATTTATTCTTCGGGATGAGAATCAATGAATAAGGTCCAAAAGGTGTCTCAACCGGCTGACACATTTGACTTGTTGGCTCCTCATTTAAGGGTAGGAGACTACGAGAAGTTTTAATATAGTACATGACTCCGTCCACAGTTTCCAATGAAGGTTTATTGAGTCAGATTGATGTGGCTTCAACCATAACGAAGAGTTCGAAGTCATCCATCTTATTTTCATGAAACTAATACACGCAACCCATCCACTTCATAACACCCCTATCACTCACGCCTCCTTCTCACCCTCCCCAAAAGTAGAACTCTTCTTAATATGCGGCTCATCACCCGCAAGAATACTCTCCACTTTCGAGACTTTTTCAGAGAAATGTTGTTTCTTGTCAGTCCTACAAATTATCAGCTCTTTCCTCATGACCGAGCAGATTTTATGGGATTTGGATGAGGGTTTAGAACTGTATGAGAAGGGCAATTTATGAGAATTTGTTCGGCATGAGAGCGCAGCAGCAATTAGTTTGAAAAGAGATAGGGTAGAGGAATAAACATACCTCGAACCAACTCTAATATCAGTCTGGACCCTCAAGACCCCATTCTGATGAACGAGCGTATGTGCTTGGCCGATGAGACGCATGACATCGTCCCATGATCCTTCTGTTGGAAGTTAGTCAATGGTCTTGCACCACTAAAATCTACCCCAGCTTATCCTCAGACTCAAACACTTGTAACATCAACACGTGACCTTCCTCCTCTCATCAACCCGCAACCCTTCATTTTCTCTCCCATCACCCTCTCCCATCAACCTCCCATCCACCCCTCCCTCCTCCACCAGCTCTCCATCCCGTCTACATATCCTCACCCATCCACCTCTTCATCCATCCCGTCCACCTCTCCCCTCCCATACCTCTCCACCTCCCAACCTCCCCTATCAACATCCCACCCCCCCACAAACCAAACCCCAAAACCCCGTCAACAAAAAAATAACTAACCAACAGTAGTCCCCGCACTATGCATCCCAAAACTCAGTCCACTAACCCTCATCAAGCGCTGCACAGCCGCAATCTCAGCTGAGACGGAGGGGGAGGGCGTTCCTATCTAGATGTACAATCAAATCAGTCCATTTCATTCAAGACACCCAACCACCAAGTCCAATTATTAGCACATCAAGTCCAACTATTATACTCAGCCACGACTGAGGACAAGCGGAAGACTTGATATGCAGTGTAACAACGAAATCTGACATACCGGGATGAGACAGAAATCCGCCACGCAGACGGGTGGCGTGGGGAGGTTTGCGTAGTCGATCGTGGGTGATTGGGACATTATGGTGAGAGAGGGGAGGTGCACTGTACAGAAAGGAGAATCGATAAACTGGAGAGGAAGGTGGATTTTGAATATGGCTTTTGAGAGAGTGTGGATGAATGTGAGGAAGATTAGAATTGTGTGTCCATTTTTGAGGTTGAGAGGTCACGTGGTTTGATGTTGGGATAATCAGAATAAATTTGAGATTCATTTTTTTTTCTATTAGGGAGGGGGTTGGAAGCAGAAGGTAAGGTTATAAATAGCAAGTTAAAAAAAATGTTTTAGTGCGAAGATAATAATTGTTTGGTTTTCAAGATTTTTGATAGCTTCCATGAAGCTAAATAGATACTTCACCACAAAATTCTAACTCTACGCTCCCAAAATCAGCCCCAAAACTTCCTAACCAGATGCTGAGCTATACAACATACTTTCATCTAGAACCCAATCCCAAAACTTCGTTAAAACTCCCTCGCTATGATATAAAAACAAATACATTCCAAAATTGAAACTCCTGGATTTTATAACCAGACAGTATTCACAATCGCCACCACGGCCATTGCTATCGCAACGACGGTAAGACCACTATACCCATTGAATCGTGAGGCAGAATTGGTGGCCAACGTAAGCGGTTCCGTACTGACAACCACCCTCCCAGTGCCGACGATGCCATTCAACATATCAGCCGTCTCGATAGCAGGCCCCACGTTGAAGAAGTCCACGAGAATGAACGTTGGCTTAACTCCCCATTTAATATAACATTCCGCACCTTGCTTGCCGAGTGCACCAACATTGGTAGTGGATGGTGAGTTGGTGCTCGTGATATTATCGACATCCGGAATGATTATTCCAAATCCAGCATCCTTATCTAGGAAGTGGTTAATCATCCCCATGAAACCTGCCGAAACGGCAGCAGCCGCTGATGACTGAGTGCTAGGTCTATCAAGATCGCAACCGAATCCTGTTGGTGACATGACTCCGAAAGCGGTTTCGAATATGTAGTTGAATTCTGGCAGGAGATACGGGAAGGCCGGATCGTAGTCGATGCTTGCAATGAAAGTGACAAGACGTGTGTTGGCACTGATGAGGCTTTGTAACGTAGGCCATATCAACATGGACGATGTTGTAGGCAGTGTATAGCCGTAGGTGGAAAGCCCAGAGGATGTGAAAACCTTGCCAAATGAAGCCGATTTTTGATCGTCCGCGTTGACTAAGATCACCGTTACCACCTCATTCCTATTGGCATCCATCCATGTCTTGATAGTGGCAAGCCATGCCTCAAGAGTTCCACCATCCAAAAGCAAACAAGAAGTGTGGCAGAGTCGTAAAACTCCTGCTTCGAGATGCACTTGTGCTTGTAAGAGTCGAATCCCTGCCGAAAGTGCGACAGTTGCATTGTAGAATGTATTGCCTGACGTGGAGAAAGAGGTGGAGCTATCTCGCAAGAAAGCTACATCGTGAGCACCCATATGGGTGATGTTGTTGTAGTGTCTATCGCAAAGATCTGGTGAGTTATTGCATGCTGCCGTACTAGTTGGAACTGCTGCCTCGGATACAGACCATACGGTTGCTCGGGCAGACACTGCACTGGTAGATGCAACTGAGGATGAGGAAATCGAAGAGCCGATTTGTGGAAGAGCCTGCGCTAAGTGGGCATGAGAGAGAAGAGCTGCTGTTGCAGCGAAATTGAAATACATGTTGCGAACGCGAGACTTTCGACAAGGTAAAGACGTTGCAGCCAAAAGTGTGAAGTTGTTGTTCAATTATGCTCTTTGATGAAAGTCGACCAGTCAACAACTTAAGTGCGGAAATGAGTAACGGAGCGATATGAACAACCGAGTAATACAACAAGTTTGTGTGCACAGCACAAAGAAAACAACAAGGTTACAAGAAACAAGAAGCTCAGCCAAAACAGAGGCGAACGAAACGAAAGGAAATATGGCATTGAGTAGAGAAAGAGCAACCCATCAGTCTCTGGTGACGCAAACCCGTATTAAAGTCTGGACTGCGCCTTTGTCTCTCGAACTCGTGGAAGACATTGGACAACAAAAGGCAACAAACAAAAGTGGAGAGGACTCATCTTTGGCTGGTCTGGCTTATACGGAAGGCACAAGGACACTTTGATCAATCGCTTGGTTGGTGGTGAGAAAGTTGAAACAACTCGGAAAGCTTGGTCGGTCGAGGTGTTATTGTTTGGAGGAGAGAAGTGGACCGGCTTTCAAGCTTTGTGGCCGGCGGTTCGGGAGGCTTGCACATCTCCCGCTCCGATGTCTATTTTTGGGGACAAATGATTTCGAAGGCCGATGTCTCGACCCGCTCGAGACCTGGCGCAGACCCACTCATCCAACGACATACTTCATACAAACGTCTCGACTCTTTGTGGTGTTTCGACAGGCGCTTTAACTTGAGTCAACCTGTTCGTACGCCCAGAGTCGGTAAGAGTGACGAATCGAAGGCGACATGTTGTAGGTTTTTCTCATTGGACACTTAAACGAGTTTGTGAGAAACCTTCCTTTCGAGGGTTCTCGTCCGCTGCAAGAAAACGCCAACAATGAGCTTTGCCGGACTAATATGGCAGGCTGGAAGGATATGTCGCTTTCTGCCGTTCAGTCGTATTTTGGCGCAGTCGTTGGAACACCTTTCAATTCTCGACCATGAGGAGACAACACAAAATCAAAAGACCGCTATGATGTCCTCCCTATTCCAGCAACGCCATATATGATGTTCTACCACTCGGACTCTGGCACTCGTATATTAGGTTGTCAGCTTATATTCATCACTACACCCTGTTGCGGTGAGCAAATATGTTCTGACATCTAGAAAATTGTGGAACATGGCCGACCGAGTATGATGGAGGCTGTCTTTCACAAGGCGGACCGTTATGCTATGCAGGTTAGTAAGTTGGTCACAATCGATAATCGAGGGCATACCTGTTTTTTCTCTGTTCGATTCCACCGGATTGTCGATTCCTCAGACCCTCAGACGAATTAACCTCAATTACCAGCAGCTCTGGCCAGATCCAAGGTGCAGTATCACAGAGATTTTTCGCATTCCTGGTATCGCAATACCACTTTCTGCATAGAACGGCGCCATTTTCGATCTACCAATCCTTATCTCTCAACCTCATCCCCATTCAGATTCGTGCATCTCCTCTCTCTGTCGTACAGAGATTTCCCTGCAAAACGGCACGGTTACAGTGCGAATCAAGAAAACATGAGCGTTCTCCTTATGTATTCGACCGTTGTGTTGGTTCCCAACTTAAGCGAGCGTTTCTTCCAGTCGGGGCTCCGTCAATTGGTGCGCCAGTTACCAGAGTTACAATTTCGAGTTACCACACTTACTCTTTCGGAACCTGGGGCTCCCAAGAAATGCAACCTTAAATACAATGCTGACAATTGATAGATTGCCCACCCTTACCATCTGCAGCATACGCATCACCCAATACGCAATCCCAAATCCAAACCCCAATGAAAACCCAAATAACAGGCTCGGTACTCCGATCCCAGGATTCGAATTTGTCATTTCACATCCCTTTAATATACCAGCCGAAGGCCGAGAAATGGTTAAAGCTGGGGTACATCACCAGGGAAAAGGTTATGTGGCGGTTGACCTATCAAGCAACACCAACGTACCAACGTTTAGCCGATATGTACAACCCCATCGAATATGTCGGTTCACGTGTGATGTTCACGGCAGGTGGATGCACATGATGGGGAGGTGGTGGAATAGGGAAACTCAAATACCATTTTTTGAGAAGGAGATTGTTGTGATAAGAGAGAGAGGTTTCCTGCTTAGGATATGGATCACCACTAGCTTTCTCTCTATCCCAGTAGTAGCTTATTATCCATACCAAGATGGTCGGAGCCTCCTCAATTGTTCTGCTATTAGCAGTTACACATCTCTCATCTGCGATTCCTCACCCCGCGAAACCAGCAGTAGCACATAAAGCAGTATTATCACCTAGACAAACAGACGCACCGGCAGCTGGAACACCTTGGGAACCTGCTCCAGGTATCTAACCCCCCCTTGCCCCCTAATCAAACATAAAAACTAACAAAATAAGAATGCTACGCCTCACCCCCAGTCATAGAGCCCGATCTCGCAAAAGTGATCAAAGCAGTTAGAAATCCGTACGTCCCCCTCCCCTTTCCCCCCCTCAATCCCCTTGCATCTCCCTCTCCTATATCCCCCTCCATCTCCACCCCCTACTCCCCACCAACTAACACCCCCCAGCCCCCAAAATTACGACATCTCCTCCTTCTGCTCCGCCGGTCTACAACGCTCCCTCGTCGCCTGGGAAGTATCCACCATCCACTCCCCCTCCACCACCACAATCTACGTCTCGCGCACCGTTCTCATCGCCCCCACACCCCCCGCTCCCTCTCCAACTAAGACAAAAACCAAAACCAAAACCAAACCGCACTATCCACGGGCGCCTGCACCTACACCTGCGCCTGTGTTCATGGAACGTGGTCTAGGGGAGGGGATAATGGGTGGGGAGATGGTGAAAAGAGATTTCGAAGCCCTCCCGCCGTTTCTGGAGGAGATGAATGTCTCGGTGTATGTCCTGAATTGGCTGGCGAATGCGTGTAGTTGCGTGATTACGGCTGCGAGGGCGGATGTGACGTATACGACGCATACGCGGGAAGAGAGGGTTGTGGATGTGAAGACTGTGAGTGCTCTTTTTTTCTTTTGGATTGAGTGGTTTTGTTTGGTTATGATGGGTTGAAGAGGAGGGCTAATGAGGTTGGGTTTAGGTTACGGTTACGAGGACCTGAGAAAGGGTTGATGGCTGTATTGCGGAGGGGTTAAGTTTGGTTGGGGGAAATGTGGGGACGGGGGAGGTGTTAGGAGTATGGAAAGGATAGTTACGGATGGCGTTATCGAGGGTCGCGGGGCAGATTTGCTCAACCTAATCAAATAGCCAAAAATTCAATGATCTTTTATTTCAATTTTGTGCGTGATGGGATTGTGCAGGGGAAGCAGATCAAATGGCTGAGTGTGGATCACTTCTCTATGACAGAGTCAGCCACCGTAAAGCATGTATATAGCTCTATATTATGAGGGGTATTAACAGTATCAACACATTATCTTTCGTATTATACATATTTCTACACTTTTATACAAACCACCCAACCATCTTTAAACGCCCGCCTTTTAATCTACACCACCCCTTAGATAATCTACATCACCTAAATAAGAGGCTGTCCCTTATACATCCCATCCCTAACCTCCGCCACCACATCCCTGCGATCATGTTTCCCCACCAACACAATTCCTCTTCCTCTCCTCCCCATCCTCCCCGTCCTCCCCAGCCGATGAATAAAATCAATCGTCGAATGCGGAACATCATAGAGGATAACATGTCTCACAGCTAGGGTATCAATACCTCTAGAGCCCAGATCCGTGGTGACGAGGACTTTTGTGTTTGGCAACTTCCGCCTGGCGGGAGGGGCAACACTGCCATAAGGAACATAGTTAGGTTGATTGTCGGCCAGAGATCCGGGATGAGTGACTTTAGGCGCGGTTAAGGGGGCTTGTTGGGTGAATGTTGCGAGCATTTCTTGTTGGCGCTGCTCGGGTGTGTCTCTGCTGAGGGCGATGGCGTCGATTCCTTTTGAGACTAGGTATTCGGTGACTTCTTGAGTGGTTTCCCGCTCGTTGACGAAGACTAAGATGCGTTTGACGTCCATGACACCTCCCACCTGTCCATCGTGTTCTGCTGCTGCTTTGCCGATAGACCAGATGGAATCGGCACATGCGAGAAGCTTGTTGCCGCGGTAAGGATCTCGTTCGATATCAACGACACCAAGTTGGACACGACGGGGAATGGCGTGTAGGTTGGGAGTGACGAGTCGACGAATGTCCGGGAATCGTTTCCGGAGAAAGGTATCCATGCTTCGAGGGATGGTCGCTGAGCATAAAATCAATTGCTTCATTGAAGGCGCAACTCTATCGAGAATAGAAGAGGTTAGTGGAGAAAAACCTCGATCTAGAAGTGAGTCGGCTTCGTCCACGATTAGGTGTGTGACTCTTGAGAGGATATTCGGGTCGGAGTCGGCGATTGATGAGAGCAGATGAGGAGTTGAAACTAAAATGTCGATTCCTCGAGGAGAAAACAATCGGTTTCGGATGACTTGTCCACTAACAGCAGAAGATATCATGGCAGATTTGTATTTAATGGTGTGAGAGAACGCCTTGATGACACCGCCCACTTGATTGACTAACTCCGATGTTGGAACAAGTATGATCGCTCGAGGCCGAGCTGTCGTAGGATGCGGCATATCTTTCATAGATGGCGCAAACGAAGGTGCTGGTGTTGTCCTCGTCCTCTCCTCCTCAATCGCCCTGTTATACTCTATCACTTCCTCATCATGAAGATCGGCCTCCTTCACAGCGTTGATCGTGGGTATTAAATATGCCAAAGTCTTTCCCGACCCAGTTTCTGCAGCCAACAAAAATTCCTTCTCTTCTGCGGGTTGATTGGCTTTCCTTCTTCTTCCTGTGCTTTCGCTCCCTAAAAGTGCTGGAATGGCAATCCTCTGTATCGCCGTAGGCACAAGATTTTCCTTTCCCGGCAAGGCTTGCGTAAATATAGAATTCTTCACCGTTTCGAGTAGGGGGAATTGATCGAATGTATCAACTTGTCGCATATGCTCTTTTATTCTCGTTCGCGCGTTGTAGGACACTGGCGACAAGGCTCTCTGCATTTTCAGCGCCTTCCAATCTGCCCTTGGATCATCTCGACCTCTTCTATTTCCTGATCGACTGTTCGGTTGGTCCCTGAATGCGGTTGATCGTTCTGGTATACCACGAATTTTGGCTTCCGTCAGATTCATCCCTCCGAAAGGTCCATCTTGCTTCCTTCTTCCCACCGGCCCAGCTTCTCCAGGTCTTCTCTCGGGGGTGTTGACGACTCGAGCTTTCGTAAGGCTAAATCGTGACGGGCGAGATGCCAGTTTCGTCCCAAACGCAGCGGTTTGCTGAAGAGGCCATTGAGAGGCTGATGGACGCTGTCGAGCCGCTTTGAACGAGCAGAACAGACAGGTGGTATTCTTAGGACGGAGCATCATCAGACGGAGTTATGATGGCATCTCGTGGTCGGTAGGTAAGCCGCGGATTTGACTGTGTCTCAGCGTCGCTGTTCTCAAAATATTTCTTCAAGTAAATTCGCGTGGTCACGTGCTATACATGCGATGGCCTGCGCGTTTCTGAGAGTCCGTTTTATACATCAAAAGCACCTGCAGCTTTCCTTCAAGCTATGCTTGGCTCATATCTCCGTACTTCGTCCTATCGGCGGAATGGTCGTCACCATACCATAAGCTCACGAGTGCGGTTGTCGTTAGACGTTTGTGCTTGAACGAAGCCAAATCTGGGTGCAGATAAAACAACTTCATATCACAAGCTTTTGACATGGCAGTACCAGCTTTAAAAAGAACAGTATAGGCTCTTGCTTTTCTAATTCTGAATTCCACGTACATATGATGACAAGAATGGTTAATTTAAAGTATTTTCGGTGTCTACGGCGTTTCAAAAGCGCTGATTATCCTCACCCACGCGTGACGCAAATACATGTTAGCAATATAGAGAAGGATCCTGAAGCAAAGTTTTGTGCTTCAAGAGAGTTTTCGAACCTGGTATTTTGCTGCTTTGGACAGTCATGTGGGGATTTTCCAATCCTTGTGCTTGAATCCTTTTGAATCCAGACGGCTCATGGAACACTCATAAAATTCGTACTCCCTCTACTTCTCATTGCTCTAGCAAGCCAACTGAGTATGGCAACGCAAAAGGAAAGCGTACGTACTAGGTTGCTTGTTGGTCTTGAATATATCTCGGTAAGGCAAAACTTTATGTATATTCACAACCTGGCGACTCGAGATAATCAGTGCCAGAATATGTTACCATCAAGGCTGTTCAGCTTCAGAAAAATCCTTAATAAGAAAGCTTTGCTCGTAAACACTCAATCTGAGAAGCAAGAAGCCTTAGGAAGGACAGAACTTTGACATAATTGTCTGGTATGTTGATTCCAGATTTCCCAATGGTGGAGAAATTGATCCAAAGTGCACCACCAACACTCGAGCAAAATGAAGTTGGCAAGTCGCTGATTGCTGCATGTAAGAATACTCCGCATAAACGAGGCCCGCGTGGCTGAGTGATCGATCAGCTGAAGATATTTCTAACCAGCACAGCCAACAATCGAAGTCTTTGAACCAGGCGTGGGAGTTTTTGATAACATATCCATGTAATGGTTCGCTTGATCGACAACCTAATGAGCTGTAATTAAACAAGGGTTCCGCTAAATCTCAATCGCATCCAACGCATTGATCGGGGTGAACCTTGGTTCGACTTCTATCCTGTAGAAGAAAAGCTCACAAGAAATGCCGATAATGAGAAACCTCTCCTGGTTGACATTGGTGGAAGCATTGGAACTGATATCGCCGCATTCCATGTCAGATTCTCGACTCTCAAAGGTAGTCTAATCCTAGAAGATCTTCCTGAAGTCAATACCAGTATCACACAACTCAAGCACGATTTCTTCCTCCCACAACCCGAAATTGCGAAGGGTGTGAAAACTTACCTCTTGAGCACCATCCTTCACGACTGGCCAGACAAAGAGGCGAAGGATATTTTGACCAATTTCCGTGATGCGATGAGTGAAGACTCGATACTTCTCATCAATGAGAATGCACTGCCAAATATTAACGTGCCGTTTTATCCTGCTGAGCTTGATTTTCCCATGATGTGTCTGCTTTCCGGGACGGATCGGACTATTATGCAGTCAGTATAAGATTTTGCGGGACGAGTCAGGATTTGAGTTGGTAAAGATTTATCAGCCAGAGGTTGTTTGTCCTGGGACTGGGTATCTTTTTGAAGCTGTTCTGAAACGATGATAGCAGCCACTATTGTCATCGGTTGGGTTTCTGTACCGGGTCGTGAAGTCCTTTACATATTTGGAAGACAGCGTGGATCCTCTTAAAGTTTGCAATATGATTTGAATGTGTTAGACGTTTTCATTGTCTTGTTTAGACCAACACCCCTAAACAGGATACGGGCGCTAGGTTTTGCTCTAATATTGCAGTAGGTACTTTAATACAGGAAGTCAATGATATCAGGCCGAAAGAGCCTTAACAGTAGTAGTCCTGAGGAATGAGACAAGAATCAGAAATCGTATTTTGGAAATGTTATGCTCTACAAGAATACGAAGTGTGGGGGATTTTGAAACAAGAAAGGTCTATTCGTAGAACTTCTCGAACTTTTTTCGGTCTCCATCATAGACTCATGTAACTGAGAACCAAAGGATGCCTACATTTTCCAGAGCACCAAAGCTCGTTACCCGCTTGGCCAATAGTGGACATAAAAAGGGTAAAAATTCTCGACCAACATGATTTTTCGCATTCCGATACTCCATAAACACCAATGATACCAAGACTCCTGAGCCTCAAGACATGACCATGGATTAAGCTGAGCTCAGCTGGTCGCAAAAAGACTATCCTCATCCCGCAAATACTCTCCACAATCCGCCTGTCGAAAGCAGGTAATTCCAGTTGGATCCAACCGTCTCGCTTCCTGCGTACTTCTCGCCGTAACTCCAAATCCTAATGGCGTATCGTTCATGCTGTATACCACAACTCCCTGATGTTCTGGGCAATCGTCCGACCATCGACCGACATGCGCCTTGACAATGTGTCCCCCATAAAGGAATGGCATTTCTCCATTGGCCTTCACCCAGACCTTATATCGTGCGTGTTCTGCGAGGATGGGAAGAGCTGTGATGTGGAGGCGGAACTTTCCAGACTTGGTAAACTTTCCTGCTCTGGAGTTAGAGAAATCTTGTAAGTTAGGTAGACGATCACTTACCTAAACATGTTCCTAAAGACAAAAGCTTGTCTCTGGCTATTGAAGTCGCGAGATTTGACAAGGAAAGGCGCACGTAGTAGCACCGAGACTGTTGTATTCTAAAGACATATCGATCTGCGTTTGGCCCATTGTCTAGCGGCGCAATGAGGTTCTTCAGCGATGTTCCAGTATAGTTCGCAAGCTTTGCGAACAGAGTCTGAGTTTCCGATTCGGTAAGAGGACGCATTTTGGGGACAATTTGGTATGCGATCCAGAGGTTGAAGCTTGCGGTGGACTTTGCAGAGTCGCGGCAGAAATAAATTTTGGCGGGGATATTTTTACACCGCCTTTAATGCGGCAGAAAAGTTCATGGTTTTCCCCAAAACTTCTAGGAAATTATCTAGAGTTCGTAAGTACAGAAAAATGGCCAGAATTCCTGCGATAAAAAGGCGAAAGCTGTCGCCGCCAACAAGTGATGGCGAGGACTCTTCTCCTTCCACTCTCGATAATGCGCCGGAGCCGAACGCTTTCTTCACTCAAGCAGCAAGATGGAATTTAGAGCAGGATTACGAGACCCGACCGAGGAAAGGAAACAAGAAGGAAAAAGAGAGCACAAGACTGCCAATCAAGACATCTGATGGTTTGATACAACAAAACCCGGCCGAAGAGGCGGACGTAGTGGAAGTGGAGGGGAGCGATCTGGATTGGTCTGAAGCAGCAGAGTCGGATCAGGAGTTAGAAGAGGAAGTCGTGAAGCAGCCTGCTATACCGATCCGACAGCAGATTCTTGAAGCGAAGGAGGAGCTGGCTCGAATTGCATTAATGCTGAATGAGGATCCAGAAGAGAATGCAGGTGCTTTTAAAGCGTTGGCGCAAATCGGACAGTCGAAGAACACCACGATCAAAAAGTTGGCGCTTGCAACACAACTGGCAGTTTACAAAGATGTTATTCCTGGTTACCGGATACGACCTTTATCTGAGCAGGATATGGAAACAAAAGTGTCGAAAGAGGTCAGAAAATTACGAGCCTATGAACAGGCCTTGGTTGGAGGTTACCAATCATACATTCGAGAACTGGCAAAACTTGCGACTTCGGGAAAGGCTAGCGCAGCTGATGGAGGAATAAGTCTTGGAAGCGTAGCCATATCATGTGCCTGTGCGCTTTTGGTAGCCGTACCACATTTCAATTTCAGAGGAGAGTTGTTAAAGATATTAGCGGGAAAGCTGAGTGGAAGGAAAATCGACGATGACTTTGTCAAGTGTCGAGAAACTATTGAGACGTTGTTCCGAGATGACGAGGATGGAACGCCTTCTCTTGACGCCGTTTCTCTTCTAACAAAGATGATGAAGGGGCGAGGATGGCGAGTGGACGAGAGTGTCTTGAACACATTCCTTCACCTTAGATTGTTAACAGAATTTTCCTGGAAAGCCTCCATAAATCATATCGACAAGCCTGAGAGGGGGCAGGCACCTCTCGCGAAGAAGCCAAAAGAAAACAGGCCGAATCTAAGCAAAAAAGAAAAGAAGATTTGGAAAGAGCGAAAAGTGGTAGAAAAAGAGATGATTCAGGCAGATGCTACTGTGAGCCACGAAGAGAGGGATCGTATGCAGTCGGAGACTCTAAAATTGGTCTTTGTCACGTACTTCAGGATATTGAAAACTCGATCGGCCCACTTGATGGGCGCTGTACTGGAAGGACTTGCTCGGTACGCACATCTGATCAACCAGGACTTCTTTGGAGATCTCCTAGAAGCACTAAAAGATTTGATCGGTCATGCTGAGACTGGAGACGACGTGGAAGACGAAGAAGCAGAAGATGAGGAAACAACTAGGAACTTAACCAGAGAGGCTCTTTTGTGCATCATCACAGCTTTCGCCCTACTCGAAGGACAAGACGCCGCAAAAGCCCAGGCCTCGCTTAGCTTAGATCTGAGCTTCTTCATCACTCATCTATACCGAACCTTATATCCCCTTGCTCTGAATCCAGACATCGAGCTCAGCGCGAAGTCACTTCATCTTCCTGATCCCAACAACCCTTCCGCGCCAAAACTCACATCCACAAACAACAAAATCAACATTCAAACCACCACCGTTCTCCTCCTGCGCTCTCTCGCATCAGTCCTCACACCCCAACTCGCAGTCCGCGCCGTCCCACCCCTCAGAATCGCGGCATTCTCAAAACAGCTCCTCACATCCTCCCTTCACATGCCCGAAAAGTCTTGTATGGCTGTCGTCGGCTTAATGGGGAAAGTGACTAAAGTCCACGAGAAGAAAATTGCCTCACTCTGGAACACGGAGGAGCGGAGAGGAGATGGCACATTCGACCCACTGTCCGCCGAAGTCGAAGGAAGTAATCCGTTTGCAGCGACTGTATGGGAGGGAGAATTATTACGAAAACACTTTTGTCCTGGGGTGAGGGAGGGCGTTAAGGTGATGGAGAAGAATGTTATAGGGTTGAGATAAATATGATACCATTCCTGCTTCACTCTACTACTCATGCTGCGCTGCTTATACAGTCTTCCTCTCCTTCACCCCCGCCTCCAACCCCTCCACAAGTGCCTTCCTCGTAATAACCAACTGTTCCCCCTCCTGCATTTCCACGATCTTCAATAACCGCTCAGCAAATTGTCTATCATTCGTGCTCTCAAACTTCCAGTCTAAGCTCGTGAGTGCGGAGATGGTGATTGAGATGCTATTCACAACCACGCCGGATATCGTGAGGGCTTGAACTCGTTAGCGAGCATTCTATCTTTCTGGGGATAAGTAGGGTAGGAGGTGAGTAGGGGAAAGAGGAACGGGGCAAGCATGGTAGTGGTAAGGAAGTAGGGGTAAGAATTACCGCGAATCCTATCCCGATTACTGGGCATCTGCAAACTCGCGAATGCAGATAAAATCAAAGATGCGGCCGATAACAATATAGACAGCGTGACGGAGAATCGTTTCCAGAAGCGTGCTGTGCGGTACCAACGGCCATGCTACACTTCATCAGCACTCGATAGAATCAAGGATATACAAGAATGTTCTTACATGAGGAAGAGGTAATTCGATGGCTAGACCCTGTGTCGATGGCATTTTTGGGGGTGGGTTTTATATGTAAAATTGAATGAGTTGGGATTTTGCGTGGGGGTGTGGGAAGTAGAAGTTTCACCGCTTGTTCGTGAAGTTGCAATCCCAATTTATTCGTCGTATACAAATACATCTCAAGCCAAAGAAAGAAAAAAGACTCAAGAAAAGAAAGATCACTGTTATGCTCAGTTTAGGTTTCACATTCTAGCTCATACTACGTAGATCATGTCTCAGATGTAAGAACGGGCGTGAGTGGCTGGTGATGCTAGTTTAATGCACGACTGCACGAGGGAGTCCAACGCATAGATTAATGTCGATGCAGGTTGTACGTGGGAGGGGATGTGACTTGTATCATAAAGGGTAGGTTGTGGTTGAGGAGGGGAAGGTGCCCCACTTTTGTGTCTGATAGTGGGAGGGGGAGGGCTCGCGGTGGTAGTCGAAACACGGGATTTGTTCGATTAAGTTGACGGAGGTGTTGTATATTCGGTGGATTGGCTTAGAACAATATGACTATTTTGTTAATTATTCTAAGTAAATGAGACTCCCTAAGTTTTATTCGAAGTCGAGTTATTATTCAATCTAAGATTAACAATTATTTTGTCCACCGAGGGAGTGGAAAAGGCCCCACTTTTGTGTCTGTTAGTGAGGTGGGAAGACAACAAGACTACAAATACAACTATAATACACCACCATCGCTCTATCCAACAGACTCAACTACAAACCTCAAACCTCCTAATCATAAGGCCACCAAACCCTCACCGCCTCCCTCTCCACCTCATTCCGCGCAAAACTCTCCAGCACCTTCTCCTTACATTCCCTCGCCGTCTGCCTGGCCATCTCATAATCCTCATGTGCCACCGTGATATCGGTTGGAAAAAACCCACGCATGCATTGCTGGATCTCGCTCAGACCCTTCATTCCCTCGGCCATGTCCTCGTAATCCTTCTTATGTGCATCCAGCTCCTCCTGCGAGAATGTGAAGGGGAACGGTGGGTTACCGAGCTTCTGGACGCCGGGGAGTGTGGCCCAGGTCTTTTGAAGCTCGTCGGTGACGATGTCGAGGTAGACGAGTTCGCCGTCTATCAATATGTTCCGGGCGTATGTGAGGAGCCGGAAGCTGAGGGTCTCCTGGAATTCCATGGCGCGATATAGAGGTTTGTTGGTGTAGTGGATTAGTGTTCGATAGTATGCTGCGAGTGTCATGTCCATCCAATTGTCGAAAGCTCTGTCGTGCTCGGCTTTGTCTAATTCATCTAGATGTTTAGGGAATTCCGGACGTTCAATGCCTTTTAATCGCGGGCCTTCGTAATCCAGAAGTGCGGGTGAGGCCGAATTTTCGTAGAGCGGGGATAGAGAAGAGGATTGCCAGTCTAGGATCCCGACTATTTCAGTTGGGTCGTCCGGGTTGACAAATATGTTCTCTAAATGGAGATCCGAATGCCAAATATGTGAGGTTGTGATCGTGGAGTCCGTTGGTAATAGGAACTTGATGAGTTTCAAGTACGCTTCTAGAGCAGCTAGCTTCTTTTCTCGGGTGGGAATGTATCGGCCGGCTAATGTTACAAAAGGCTTTGGAATTGGGTCGACTGCCTTTACACAGGCGATTTCTCGATCGCCGATCGAGATACAGTAGCCTTCTAGTGTGTTCCCTGCATGATTTCAGTATTGAGAGCGACTAATCTTGACGACGAGGATGAAGAACCTACAAGGAGTGCGATAGAAATTTACCCCCGCTCTGCCATAATCAATTGTTTGTCGGCATACTGTAGGGCCCACAGCAAACCGCTTATCTTGAATCTCGAGAGAGGAAGATTCATTTATTCTTTTCAAATAAGAGAATGTAGGCTGTCCTGGCGAAGTAGGAACATCATTCGAATAATAGAGACTCCCATATTGTTTGAAGGTATGAGACATCCAAGCTTGCTGATATCTAGCCAACGTCCTAACTATGGTAGTCTTTTCATCAATCGGCATTGATTTCCAGTATACCGACAACGGCTTGCCTTCAATCTTCTCCATGATGATATATTCTGCACCCACAGGGTTCTCACTTGCCTTGGAACTCCAAGCGAGAACCTTGGGTGAAGGAGTTTTGCACACATTGAGAGCCTAATTCAGTGAAGATAGATGAGAACAAGGCATGAAATCACGGAGAAAGGTAAACACGTACAAAGTCCATGGTCGCGACCTCGCTTGCCGTTGTGAAATGGGCCAAGCCAGCATTTGGATTCGGCACTTTCGCAACGACCTGAGTTCCGTTTTCCATGGTCAAAAGAAAGGCCTTGTTGTACATTCCGTCGGGGTATTTTTGGACATTGACACAATGCTTGGAGCCGACTACCTCCGCAGCGATTCTAGCCAGCTCATTCATATCAAACCTAATGCACCGCCGCGCCATTTCCCCCTCTTCATCCCGAACGAACCGAGCACGTGTGAACTTGAAAAACTCTTCATATTTACCCCAGTCTTGGGTCGATTCCTGACTGAAGGAACGCGTGGCAGAACTCGTGTTAAGTCTGCGCGTCTGGAAACTCCAATTGGGAATGAGCCGACAACAGGAGGTTGAAAAAGCGAGAGAAGTCGTTGAACGGCCGGATCGGAGAAGCAAAGAAAACCGCAAGGTTTTCATATTTTCTTCGGGGTCGGCGTATGTGGTGTAGTTGAACAGAAACGATGGCTGTACCGTAGCGAAATTGGTTTTATTTGAGCGGGGTGCCTCAGGCGATGAGATTACAACGACCAAGTGTATCAATTCTTGGGAATGAGTAAATCGGGCCTTCAAACATTTTGCTAGCCAGTACGATTGAATTAGGTTTAATTCAATAATAGTAACATCTTAAAGTAGGAAATTGCTGTCTGAATATCGAGAAGCGTTTAGCAGCTGATGTTCAATTAAGCGAACATTCCCTAGCAGTTAAGTTAGCAAATTTCATATAGTGCAGCAGGTACATAAAATCAATAAGTTCAGAAGTATTATTTATTCATGCGAAACCCGTCTATATACACCCATAAAACCCACCGAGCACCTAATCCAGCAATCACCCAAGACCAAACCTAATGGCCACCCGTAGTAGGCAAACCCAACGCCACCTTGAAACTATCATAAATCAACCATTGGAACGCCGTGAGAGTTCCTATTTCAAAGTGTTAGCTCAACCGTTCCAAAACCCAAGGTAAGTTCATTTCTCACCTATCATCAAAATCCTAGTAGGCAATCCATTCCAGAGCCCTCTGAAACCAATATTCCCATAAATCCTGCTCATCGCCTGCCCAGCGCCTTCTCCCTTTTTGCGGTCCGAGTTCAACTTAGATACCATGACATCTGCGGGGTGAGAAACGGTGGCACAGCCAACACCAGCAATGTAACCACCCAAGAATGAGACTCCAGTTTGCTGGAGCCCGTTGTATTCGACTTTTGATTTTCCAAGGTAGGTGTAGATTGCGTCGACGGTGGACTCGAAGAAGGCGAATTTACACATTGTATATGGGATTTGACGACCCCAGAGAGGATAAAGTCCCTTGTACAAACTAGTCTCATTAGCACCAACTGTTGGAGTGTAAGACCAAAAGTTCAAACGCACCCAGCATATCCCTCCTGCGCAACAACCTTGCTTATCCCCTCCCTCATCGTATTCGCAAACGGCGGCAGTGTAGTTTGCATCCTAACCTTGACCGCCTCAAACGGACACAACGCAATATCCGCCAAGAACTCCGCACTCGCACTGGCACCCAAGAACACCACCGTCTTATTCATATTCGGGAACATCTTATCGCCATACAGATACTTGAAGACCTCGTAGAACCCATATTTCCCACCGCCTTGCAGACTGTAGCCGACGAAGGTAGGTGACCAGCCGAAGAAGATCCCGCGCAGCCCTTCGGCGCGGTAGATGGATTTCCAGGCGCCGACGTTGGATTTGTAGAGTTGGCTGTCGACTTGACGACGGGTTTTTACGAGATCGAGGGGGGTTACGGCGGTGTGTGTTGGGCCGCAGGCTGGGATGGGTTAGTATTCTGGTAAGTTATCGTGAGGGATAGGAGAATTACCAACGATTCCTCCAAAGCCGCAGGCTAGAAAGTACTTTCCAGAGTACAATTCAATTTTTGGCTTTGGCGGCAGAGCCTTTTCGATTGTTGAAGTCATTTTCGAGGTTGTCAATTGGGAATTTCTCGTTTCTTCACTCTGTTTGGAGCTCTTATCGGCGGGAATCTGGCACGCGATAACAACGGCGAGGTCAATTGACGGGTAGGAGGGTTGAGCGGAGAGTTGATCACAGAGCAAAGAAATGAAAAGAAGAGTAATCACAAGTTTGAAAGATTTAAAGGGTTCGAGCGACAGAACTATGCAGAGAGGATTTGTTGGTGCTGCCGCTTCTTCCTTGATAACGTCGGTTGTCTCGGTTGACCAGGGTAGCTTTGTGTGATGTCATTGGCACGACTATTGCTTTCGAGGCGCACGAGAGGTGCTGAGTGAGCATACTGCAGCTAATCAACGTGAGCTATCTGTTACGGAGTGTTTGGGTAGAATGTATCAAGAATTTTATTGACATTCACAACGTTGCAATATAGGTAGTTGAGGTCGAGTAAACGCAAGTACCTGTGTCGATGGGTACTTCTGGGTATTTACCGATGGATTACGTGGAATTGGCAAGTCACCTACCTCCTACCTTTTTATGGCACCGACAATTGCATGCACTTGTTTTGTGTGTGCTCAAAATCACACTCAGTAAGTCAACCCATTTGTAATTTATTTATTCATTCCTTATCGTTGCAATAGCGACAGCAATGCCATCCAGCCACACCTAACTACGGGTCTTCCCCGTAGTGCCCGCTCGCATACATGTGCCTCCGGGCTAAATCCATCAACCTTATCTGTATCTTATATCAGTATTCTATACGCCATGCGATGGAAATACATGATCCAAACTCCTAACGCCTTAGATGTCAATTCCATCAACAACAATACCCTTTTGCCAGGTATGTTGCATAACACGAGCCGACTCGTTAGCGACGTCTTCGTTGACCATCACACTAACGAGATACAAGGCCGCGTCAATACCTGCCGAGACTCCACCACTGGTTATAACTCTCAACCCTCCAAGTCGGAGAGCAGCTCTTCGAATAGTACTCTCGCGTCGCGTGTTGCTTTCCTTCCAAGCATTACTTCCCTTGCGCTTCATAGTTGGTGGCTTCGCATCAGACTTGCGTCGAACATACGGGGTCTGTGCCTCGTCCTCGAGATCAAAACGCAAGTTGTTGACCACGTATCTCTCCTCAACCACATCGGTTCTCTCTGCCAAGTCTCTTTGTGCAACCTCGGAGCACAGCTTCTCGAATTTTGCATAGTAATCTGGGTGTGTGGTGGCCGACAACCCACTGAGGAGTCCTTGTTGAGCAAGCAGGAGAGATCCGGTACAGACGGACATCAATGTGCGTTCTTTCTTTGGGTCCTTCTTTTGCAAGTCGGAGTATGCTTTGATCAGCCCCAATGGCTCCGCCTTTTCTTTCAAAAGAGGATCGACTCCACCACCTGGGATTATAAGGACGTCAAACTCCTTGAGACGAGCATAAGCTTCCTTGAAGTCCATATGGGCACGAAGGCCAGCACCTTGACCAGTGGTGGTGAACTCGGTCGCAGAGACGAATTGAATCTCGAAAGCTTTGGTAGCTATCAATGGGTGATTGTCAGCGAGGGGCTCCATAAATCCAAAACAAACGAGAATGCGGGGTAGTGTTGATCAGAGGAGATACTCGAGAATGAGGAATTGAACAATTATTCAGCTTACCTCTATCACTCTTGTCATGTACAGCCTCACTGAGGGCTTCGAGGGGTCCGGCAAAGTCCAAGGTGTTCATTCCCGGATGCATCGTAATTAACACCTTGAGAGTCGGAATTGAGTCAGTTGCGGCCATGATTGCGGTTGTTGGAGGGGAGAATGGTAAAGGTATGTTCAGATTGGTATTTGTGAGGAAGTTGTTGACTTGAGGAATCTAGAGAAGATTCAGAGCAGCTTTTGATGGTTTTGATTGTTTTGTTTGATGGAAAAGAACAGGAAGTAAGGAAATGCGAGGTGTCTGAAAGCTGTTCATGATCACTGAGCTCACGTGCTCCACTTCCCCGCAATGGCAGGGGTCTGAGGAGTGGGTCAGGAACCATGTCAAGAATTCGGAAGGGCACCATGATTTTCCGGCTCAGACCATGCCGATCCGGGCCGAAGCCTGGGGATCATTATGAAGTCGTTTTCAGTTGTTTTTCAGATTCCCTTCGCAGACTTGTTGGACTTGGTTTCAACTTCTCAATTATTGTTCTACTCTTTAGTTCTGATTCACTTAATTTGATATCCATTCCGAAGAGTTACTTTCTTGGAGTTACTTTCTTGATATTCGCGATTTTCTGTCCATTCGAGTCGTTTCCCTAGCTGCATACGGATACACCCGCCGCCGTCAAGTGAATATGGCACCATGCACCACCAGCAGAACGTCTCATTAGACCACATCTGGTGGTCTTATACACATATTAAAACATGCTGCGCCTCAAGCACATCACCTACTCACCGAATTCTACATGAATCCAAAGCGAGCTTTGATTGTCAATTGGGTCGACTGCAATATCGCGTTCCAGTATTGCAGAGGAGTAAAATGTGTTTATTATAGGACATCAACGAACCTGTGAGGTCTGGAAAGCGTCTAGTGACGAGACTAGTTTCACAAGATGTGGAAAGTTTATGCTCATATGATAGTCACGATACTGCCGTTGGAAGAAATGAAGACACAGCAACTCCAAAATTGAAACTCATTTCCCTCAAAACGCCGTGTTGTTATTCTGCTATTATCCCTTCCGAAGATTTTCGAAAACAATGGAGATGTTGTTAATGGTATCGTCTCGTACACCCCAAACGCCATCGCAAAACCCAAATATCATATCATTCATACATCCAATTAACTCTCCGCCAGGCAAAGCAGTCCTCTCGTCCTTCCCTCGAACACATCTTCAGCTTCGATCACGATTCTCTTCAAGCGTAACCTTGTTGCTGTTGTGGTGGTGGACCATTTCCATAATTTGTTTGCTGCTGGTATGGAGTATTGTTGTAATTTGTCTGCTGTGGCTGGTTTCCGTAACCCGTTTGTTGAGGTTGATTTCCCATAGGCTCGTACTTGTCAGGAGTATTTTGGTTGCCGTTCGCTAGAGGATAGCTGGTGGGCTGCTCGCCGCCAAAGTTGTTGACTTGTTTGGCCTGCTTCGCCTTGCGGCGCTTGAGGAGAAAGAGAACGACGCAGACGACGATGATGATGAGGATCACCACAATGATGATTGCCACGATCGCACCGACGGGAAACTTCTTCTTTTTCGACTTTGTCTTGCTTTTGGCGAGGGCTTCTCCGATGGCTATGGCCAGGAAGAGAAGGGTTGCGAATCTGTCAATGAAAGACATGGTTGCAATGTTTGAGATGGAATTACTCTTGCGATCTGAGTGTAGGAGTTGGTAGGGTTGAAAGGATGGATTTGTAGATTGCTGGGAGAAGTCGTCGCTTTTAAGGAGAATCTAGCGATTCGAACGATTCAATGACGAGTCAAGCGACGATCGAACGTGAAGGCGATTCAGAATAAGTAGGCTGTGAAAGAGAATCCTGTTATATTCACGAACAAAGAAAAACTCCCGGGACCTCGTCACACTCTTATGGTGTTGGCACTCGTTGCACGAACCACCCAACCGCACGCCACACCAGAATTCCTTGAAACAATCCAACCAACAACCTGCGCGATTCCAGGCGGTGCGACCTATCAATTCCACACATTATCCTCGTTTCGAGTCTTAACCAACGAGCAGCCGCCCTCAATCCAGGGTCCAACAGGTGGAAATGGGCGAGGCGTGAATTCTGGGCGAATCTACAAGCATGCTTCCAAGGTGCTGAGTGCACAGCCCAACGGCGCACATTGATCCCGCCATCATCGCCCAGATGGGCAAGTAGCTTCCCGATAACAGGGCGCAATTGGAAAGATTGCAGTAGTTATTGCTGGAAATGATTTGAGGATTTCCGATTGCCCGCAGGATGGGATCCGATATCAAGCATTTGCCGTTGGCTTGGCTGGAAAGCTTGGGTGTTGTGGATATTATTGAGACTGGATGCAATTAAATTATCTATACTTTCCATGAAGTTACTCCAGCTCTTCATCTTCATCTTCACTCTCACTCCCTCTCACCGTCGCTTTCTACCCCTCATCGGCACACCGCATCTCACCACGTCGCAATCCGTCACGATAACGCCAGGCACCAACCCTCACTAATAAATATCCTACGCGGCCTCGAACATATTCCCAGGATGCATCTTATGATTCTGGGCTGAGAGGCGGTCACACGAGAGACGATGGCTGCAGCAGCTGAATATTAAATGGCGGTTTCAGCCCTAGTGGTATGTGCTGCCTCGACTTGTCGTTTATTTAGCCGGGATCGGGAAGTTACTACTGTAAGTATGATTTCGGCTGGTGGAATGGGAATTTTTGAGAGCTGTCGGGTTTGGAAGAGTGAAAATGATTTGAAAGAAAAGTAACTTCCCAAAATTTGAAATTTTGGGTTTCAGATACACCAGTGTCTTGCAAGCCAGACTGGACATTTTTTGGGTGCAGAATAATCGTAGTCTGCCCAAAACGCCACAATTTCTCTAATCGTTTAAGTGAATATATTATTTCGTTATCGAAAAGGATAAACGTACCTGTTTAAGAAAGAGTGTCCAAAACTTGTTCTCTAAACATCGTTATACTTAGACGGCGGTCATCACACATCAAAAATCCTCCCAGCCCTAATAACAATAGTCACACAGTCATCAACTAATAAAACAACCCTCTTTAGCCTCCCCTATCGCGTTCCAGCCTGAAACCCTCACACAGTGAAAGCCTCGGGAACATGTCGTGGTCGCGGGGATTTGTTTCATCTTAATTCTGGTGTAACTTTCAACTTCGTTACTACTAGTGTAAGTTGCCTTGGGAGACTATGCGGTACCACAGTCGTATGAAAGTTGTAGCATAAATGTTTGACTAGTTAGTAAGTTTAATCGTCGTTTTCATTTAGTTCAGTGATAGAGTTGCATGATCTAGGTCTCGTTGTTTGATTTAAGAGTAAGAATGTATCTTATTTTGCATTCTTTCTTGTCTACGTTATGAAGGAAAGGTTGTGGAGGGGATGATTGGTTCTAGGCTCGGTTCCTAGATAGGCTAACGCTCTCAGTAAGTTACAGTGAAAGAAAGGAATACTCCAACTACTCAAACTAATCATAAATAACTTGAGTTGAGTTTGAGTTGAGTTAGAGTAGTTAATTATTATCTTGAGTTGAGTTTGAGTAGTGGCCACTACTCAACTCAACTCAACTCATTTCTTACACTGGTAAGTTATTTGGCGAAGTTATTTGGCGAAATTATTTGGCGGGGTTCGGTATTAACTTAACGTACTGTAGAAAATAATCTAAATGCTTAGTAGGCTCTATGTCTTGAGCGCTAGACAGTAACTTTGGGGAAATATTCTAACTATAACAAAATCAACAAAATCAATAATTATTTTGATCATACAAAAATTATAAATGCAATCCGTCAGTGTGACGTTTAACCTAGGATCAGGTTCTGAGGAGTTTGGTTGGCCAAAATAAAAATTTCAACGAGAAAAATGAATAGATGATTTGGCATAGACGGAAGGGGAATAAAAACACTGTATTGTGCATCTACTCGTACAACATGATAGAGATTAAAGCGCTTGATCATCCTATTACCCCGAGAACGCCAACCAGCAATGCCAAACAGGCAGTACTCATACATCTAATATCATTACAAAGCATTGCTATTGCCGCGGTCGATAACACATCTGCAATAGCTACGTGGCGCCTGTAGAACTTTATGTCCATCTCAAGTGGGCCACCACACTCCCAAAACGGACTCCACAGTCAAAAAATAGGGTTAATCAGGTGGAAGTTACAGCACTTAGTCTACTAAGTAACATAAATGAGCCAGTTATTCCGAGTTCCCGGGTCAAATTTCGAAAGATTACAAACCTACTGTTATGTAAGCTATATGAAATCATTTGCACAGAGTCATGAGGGCCACTCACCAAATTTTGTTCGACTTGAACTGAAGCGAATCAAGAGCTCGAACGTGCTGAAATATCGATATCCCTTGGCTGCTTTTATTTACAAACCGTAGGTGCTGTGATCACAACCTGAACTCCTGTCGTACAGCTAAGTTCCTCAGATTGTATCGACGGACTGGATTCTCAGATGGAAATCGAGCGATAACGCGTCTCGTATCGAACCGATCCTTTGCATTGTCCTTCAACAGCGGAATCAGGCAATCATGAATAATCATCTTATTTTTTGGTAGCGCCAATAATCTTCCATACCATCGAAGATGATTTGGCCAACTCGTGTTAGATATCGGGGGACCCTGATATAGCTCGAAGGAGAAGTTTGGTTGGAAGTTGGGTAGTAGCGCCATGCGATTTCTCCACTCTCGTGGCTCGAGATCAATTTCCTGAATGCAGAAATAACCGAGAACTTCGAGCATCATCACGCCTAGTGACCACATGTCACTTTTGCCTGTATGAGGCTGGCTCTGATAGACCTCGGGGGCCATGTATGGGATCGACCCCTCGACGCAATCTCCTGCAGATTCGAGGTCTTGCTCCTTTGACAATCCAAAATCCGTAAGATAAAAAGCTAGCTGATTGTCCGTGCCTTTGTGGTCATAGAGTATGTTGTCGGGTTTGACGTCTTTGTGTATGATGCCTTCTCCGTGCAAGTAATGTAGAGCCAGGACCACCTGCATGAATAGAGCATCGGTGTATAGTGGAGCTGGACCTGGTGACTGGTCACATCTATGTCGACTCATCAAGCTTTTGAGAGTTCCCTCGTGTAAACTCATAAATATCTCTACTGGAGCTCCTATGTTCCAGCCTTGGGAGTGCACAAACTTGACAATATTCGCCTGCATCTGTTAGCTAGGGCTACAATATGCGGAACTCAAACACTTACGTGAGATAACCTAGCGAGAATCTCAACCTCTCTCTTCCATTCAGGTTTGTAGTGCTCCTGGTCAGAAGGGCGAGTGCTTCTTTTGACGGCCAGGAGATTGCCGTTATCCAGATCCAACGTTCTGTGAACGGTTCCAAAGGTTCCCGCGCCCAGAAAAGCAGATAGTTCGTGGACGATCGTGGGAAGCTTCTCATATTGCGTGGCTACATGTGGGGTATGCGCGCTCCGAGTCTCGTATGCGGTTTCTGGGAGTACTCGAAAGTCAAGATCGGTCCAGTCGAGCCCTGAAGGCATTTCTCTTTGAGCAAACAGCGCCTTCGCCTGCTCAAAATTTTCATTCTCCACCGAAGACTGGTGCTCCGGCCATGATATCTGGAAGTGGGCCCTACCCATCGACACTATTATCGCTTCTCCACGTAGCAGGACTCGTTGTCTCGGAGTACCTTGAAGCTTGTAGGTACGGTCATCCGCTTTGTCGATATACATGACTTCCGTGCTATTCGTCATAGATGTATCGCGTAGGATCAAGGCCAAGGATGACTTATTTAAGAAGAAGTGACAGTGAAGTGACGACCACTGTTTTGTAGGAAACACTACATCGCTCCTGGTTTGGTCCCGACCGAAGGATATAAGGCTGCCTGGCTTTTTGGAAGTCCTTCCTAACCCGACTTGTAGAACTCCAACTCCGTCCCACTCGACCCGGTATGAAGAATTTACCTCGTCGTCTATGACTCTTTGGGCTAAATCATTTTCAGCCACGAGATAGAAAATAATGTCTGTGTCAGACATAATGAAGAAAAAGATAGTCGAACAGTAGAGTATAGATTTTTTCCAGATATTGTAGGAAGATGAATGAAAGACACAAATGAAGGAGCAATAATATGAGTAACTTGCTCATTTAGAAGGGGACATTGTAACTGCAAATATGAGAAAAAGTAACATTTAGCCTGGTAAGTTCGAGTTTCAGGTTCGAATACCAACCATAATACGCCTCATGTTGCAGTCACTTCTAATCTTAGAACATAGGTAACTGGAGGCCAGGTGGCATTCTAAGCGCCATATCGAGACCAAAAAGCGCGCCCAGTGTTGAGCTAGGCTAGACAATAATTTGTTAGCAAAGTTGCAAATATGATCACAAGGCTTGTTGGTTGATTGGACATGCTCAGGTTTGATTTGAGTTGGTTCTCTGTTGGTACGCATATAGAAGTTGCTGGGGGTGAGGACGGAGTAATTTGATAATTATCATGACTAGCCGGAGATTCTACTGTCACATGCCTCAATAAAATGGGCGCCTATCGGCTTGCTGAATATTGGGGAGTCGCAGCCGGTGAGGAATGACATTTGTTGATGAAACGTCGGTTCCACGCGCGCGGACGACAGACACGTTAAGCGCCTGCAAATATGATTGGCCAGAGTATGGTGGGGCTTAATTAAGCGCGCTGCTACCTGCTACATTCTACCAACAACATGGTTCAACTGCAATTTGGTTTTTTCAGGCCATCACACGGTCGGCGGACGGAGCTGGGAATTCCAGATAACACTTAATCACCGTCTACGTCGATTCCCTCTCGTTTGGACACATCAATCTAAATAGAAAGCCGAGAACTCACGCGATGGCCTCGATTCTCGCCCCGAATAATCCTCCACCGCGTTTGACAGAGTTCGCACTACGAAGACACACCAGAGCAAAGGAAAAGGCTTTGCGCACTCGCTCAGAGATCGAAAATGCACCTTCATCGACGGATTTGGATGCGTGGGCTGAGGAGTTGGAGAAGATGGGAGGAAAGACACACATAAGCATTGACTCGGAAGAGAGAGAACGTCTCAGGGCTAGGGGCCGCAGATTCCACAAGTTTATCAACGGAGTCGAAAGGCGAGAGAAAAGCCCGGTCCCTATGCACGCCACCGACGATAGACCTATTTGGATGCGGACAATGGGAAGAAAGTACCCAGAGGCAAACATACCCAAATCTGTCCACGAAATTACTCCTCCTCGACATCCAGCGGAAATGTTTCGCTCGCAATCAGCGAACCTACTCGCCAGTTTGGACAACGACACGTCTCGCCTAATCAAATCCATTTCAGCGGAAGGAGAGCAAAGCCTCGAGGTGGTTGTGTCACACATGCCTCAGTTTCGACATGTTCGAAATCATGGAGAAATGGGTTCTTATATCGACCAAAGTCAGTACGTCATCTGCATGGGCTCTGGCCCTTTGCGGGACTTACAATACGGCATTATCATTGTGCCCATTGGCGAAGAACAGATGATGTTCAGACCTGAGCATGAATACAGAGACAAGCCCATATCGAATCGACAGGAACCCCAACATCACGCTGCCATTTTGCAGGACTCTGATCCAGACCCGGCTTCTCAAGTCCGTCCACCACAAGGGCATGCCCGAAACAATAATGAAGATTCATTCCACAACCCAAACGAGCCCCCTCCGAACCAAAACCTCTTTGACGTGCCGGCCCCGGAGCCGGGGAACCTGCAGAAAATTTTTGCCGATGCGAATCGTGTTTGGAGGCCGTTTGGACCGCCTATCGCCGATCAGGTGCCGCCAATACAACCACAGAATAAACCCTCGGGTCATGGGGGTCTTTTTGGGGGCGGATTTGCTGCTGCGTTTGGAGAAAAACAACCACCAGCACAACCCCCGAAACGCAAAACAGCATCTTCACGAGTGACGAAGAAGGTTTCTAAGCGCCCTGCAGCCCGATCACAGCCCAAGAAGAACGCGACAAAGGCAAAACGCGCTGTAAATGGTGCTAAGAAGCTTGCGCCACAGCCTACCACTGGACAGCGTCGCAGCCCAAGAGCGAACGCTGGTCAACGTGCAACTTGATGAGGTCCTGAGTTCTTGCTTCAAACTTTCAACTGTGAAAAGTGATTGATCAAAGCTGAAATGCCGAGGGCTCTGTCTTTTCGATGTCCGGCCCGCATCAGAAAAACCACGCATACTCTGCCACATAGGGAAAAAGACGCCAGAAATTCTAGGCACGTTGAATTGCACCCACGAAGTCACGGACATGCCAAGAGCTAGAATCCTTTTGCCCCCAGTAGTATGAATGAAGTGTATTTGCAAGGGCTCCGCCAATATACGTACATGCTGCCAAAACCGATTTCGGACCTTCAAACTGACCAAGGTACGAGTTTTTTGAAAAAACTTCATGATGCGAGGGAGTTCGTTCCCTATCTTCGATTGACGAAGTATTGTTTCTTGCAGATCATGTTCGTATCGGTCGTGGCCGAGCATTGGCTCGAGGGGAAAGATGGCGAAAAGGGACGCCGAGATGCTTGGTGGGGACGCTTCTCTGAGATTGATATACCCGGTCAGCACGAAGCTGCAGGAATCAGTGTTCGATGAATATTATCTCACATCTGTTCGCGATATATTATCAAGGGATTCATATACTCATACTTTTATATCACTAATTACTTCTCGTATTATTTTGAGCTACATGGGTAATCTGGTACATGATTTCTCTACCCTCCATATTTTCGCAGTGTACAAGTCTCTTTGTCATTTGTCAAACGAGGTATAATAGCTGTTCTGCAATAACCTGGCCCGCTAACAAATTTTGCTCACAGATAACTCACCCTGGAAGACTTGAGTCTCAACAAGCTCTGGAGAATGTTGAATTTCTCGGAGCTAGCGTCCCGCAATCCAGCCATCTGGAACGAATCATCAGTTTCATGTTATGGGTTTGAGGAGAACACCTGCAATGGTGACATTTATTGCGACGTGAACAAGGTGGATTTAGAGATGTTCACGCAAACCTCATGTGCTTTTGCGCAAATGAATCTATCAGCCCTGAACCCGCCTATTTATCATCTAGTCGGGGCTCCGACTTCCACAACGCATCTACACTTCTACCTCCAACAATCTACGCCACAACCTGCATCCCAACCTGCCTTGCGATATCCTCGCTCTTTTATGGCCATTGAATTTGCAGACACTCTCAACCCAATCGTCGCAGCTCAGCAATCACATTTTCTCCGCAATGTTCTGGAGTCGATATTGGTGGCCTGCTGCTCGTCAAGGGGCTCAAGTTTCGACCACGCCTGCAAACCCTCCTCAAGGGGCTCAAGTTTCGACGACACCCGTAAACCCTCCTTCCCCAGCGGCCAAGACCTCGGCGACGCCCGTAAAGCCAAAAGCCTCACCTGCGACGCCGATAAAAAGATGGGAACGGCCTCCTGCCAGCTTTCGCGAGTGAGTTCGTGATATCCGAGTCAATGTGCCTCAGTGCTAACGTTATTCGTCACAGAGGTATGGGGGATACCATCGTAACGCTGTACGTCGGTCCTGAGAGAGTCAAGTTTGTGGCCCACAAGGAGCTCCTTTGCGAGAAAAGCCTCTACTTTGAAAAGATGTTCAAGGGAGATTTCATAGAAGCCACCACAGAATCTGCTGAACTCCCAGAAACTGATGTTGAATCATTTGATCATCTGCTCAATTGGGTGTATACGGGAAAGCTTCGAGCCTATTACGATGACTGTACACGAAAGCCACCGACTTCATCATGGGCGTGGTCAGCCTTTATACACTGGCTGATATGATGCTAATCCCCTGCCTGAAGGATCGAATTATGGATGAATACCTAAAAGGTTTGCTGAAAGAAATGTACACGCCAAATCTCTTGCTTATTTCATCTGGATATAAGAAGACTTTACCTGGTTCTCCCCTACGTCGGATGTTCAGTCATTTCGTCGCTGCTCATATTATGACTGGCCTTGCCAGTTGGGTCGATGAAGTACTCTTTAAGACACTCCAACAAGAAAATGATCTGAACGCGGATGTTATTAAACTACTCAGGAAGTACACAAGCAAAATTGGGGATCCTTGCAAACAAACGCAGTGTTTTTTCCATTGCCATGAGCCTACGGAGACATGCCCGCATGCATAATGTTGGACTGAAGGAGCTGGGTTAAAGAAGTGGGATGGGTTATGGATACGACAGCAGAATGTGAATTTTCCGAGATGCGTAACACAGATATATGGAGGCATCATGTATGTATCGTTTGTGTGATATCGTAGATGGAACATCAAGCAAATATTATTTTCGTGAAAATGTACCCTAGTTGGACTATCAGGGGATATGAAACTTTTCAGGCAGCACTAGTGACCCTTCCAGTGTATTGATGCCAGAAACCGATTTTGTGACACACCTTCCCTAAACGATTATATTTACCGTTTTTAATAGAAGCAGGATTTTATACTAATACTCAAAATGATTAGGGGAATACAAACATGGGGCAGAGTAACGTTATTCTACCCGATAGGGTATCCCGTCTGTCTTGCAACACATCGGTGCAACACGGCATTACAGCGACAAATGAACGTGTGGTATACATTAATAAAAGAATGTATATGACTACTCGCTAACGAGTAAGCACCTATCCCTGATTATTGCGCGGGCTAATGTCGCGAGCAATGTAGATCTGACCATAAAGTTCTGTAACATCGACGAAAAGTCTCAACTTGTCCATAAAACTCTTATCAGTGCGAGCTTCCAGTTCACTCAGAGTCGCCCCCAAGCACTGTCTCTCATATCCTGCTATATTCATAAGTACTCGTTTTTGAGATTCCTCGATACAGTGCCAGTTTCCTTGTTCGCTTTCCTCCCGGAAGCCTCTGAACTCCGCAAAATTGATGCTGTTGAAATTTCTTTCCTTTCGATCGCGCGATACAGACCCAAAGTCATTTTGGTGGCGACACATCGCAGCTAGATGATGCGCAGCGTCCTCGAGCAAATATCGCGTTTGTACGCAAAGGAGGTTCCGACTTTCAGGAATGTAGGTCAGGCAGAGAAAAAATACGAAGGAGAAGAGGCAGCTGGTAGTCTCGCCACCTGTTGAGTGAGTCCATCCAAAAAATGTTGCGTCATCTTGCTTCATACCCCACGACTCATCTATTGAACTGGACTCACTCGGTAACTTAGCACTATCTTTCATCTGTTGAACGTGTGAAAGCAAGAATGCTTTTAGTTCTATTTTCAGCCAATTCTGAAGGGAAAGTGGACATGCCAGAACCTTTGGATGTTGCAAGACGTAAATGATAAGCTTGTTGAGAACTGCTGAGACATCTCCAAACGTGCCGTTGAGATACGACCTACAGTCAGCTTCCACGGGCGGAGAGTTCGATGCAGTGCCCAATATATCGTCCCGATGGAGGTGTGATGACACATTGTTCCCTTGAAATAATTGTGTTGCAGGACGACTCTTCTTTCGAGAAGTACCGTTGAAGAGGTCTCTGATGACAAGACCTAATGCATCTAGGTTGTCTTGGAACTTTTCTTGTAGCACGAACTCCATATACCCATCCACCTGATAGTCGAGCATTGATACAACCATCATATCAAATAAGATATCATCTTCGATATTCCTTGATCCGAGGTTCTTGCAGCTGATCCAAGTGATAGGAATATACCGAAGATATTCAGTGTCGGATGCCTTTGATAAAGGAGGGAAGACGATGTCGTGACATCGCTCCAAAAGTGGATATATCCGAAAACTCTCAATAAGTGAGCCTCTCATCATTTCGTCATGTTGACCTGAGAACATTGGAAGTTTTTCGAAGAAGCATTTTAGTTTTGTCATGGACTTTGGTAGTCTGACTGTCGTGATTGTTTCTGAGTATTCGGTAGCTTTGATATTGCAAGCGGCCAGACAGTAAGCCTGCGCGACGTTGCTCAGGGAGTATGAAGTTTTTTCGATCCAAAGATATTCCCCCTGGCTCCATTTGTCTTTACAGGAGAGAAGAAATTGTTTTCCACTTTGGAACACGGCCAAGTCTAGGTTTGGTGATTCGTCTGGCTTGATGAGATTCAACAAAGGTGCCAATGTCAGAATAGCATAAGCTGTGACTTCTCGCTTATCATCCCATGAGCCGTTGGGTTGCTGTGAATCAATAGTTCCCTGGTATATTTGTTGCAGGACGACCAAAATCCTTCTTTTCAATGATGTCGAGAAAATTCCTTTAACCTCTGTCGATTCCACGTGCTTGAGTTTGGTCAGAAGAAGTGACAATGATTGAGCGGCCAACATCATGGGATAATGCTCCGAAGTGTTCTGTGTTATTAGAGTTAATTATGTCAAGACCCATACGACGGACGGAGCGAGGCACTGACCCATTTATCCCGTATTTGACCAGATATCCACATACTTGTTATGAATTGGGTACATTTTTCAATTGAAAGTACATGTTTGGCAATGTCGCCGCTCCTCAGGAGGCAGGCAAGTACGTTGCAATTGGTACTGACACTTGGATTACGTTCTCCATGGTAGGTGGCAAAGGAAGAAGGTTTTTCGAACTCATTAATCATCGCCTCCAACGAAGGACTTTCTCCCAGTAGACTTAGGACAGTGTTCGCTTTGGCGGTGTCATCGGCATCGGGAAGAAAGTTAGAAGCTTTGAAATCAGCGGGGCCAACAATGAATTGGGAAAATCAAGGAGAAGACGTACCGAATCCCGTAAGACCACTTCCGTTTTGCAGTGTCGCTTGCAATGCACTTTTCAAATATCTCAAATCATGGGTAGTGAAAGTTCTTTCGTTGAAATTACCTTCGAATAGGATTGAAAGAACCTTTAAATAGTCAATATTGTACTGGTGTTTTGTTACGGTAACTTACCCAAGCAATCTCAAAAACAGACGTTGGGAAGGCTGAAGGAAAGCCTCCACTACCTTTTTCACTCAGGTAGTACTTCTCAACACCAACTAAGTACTGTTCCGCCTGAGAATCCCATGAACTGGTATGCATGAGGTATGCCGCCGTTGACGATGGTGATCCCAGCATAGATCCTTCAGGTGACCGGTGATGTTTGACCAAGTCGAAATCAAAATTTCCCGTGAATGCTTCCAAAGAATGGATTAAAGTATTTGGTCTGTGACTCGCCAGACCCGGCTTGAGCTTTTGGATTTTTTTAGAAGATAGCAGAAGAAGTTCTTTTCGAGCTGGGAATTCAAATTGAACTCCGTGTTTCTCTAATGAGAGAAGAAGATTGGGAATTAGAACCTCAAATCCAACTCTGTCGGAGCCTTTGATGTCCCAATTTTGGAGCATGTGGTTCAATGATGCTTCAGCTTTGGCACATGAGCTTTTTAGATCAGAATCACCATGATCTAGAGTATGCTGGTGGACTTGGAGTGCTAAAAGGCCTGCTAGTGTATTGATTATGCCATCTAACTCCGAAGAGTTTCCAGACCAGGAGCCGTCAGATAATTGGGTAGCTTTGATAAAGTCGAAAGCTTTTGGGAAGAGGTGTTCATGTTGCTGGGTCTTCTTTTTGTGACCGACGGTGAGCATTGAAACCCATGCTGTATCGTAAACACTTGGAGAAAAAGAACTAAAGCCTTGTTTTGATCGGTTCGCACTTGCTATAAAGCTCACCAGCTCAAGAGCGCAATTTTCCAAAGACAAAGTCATGAGTGCTTAGTGGTGAGTTTATTGCTTCGATATCGAAAAGAATAGCAGACAATCTTCGGTGAGAAAGTCCCAGGGTAACGCCAGAGTACATCTGGGCAAAATAACTGTTACGAACCTGAGGCGTAGTAGACTTTACTGAGTCTCTTGATATAGTGGCACCTCGCACAGGAGGAAAATTACATGTAGACGCAGCGTGACATTAAGGCTACGAAACATCTTCAAATCAAGTTACATTTGCATGACGCCGCTGAGCAATATGATTGTTGGGCGGCTATACACAACAGGAACAGGATTGGGTTTAAGTTGCGATAATTTTGAAAGTCTTGTTGGTTGGTGATCAGTGTTTAGGTGACAACTTTTGCTTTTGCATGCCTAGAGTTGTATTATGATCTCATAGAATCTCATAAAGGGCGAGACTAGTTCTAGAAACACCGACTAAAAGAGTCCTGTGCCGCAGTACATCTGCTCGGCATTGTTGTATGTTGGAATAAGCCACCGGCAGTGTCGTATTGAAGAAATGATCTACAAATGAAGTGCAAGGGGGGTGTTGGTACTAGTAGTACAGCTAGGATAACTCGGAAAATGCGATATGCACGAGGGCGTTTTGGATGGCGCATATTCCTGGGAAAGATAAGGATTTTCAATTGCCAAAAGAGGTACATACGAGGCTTAAGCTTTCTGCGAGACCTATCCCCAACAGACTGAAACAAAAGGCTGTGTCACATCCTCTAACCAATTGTGAGTCATCTATAGATGTGTACCACAAATCAACTTCATAGCCATAATGATCATCTGGTGACTTTCAACTCCCCAGAATACTTACAATTGAGAAACACCGCTATCATGCACACATCACTATCGTGGGCTGACCCCTCGGACTACAGAACAAGCTTCGTACAAGGACTTATTATCAGTGTATTTGCTGCTATATTGTTACCATGTGTGGTAAAGAACAAAAAAAAGGTCGATGCACCTTATGTTGGCTATAGATCATGGTTTGAACCAACATTTTTAGTCCGACTTAGATATCTATTTCGAGCAAAATCACAGTTAGCAGAAGGATATCAGCAGGTGAGGATCTAAATGATTTCGCACAAAAGTTTTTAACATCAATTAGCACAAAGACAAAATATTCGTAGTAAGGCGAAAAGGGATGGACATCGTTGTGCTTTCAAACAAATATCTCAACGAGTGTAGGCTCTATCCGAATTCACGTTTGAGCAGCGTTCAGGCTCAACTATCTGTGAGTATCTTAGAACCGAGAAGCAATAGTTCCAAAACGCTGAGAGAAGATAGAATCTACACGGAAAGTACACTTACATGAAAGGAGTCCTGAAAAACAATCTTCATGTTCGAGTTCTGCAAAATCAACTCACTCCGAATATCCCTACATACCTGGACGGTGCCAAGCAAGAAATCTCATACGCTTTCGTGAATGATTTTTCTGTAATCCGAGGTGAGAGTGATCCGTGATAAAATCGCTGAGATAACCATTGATGACTTTCCAGATTGGACCGATTGCGATATTCAGTTTTTGATTCGTAAAATGGTCTCTCGAATCTCGGGAGCTGTTTTTCTTGGACATCCCCACTGCCGTGACGAGCAATGGCTACGTCTATCAGTGGATTACTCGATCAATGTATTTCAAACTAGTTTTACATTGAAACTATTTCCCTCGGCATTTCACCCGTTGATATCGCGATTAATTCCAGCCCAGCGCCGTCTCAGTCGGAATCTCAAAGACGCGGAAACCATAATTGGGCCTATCGCTGATGAAATTCGCAAGAAGAACGCAGGCCAAACTGCAGACGTGGAAAGAGAGATACCAGGGTCACTCCTGTCCTGGATGGTACACAACTCCGACTTCAAAGTGACGGACAACGGTACTCTCGCAGCAACACAGCTAATATTGACGCTTGCTTCAGTACATACCACTTCAATGGCAGTGTGTAATGCACTTTTTGACATCTGTGCACATCCAGGGACTTTGAGACCTCTCCTCGATGAGATAATGCAAGTGCTTGATGGAAAGGATCCCGAGCAGCTTTGTACCCAAGATCTTTCACAGATGAAGAAGCTCGACTCGTTTTTGTTGGAATCTCAACGCTTCAATCCACCAATACTTCGTAAGTCCTTCGACTGAGTCATCTGAGTAGCCGACAGTGCTAAATTCAACCAGTCAGTCCCCAACGGGTGACAATGGAGCCCATCACGCTGAAGGACGGTACCTTCTTACCTAAAGGCACCCAAGTAGCATGGCCTGCAGCAAACATTCTTATGGATCCGAATGTAACATTCGATCCGGAAGCGTTCAACCCGTGGCGATCATTCGAGCAAGGCAACGAAACGTCTCCAGCCAGTACCAACGCATACGGGCATACCAGTGAGAAAAACCTTCTATTTGGACATGGCAGACAGGCATGTCCTGGCAGATTCTTTGCTGTTGCTGAAATTAAGATGATTTTGGCGAGGATGTTGATCGAATATGATTTTCGTTTCTGCAATCAAGGTTGCAGGCCGAAGAGCCTTACAATCGATGAGATGGTCTTTCCTAACCCATTTGCGAAATTGAGTATCAAGAGACGAAATGAGGGAAGATGATGAGCTTGCAAGATTCTATCACCAGCCGCTCTTTGACATTGAGAATAACTTCATTAGATGTGGAATTGATTGGCAGTTTTTCACCATTGATCTGAGAAGGGTGGCAAGATATCGACTTCATAGGTTTCGGTTCAGATTAGCTAAATGTATTCGTTTAATCAGTAAGGTTGCAGTAAAGTTGCAGTAAATTAAACCAGCATGTTGATGCTATCAAATCTCTCTAGTCTTGATCAGAATCTCGAATGGCTGCCTCTCAACAACACTGAATACTCTTTGTTCGTTCCAATGCAACTTTCCACGTGGCGTGTCCGCAACCGCAAGGTCGAATTTCCAGATCAGTTTCGAAAGCATAAGCCGAATCTCCGCTAGTGCAAGGTGTTTTCCTGGACAAGATCGTGGACCGACGCTAAAAACTTGAACCGCCCCGCGGTGATCATCGTGGAAAGGGGAAAGTTCATCTTTCAGCGCAGAATCAAGCCATCTCTCGGGAATAAACTCATCCGGCTTAGCGAAAAGCTTCCCAGATAAAGATATAGCAAGAGGGTGTACATTGACGAAAGTATTTCCCGGGATGTATTGCCCTGCTATACGAACGCCATTGGACGGCACTATTCTAGGGAGGCCAACAGGACTGTCACCAGGTTATTTTCACACGCCTGGCAAATCGAACATGAAACTTACGTGGGGTTGCAAAGACGGAATCCCTCCTGAATAACTGCATTCAAATAGCGTAAGTCCCTTAATTTCAACAGCTTGATATCTTCAAAGCTAGCAAACGCTTTCCTGATGTCTGTAGTCAACAAGTCGAGCTTTGCTGGATTTCGGACCAGATAGTTGGTGATTCCGCTCAGAATACTGACTGTCGTTTCACTTCCCGCTATGATGATGATACTGGAAGTTGCTTGCACCTCTGGGAGTGTCAATCCATTTACGCCTTTGTCATCAATTTTGATGTATGACAGTATATCTGGTCTTGTCATTTCAAGGTTCAATCTGCGATTTACCTTATCAGCAGCTAGTTCCCAATGTTCGCGTTGCTTACGCATAACACTCTTTGGAATGGCTAGGCTCATTAGCCAATTCAAGCCAGGGTAATAACGCAACGAAGCACCCAGCGTTGCTGCTCTAAGAGAGTTAAAAATTAGTGCTATCCAGGGATGAAAGTCCGTCCGATCTAAACAATTGAATGATTCCCCAAACCCGAGGTCGCCAATAAGGTCGAAAGTGGTGAACCCAAACCAACGTACAATATCGACAACATCTGCACCACCTTTTGAAGAGACGGTTTTCTCCAGCTTAGCAATCATGGATGACACATATGTTTGCATGATATCTTCCTGCTCCCGCAAAGCTTTCTCTGAAAGGCCCGGTTCAATTGAACGTCGGAACCTTTGATGATCTTTAGGATCTAAGGCATTCAGAATGGACTTTGGTCTTCCTGGTGCCGGGCTATGCCAGAGTTTGGACTTTGGCAATGCCTCACGGCTGGTCTGATTTGAATATACATCGTGCCATGCTTCCGGACTTGCGATAGAGATCTCATCCGGGGCGATTCGAACAAAGTCTCCGTATTGCTCGTGTATTTGGCGAACATCTCTCGCCAAGTAGCCAGACCATATTGAGAAAACATAGGTGAACCTTGTGGATGCCCAAAGTTTTGGTCCTGGAAACCCTGCTAGTGGATGGAAATAGGTATTGTAAATCAAGATCGTGAAAACATACTGGTTCATGTTAGACAATCCCGATTAAAATAAGTTCAGAAGACTCACGACAACGATTAAGAACATGAACCCCCCCAAAAATGCCAACAGATTTTGACCCATGACGGAGAGAGAGTAGCCCGTAAACAAAACTCTTGTAGTAGTAACAATTAAATCTGACAATCTGATCCTTAATTGTAAACACAAGTGGTGAATTATTTAATCCGCGGGGGCCTCGATAGACTGTGGAACGAAGTCGCAGATATCAAAAGAGTCGCAAGTATGGTAACGTTGACGGCGTAGATTAGCCTAAATGTTGTTGGTTTGTTGGAATGATGAGGCTGTAACACACAAGTACCTCAGTGCTGAAGAATTCGGCCTGCATAAAGCACAGTGATGCAATACCGTTCGTCTCTGTTCATGTGTTGGAAACGAATCCATTTTGATAGGACGCAGCATTTCCAATCCTTATCGTTAACCAACATGTGCAGGTTGTTGGTGTACAATTGACCTACAAGGGCTGATATTGGTCTAATTTCCAACAAGTTACCAGGATCATTTTTGATTGCACGCCCCCTGCCTCGATATTTGAGATCAGCAGTTGGTTGTAGGAAGAGAATTTTGCTTCCCTGGCGCCAATATGCATAGATAGCTCCAATTGCACACCTATCAATGCTAAGCCTTCGGGGAATTCCTACAGATCGAGCCCAAACTCGCGAATTTGAGAACGCGTGCTTTTGATCTGAAACGATCAACTGAATTCGATCACCAGCTTTGAATGAAAATCGAGTAGAAAAATTGGTTGTTAGCGCTGAAGCTGAACAGTAATTGAGTAAAGAACACAAAAATGTACGCTCATTGAGGAGATGATTTCATATGATTACCGGAATCTTTTAACCCCAGAAAAACTGTTGGCCTATCACCGTGATTTGTTTCATGCATGATTGTTGGAATCCAACAACAAAAACACACCTTTAAGTGACACATGGATTCCAGTTATCGCAGAACAACGTCCTTCATGAGTTCATTATTCCAACACTAGGATTCCTGGTATACTACCTTCCTGTTCAAGAGATAATTGTGCATAATGCTAAGATTGTACCAACATCTGTAAAGACACGCCGAGTAAGCGAATTGTCTCGTGGAGGGAAACAAACATCCAAAGGATGAAATTCCGGAAGCAATTACCCTGAAGGATTCGAGTCTGTTGGTTATAGACTTTGTGATACCGTAGATCACCGGCTGCGCGGTTTACTTTCCGACTTATCACTTGAGCGCACAAATATTACATTCAACCAGAAACTTCCGACACATTACATTTTATCTTTCAATTCGCATCTTTAATCAGAGTTGCAGATTTTTCGCCTTTTTACAGTTTATCTACTCAAGATGGGTTCAGCACATTCCGTACCAGCAGACTTTACTCAACCAGCACGAGGTATAACTGTCGCCCTTCTTGTGATTACCAGTATTGGCATCATATGCCGGATCTTATCTCGACGTATTCAACGTGCCAGCCTAGGCCTCGATGATATACTAGTTTACATTGCATTTGTAAATGAACACTCCCTGGTTCATGCTCAGACTAACGAAGGATTTCTAGCTAGCAAATACTGGCCTACTGGCTACTGTACTTCTAGGTATTCTTCAACTTGCTTGACGCCTACTTATTCTTTTTGCATCACAGACACTAACGAATCAACAGAAGCCTCTCATAGGGCCTTCTCTCTCCCCGCACTGCGAAAGAGCACAAGTGAGGAGCAGCTTTATCTAAAAAGGGTCAGTAGTCCAGTTCATTAATCCACAGAATTTCACAGACTTTCAAGAGCATTATAGACTGACAATTGTTTTCAGGTGACTGTTGCTCTTGGCATATTATACGCTGTTTCCCTGCTTTTTACCAAGATCTCTGTTCTTTTTTTGTACCGCCGAATCTTCACCATGAATACACGATGGTTTCGTAACGTTTGGTGGTTTAATCTGCTTTTCCTCTTTCCGGGCTGGACCGTACTGGCATTTACACTTCTCGGTTTGCAGGTAACTCCACAGGGAAGCAAGCTACTCACGAGTAAGCTGAGCATAATAGGCTCGCCATTGGTCGGCGGGTTGAACTCCGTATCCGACCTTCTAGTTCTGAGTATGCCCGTAAGAATGGTTATAAAGCTCAAGATGCCTTTGAGGGAAAGGCTGGGAATATTGTTGTTACTGTGCATGGGATTAGGGTAAGTGCCTATGACATTGATTTATGGGGTCAATGCTAACCCTTTACTCTACAGCGCAACATCAATTTCTATCATGAGAGCCATACGATTTCACATAAAACGCAAAAATCATTGGAATCCTGCATACGGATTATACAATGATGTGGTATTGACTATCGTCGATAGCTCCACTTGTCTGATTTGTGCTTGCTTTACGATTGTCAAGCCTCTGATCAGAAAAGCCAAAGAAGTGTCGATCACAAGTGCTACAAGTCTCCTATCTCTGCGTTCGGCCAATAGCAGCAGAGTAACTGGCACTCAATATGCAGCGAGCGATAACCAGAGTCTAAATCGTAAGCCAAGCAACGACCCACATGGTATATATCGCGTAGACAGGTTCGAGGTTGAGGTTAATAACAGCCAGTTCGATAAAAAGGGTAACAATATTGTCCTCAAGAGCTACATAGTCGGCAAGTAGATGTATATCTAGTTTTGACGCGCACATGCTTCTTTTGATACACTTGTCTCAGCAAGAAACGCTCGTCGTAACTTTTGAGTTCAGTCTAGAATAGTTGCATAATCTGGAATAATAGACTTTTCGCGATTGCTCCTAAACTTTTAGTTGACAGCACACGTCTTGCCAGACGTCCGGACGTCGAGAGAGATTTCGTCGGGCGCGAAGCTGAGTATGGACCGTATTGGAGGTTGAGGACCTGTATGCTGCAAGCGAGATGGCCGCCCCATAGGGAGAGAATGTGATTTTAGGTGAGGCGGGTGGCAGTAGTGTATGAATGGTATAACTGACGTCTTTCTGAGGATAAATCCGCCCTCGTTTCGGACGAAGTACCTTTTCTGGGTCTCAATTTTCTCGAGATCTATGTTCATTATTGATTTTTGTTGCTCAAGCTGAAAAGGGTGTCAATTGTGGATTGCGTAGAAATACCGTCGCTTCACCTTCATAAATGATGTAGGTTCACGCTTGGCGCTCACCTTGTTTCTCCACGATCTTATTTTTTTCCCTACTTAATTTGCGATCTTGCCAGTGTCTCTTCTTCTCTCAAGATTCCCATGAGTACTTACATTTCTTCCGTATTCTCTCCTCGTGCAAACCATTGTTGTCAACTATAAGTCTTGTGGGTATTTGAGGATCACAAGACTGTCACTGTTTGTACTGATTTCTTACCTAGACCTAAGCATCCTTCGATCTATCATTCACCGACTTCAGATCCCTCATCAGAATCGAACGGACCACAAAATGGCCTCGCAAGTCGGGAACCCGTGCAACAAAGATGGATTGACAGACAAGCAAAAGAAAACAAAAGCGCGAATTCCACGAGTATACAACAGCCAGACTCAATTTCAGAACGATCACTGACATCTACATAGTACAGTAGGCACAGAGATGGTTGACATCTTCGTTGGCCCGACCGAGCGACACTACAGAATCCATAAGAAAATACTCTGCGAAAAGATCCCTTATTTTGACAAGATATTTAACAGTGCCTTCGCGGAGGGCTGTGAGAATAAAGCAAAATTCCCAGAGGACAGTCCTACATCCTTTGATGTTTTGCTGGAATAGGTCTACACTGGATCGCTCCGACAACAGTACCCGAGCGTCGGTGTAAAGGAACTGTGGAATGGATGTGATTTTTACTCTCTGGCGGATCGATTGCTTTTACCAGAACTGTGTGATAAAATTATGGATATATGGATCTCGAATCACACTACTAAGAATGCTTTATTAAGCGTAGAGGAAGGAGCTGCAATCTGCACCAAAACACCCGCCGACTCTGGTCCTCGAAAATACTTCTCGCGGTCTCTGCATTACATTATTACAATTGTGCGGGACAGCCATTGCATCTCGAAATCCACGGAAACTTGGTGGCCAACCGAAAATATCCAGAAAGCAATATCCAGAAACACAGATTTGTGTACAGACATCCTCAAGCTGCTTCGCAGTCAAACGCCCGGAACCTTACCTCAAGACCCTCGTACACTCTGCCCCTGCACCTATCATTCAGCAAAAGAGGAGCCGTGCAAACTTTACAAGAAATAATTCAAGTTCAACCGGACTGTCTGAGAGGATCAACAGTGGCTTTCGAATCAACTTCACGAAAAGCCGCCGAGAATGGATACAACACAGAACTTGGGGTGTCGTGAAGGGAGTATGAGTTCTGGGAAGTGGCAAAGATAGTTTGAGTCTGTTGTTGTAAAAGATCAAGGTAGATGAACTTGGGGCGAATGAAGACACCGGAAAAGGAATTCTTGCCGTAGCATTTTCTCTTTGCTATAATCTCAATAAACTAAATCTCCTTTTCCCACAAGGAAGTGTTCTCTCTACAGAAGACTTAGCAGTGTCACTCTGCAACAGACATGTAACTCCTCAATTCCTCTTCTACCTGGAATCCCCATCGAACTTTTTCTGCCATGCTTGAAAAGCCAACTGAACCGCAGACGTGGTACTGGTAGGGAAAATTTGGCACGCGAAATCGAAGAACTCCTTCTCGTGTATTGATAGAATTGACTTAATATTGTTGTGTCATGCTATAATTTTATTTGACATAATTTTCCACTCAACTAAAACAATTGTTACGGAAAGCAGCATCGAATATGCGTACTGTGTTTATGATAGTAAGCGTAGTATCAATCATCAATATACAGACCAAGGTAGGTTGGGTCTGGTGTGTGGGGGAAATGGTATTCAGAGATGACTGCTGTACGCCACACACAACACCAAAAGCGAAATACGACGCATTGTGATTTTGAGATTAATGTGGTCATTATTATCAAAGTTGCTTTAAAACTTATGGTTTGTGGCTAGTGTACTATTACATTCTTTCATAATGCGACATGGCTTGCAGAACACTTTTTACCACTTTTTATATGTTTATTTGTCTGCTCTTCTCGGGTATTGCTTTTCTTGATTTAATGAATGATATCTCGATCTTTATCAAGGTATTTTAATCTCACCTTCACAGAGGCTCTGAGACCAGACCTGATTCGTATTAGTTTCCTTCAACTTTCATCGCCAGATTATAAATATCTGATAGCTTCGACTTCTTCACTTCAATTTTCTTCAATCAGACCACGATCTACTATCATAATTCAATATCCGTTATCGTCTCCTCCCTCGCCTCAGCTTTTCTTTAATAATACTTCGATCTACCACTAGGCTATCGACATCTGACATCTTCATCCACACTTCAGCTCTTCTCAACAACACCACAATCCATCAAGCACGATCTATTCTAACTCTTGCCATAAATCACTTCTGGTAAGTCGATACTGATCCTAGTATCTTTCAATATTACCACTGACCTTGTTGTGTTGTTCTACAGCATCCTCGATTTTTCACCTTCAGCTTTGGCTACTTCCAAATCAACGATCAACGATCATCGATCTCATTATCCTTTCAAGTCCCAAAGTATAGCTTCAGCTCAATCATCTTTAAACACAACAAAAACATTCACATCGTTAAGAAACACGACATGTCACCTCCGACCGACGCCTCGTCAGACATAGATAGCTCAAAGAAGCGCAAGCACCCTCATGATGAGGAATTTCCCAAGTAAGTCCCGACGATTGATGTGGGTTCATGCTTGCCGCTGACAAGTACACACAGAATACTAGGCACCGAAATGCTTAATATTTACGTCGGCAAGGAAAAGCGACACTTCCGAGTTCATAAGAAGATCCTTTGCCAGAAGATTGAATACTTTGATCAAATGTTTAATGGGAAATTTTGCGAAGCTCTGAAAAGCACCGCTAGCTTCCCTGAAAACGACCCTGTCTCTTTCGATGTTTTAATTGAGTGGGTATATTCATGATCGCTCCGCAAACTCACTTACAATGCCGAAGAAGGTTACAACTGGATTCCGTATAGAATGTACTCTGTCGCAGATCAATTGATTCTACGTGATTTGATGAATCAAATTATGGACTTTTGAGTAGCTTGTCAGAAAAAAAACAATACTCTCGTGTCGATTGACAATGGGTGTTATATTTACGACAAGACTTCTGAGGGTTCTGGTCCTCGAAAACATTATAGTAATTGTCAACATTACGTTCTCTCAGCTCTTCGGAAAGCCTACGTTTCTGAAAAATGGAAAACCAAGGACATACTGAAGGCTATGGCTTCGAACGAAGACTTGGGTACCGACGTTTTGAATCTGATCCGGGCTCAGAAACCTGGAACTTCTCCTCAGGACCCTAGAGAGCTCTGTCCATGCACTTATCACATTGGGCAAAGTACACCATGCAGTTCTTGCCAAAATTCCAAAAAGAGCACTTGATTTAGAGCTTCAGGGGACGAATCACCCATAGTCTGCTGAACTTGGTAGCCTTTGCGAACGGCGGAAGGAACAGGAAGGAGAATTTGATCAAGATTAGAAAGACAAATTGGTATATCTGGCCCCCTATGGCACTTTCTGATTGCATTATGGGGTTAGTTTCGTTCAGCGAGAAAAGTTTGGCGATGCGATGACGATGATGGGAGAGCTGAGAAAAGTTATTCGAGATTTTGCAATTTATTTTGAGGACAAGAAAGCGTTTACACACCTGGGAGGAAGCAATTATTTATTGGTGTATGTCATCAAAGAACAATAAACACCAATTTGAATAATTTCAGAAATCCCCTTCTAATTAAGTAATCAATTGTTTCCTGCCTGCCTTCATGTTATGCTCGGGATACAATTATTCGGAATCAGAAGAAAGATAACAAACCTTGGTGACATAGCAATCCAAGTGAGCAGTATCGAAAGAGTGTTTTCATAACTTAAACCGCTGCTTTAGTAGCTTGAACTCTTCTATAGAAAGATAAAAAGAAAAAATCAGGAGCCTGACTCCCGATAGCGAATCTGAAGAGAGTATCGTTTAGATATATCAGAGCTTCGCAGCACCACACATTTCCTACTAGATCAATATGAACCATCTCGAAATATCAGCTTATATCGCCATTCCAACAGCGGTTTGGAGTGAGAGGTCGCCGCCAATACCTGTATGGCTAGCGTTTGCACCGGAGTCCTGCAGCCAACGTCCAATCGGACACTCGGCGTTTGAAACCCTACACGACACCGACTTATCACTTTCTGTTTGTTCACAACTTTATCCCCCTTCACCTTGATTCCTCCGACCTGGGTATTCGTAACTTCGTCAGCCAGTTCGTACTCTTTCCTCTCTGTCTCAGAGTATCTGAGTCCTCTCGTTCTCCGCAAGATCGAGGGGAGTTTCGTTGGCTGTTCGAGGATCTAACTGAGCATTCTGACTTACTTTTCTAACTAAACGACATATTTAGGTTTATTTTTGACATGATTGTCTTTGATAATTTACTAACAGATTCCAGGCGACTTTTTCCTCACACGACCGAATAACATCTGCACAATCTGCTCTCCAGTCGAACGTTCTCTGAAAATGAGTGGTGACCATGGTGGAAAAAGCTCGACCGAGAGCAGTTCGGCTAGTTCTTGGAAATTTCTCGAGTACGCGCTTGTTCCTATCAGTATCATTTTTTATGCGAAGGGCTGATGATTGAATAGTAAATTCGGAACTACTATGGTTGATATCTACATTGGCGAAGAGAAAACCCACTTTAGGGTGCACAAGAGCATTCTTTGTACGAAGATCGAGTACTTTGAAAGGATGTTTAATAGTTCTTTCGCAGAATCAAGCGGTTTTGCATCTTTTCCTGAAGATGACCCGACTTGTTTTGATGTCCTTCTTGAATGGGTTTATTCAGGTTCGCTTCGTAACCTGGCTCCTGGAGACAAAAGTAAACCACGACTTTGGAATCCCTATCAGTTGTTCTCCCTTGTCGACAGAATGATGATTCAAGGTCTCAAAGACGGAATCATGGACGCTTGGATCTCTCACGATAAGGCAGACGATGCTCTCCCCGGAATCCATGATGCGACTGAAATTTATGCCAAAACTCCCGCAGGCTCCGGTCCTAGAAAGTACATGGCCTATGCGCTTCATTACGTCCTCACAGTCATGAGAGAACAGCATGCGAGAACGGACTGGTCTACCGCAGATATTGCAAAAGCTTTGGCATTGAATGAAGACTTGTGCGTCGATGTCTTGGAGCTTATAAGAAGCCAAAGGCCCAACACTTCCCCGAAAAATCCACATCTCCTGTGTCCTTGCACTTTTCACTCCGAAAAACACAGCAAATGTGACCCTGAAATCTTACCCAAGAAGAAGGCAAGGAAATCCGGATTCGGTATGGATTTTTGATCACCCTACGGATCATACTCGTTTCGACAAAAGTGGTCTCAGAGAAAGATGACTGAGCTTTTAGGGGAACCCAGATTGTGAAAAGCAGAATTATACCGAGGGTGTAGAAATATTCCTGTGATCAGAAAGGATTATACTTGCCAAGAAATTTCTTTCATGGGGCTTTTGAAAAGGCGTTCATTTTGGCATTCGTGTGCTAGAAAGCTTCTATGACTGTTTATTTGGATTGAACCAGTCTCGCGGTGGACAAAATAAGTCGACTTCGAATACAGCGTAGGAAGTCTTATTTACTTGAAATAATTAACTGAATATCTATATTTTTCTAAATCAATCCACTAAATAACGATATTTCGTCAACTTGATCGAAGAAATAACGTGTTTCGACTGCCACTTACTTTGTCCACCACGAACCAGTTTCCACGTCGTGCAGCAACATTGGGCATTACGTAGTAAGCCTAGCTCTAGTTGCGGAGATGAATTCAGATTTGAGTTGGCATGTCCAATCTTTTGAATGAGGAGTGGAACGAAAAAAAAGATTGGGATATCAGCTCGGTATTCACTACTGGTTAATAAAACTCGGTTTCAGTGTTTCAGTATGACATCAGCATAGGTTCATGTACACAGAAGTAATGTTGGTTACCTTTTCTATCTATTTATTATCCCATTCTCTTGACGGTATCCAATAGCAGTCTTCTAAACCCGTAAAAATGAAGATTTTCGCTGATGTTAGAGATGAATAACCTAATCTCTTCTTATTTCAGTAGCAGGCGCTACAGAATTTCACATCATTCACTCACCTGTAATTTTCGCAGTCAACATTCTTCAACTCACGTCTCATTTCCTCGCATCAAAACCATGCCAACTTCACAATAACACCAGGACCGAAACGCATCCCCATCCGCAACAATGTACTCCGAGACAGATCCGCATGATGAGAACACCTCCACCAAAGCACCACAAACAAATCCCATAAACTTCAGCACGTAAGCTCCCATGTCCATGTAACCCAAGCCTGTCTAACAACACCAGTAAATTCGGCAACGACCTAGTCCAAATCATCGTCGGAAAAGAAGAGCGGCTCTTCACCATCCACAAAACCCTCCTCTGCAACAAAATTCCCTACTTCTCCGCGCTCTTCAACGGTTCATTTGCCGAAGCCGCCGAAAAGAAAGCCTGTTTCCCAGATGACGAACCGGGATCATACGATGTATTATTCCACTGGGTGTACACCGGAGTCCTCCCTCCCTTGACGTCCGACAATCTCTCCGCGCCTAAGCATGCCTGGAATCCGGTGGCCGTCTTCAGTCTCGCAGACCGAATGATAATCCCCGAACTCATGGATTCAGTGATGGATGCGTGGATCCTGGGGGATGCAGTTCGATGCGAATACCCAGGACTCGAATTGACCGAGGAGATATACGACACCACGCCTGAGGGTTCCGCGTCGAGAAAATATCTAATGATGAGTGTGTTTCACATGCTGATGTATCATCGAAGCGATGAAGGGATGTATAGTACGGAAGCGATTCAGGATGCTTTTCATGAGAATAAAGAGTTCTGTGGTGATGTCCTTACACTTTTGCGAAACGAGACAAAAATCCGGCCGACGGATCCGAGGGGTATTTGTGCGTATAATTTTCATGTTGGTGGCGTGGCTCGGTGTGGGAAGTGTAATGCTTCGGTAAGGGAAATGGGCGAGGTTGTTGGGGGGCAGAATGTGTCTGGTAAGGTTTCGAGTGAGTATGTGTTCAAGGATTATACGATCTGAGTATCTGAATGGAAAGCTGGGTGTGGTTGAGGAGGGAAAGATTTTGAGTGGTTAGGGAGCGATAGCATCAAAATGCCATCCTTAGCGATATATGAATTTGTATATCTTGATATCTATTGTACGACCTGTATTTTATGCGGTCGTGTAATTTCAGATACAAGTCTTTGTTAGATAGCAAGGAAGTTGTCAGTTTAATTCTAAAATGACCATTTGTCTTCCATTTACCACGGGATTCTGTTAACCTAATCACTTGCGGTCCCTGGATTTGGCTTACTTGCCTTCTTCTTCCTATCCTCCACCACTATACAAGAATTGTTCTTACCTGCGCTCATACTCTTACTCCACTGTGATCTCTACACTACTTTTTCCCATCTCATTCCATTCACAGTGTCTTTGCTTTCTCTCCATAGAACTAGGTAGTCGATCGACCTATAACAGATATGTCCAACACAAATTCGCAATATAATTATCCAACGTTGTTTCCCACAAACATATAAACTCTAATACCCTTTCAATATAACCTTCCCTAATAATCCTCGGATATCAATCTACCGAAAACAGCCCCTTTCGCACCCTCTGCTTACCGAAACAAAAGAACATCCGCCATCTATTCACCCCACAACCTCGTTTGAGACAACTTCTTATCAGTGGTCCCGACAAGAAGCGGGCCGAATACAGATCTATAGTCCATCTTTGGACAGCCGTTCTCCTTCCCATCATCGACACCTTCGCTTCAAAACCCAGAAGTGTTTCAACCACGTCTTCGCTCCAGGAAGAGCAGAACGACATTACTCAGTCCTAAAACACATACTAAACTCCTCCATATCTTCGCTCGATCTAGGGTCTAAAGACATTGCTCAGCACGATCTCGCTCCTGGTAGAGCAGCACAACACCTCCCTCAACATCATCCACTTTCCCATTTCACACCCAAAATGACAAAAATATTCTCCAAGAAAAAAAGCAGCACATCGCCGCTCAACGAGCGCGATAGACCCAAGCCCTCATGGTGGACACGAGCACTATCCAGTCCGGCGCCAGATACCGCGTCGTCGCAGGGTTCGATCTCGAGGGATTCGACGTTTACGGCTGCGAGTTCGGTGTCGACGGGGCCGAGAGGGAGTCGGGTTTGGGGTGATGAGGAGAAGGATGTTTTGATGGGGGATGGGGATGGAGAGGAGGAGGAGGGGTTTAGTGGGTTAGTATTATGACTTCCGCGGACGCGACATGCCCATCTATTCCAGAAAACAAAAGAGAAGGTGCAAGCTAACCCACCCCCAGAAAACTCGGCAACGAAATAGTAAAAATCTACGCCGGTCCCTCATCCCACCTAATCATCGTCCACCACGCCATCCTCTGCGCCAAAATCCCCTTATTCGTCGACGTATTCGCCAAATGGGAAGGCGGCGCAGACCCCTACATGATGTTCCCACACGACGATGCGACTGCCTTTGAGGTGCTCATCGAATGGGTATACACTGGTCGACTCCGTCCAATTCATGCCGTCCCGTCTTCCCCGTCCCAAAAACTGGCGTGGGATCCGCTGGCGTTGTATTTACTGGCGAGTAAATTCCTCCTCCCGGTTCTGCAGGATAAGATAATGGATATCTGGGTCCTCCAACTCAGCAAGCGCACCCCGAGTCCGGACCAAGCTCGTCTCGTGTACGCGCAAACGCCGCCTGATTCACCACCCAGACGCCTTCTAGCGCAGTGTGTAGCCGGCATTATCGTATCTCAGCATAGACTAAAACTGGAGGACGTGCAGGCGGGCTGGAGTATTGGTGATAGCACGGCGTTGATTGGGGATGAGCCGGACTTACTGAACGATGTGTTGGCGGTGCTGAAGACGTATCCGGTTGATGTTGATAAAGGGGTGTTTGGGGTTCCCGGGTGTTATTTTCATGGGCATGCGGAGGGAGCGTGTTATAAGAGGAAATTGTTGGATACGAAGACGGTTTCGGAAGCGGGGTCTTCGAGGGGACATAGTTCGTCTTTTGGGTCGGGGAAGGAGAGGGTTGTTGCTAGTCCGAGGGGTTGGTCGGTTGGTAAGATTTCTGGGGGTTTGTGAGTGGTGTGTGCATCTATGAGTGGAGTTCTGACGGGCGTGACGAATTGCGTAATGATATCTTGGTTCACGGTTCTTAGATTGGAGCCTCGAATGATCTTGCATGGATTTTTAAACTGATGAGATTCGGAGAAGTTTCTCCCTGGTGTGTAGTCTTTGGAGAAGCGATTAGCGTCAAGTCATGGAACTGTCGTTGTTGGCGAAGCGTATTTCTGGAGACATCGGCTGGAGTAAAACGTATTAGCAGAACGAAGCATGAAAATAGGCTGGAAAGATATTTCAGATATCTTTTCAAGGGAAAATGACCATCTTAACTTATCTTCACTTGTTGATTGAGAAAAATTGAAGTCCAGGTTTGCTGCCGAGCTGTTTCGGTTTTAGGTGACCATCTGTGAGAGGAAAATGCAGAAAACTGATCAGTCAGCGTATGGGAACTCCGGCCTGTTTTTGGTCATTAGCCAGCATGGCCCAGCAACGAAAAATGGATATTTATTAAAGTGATACATCCAAAAGAAATGTTTTCATGTTCACTACGACGAATTGGCATGATGCCCCCGAGACTTGCATATACTTTACCTGAAGCACACCTGCATCTAATTTCTCATCATGCCTGGAAGCGTAAAGCCAGTCTATTTTAAAGCGCCAGCCAAGAGACCCTCCAATAACCATACGGTAGAAGGCCGATAGGATATACTCGTCCCCTTCAGGATTAGCTTTCCTCGCTTAAGCGGGAAAGGAGTAAGACGTTTAAATAAACCACCCCCATATAAGATATTCTTCCTCTATTCAAAAAGATTTAATAATTAGAATTTTTGAATTCAAAACTGTATTCTTCATGAAAAAATACCACTTACATTGTTCATTCTTCTATGGGTCTTTTCTGGAGTTCCTATCAAGCAATCGAGCAAGGGTCCAGACCCATCCATACCAAAAGCATGACCACACCGTCGTACGAATCTCACCACGACAAGAAATCGATTTCAAATCAACTACCACATTAGCTACCTATCTCGTAAAATCTCACTCTTCTCCTCATCCACAATCTAACACAACAATAGTTGAACCACCAAATGAAAGTCACAACGTCTACAGTAGCTCAGGGCCCCTCCCACGTGACACCCCACATACGACCCCTAAGTCCCGCCCAAGAAACTTTCCTTCGTATCAGGATGACGAAACCATCTAGATTTCCAACCCAACACCGGCACCCCACAGACAAGAAAGGCTCCCACACTTAGTAAGTGCTTGGTGAGCATACACCGCTTACGAAGAATAAGTCTACTCTATCCATTGGCCGATACCTCGACAATATGTGGGGCGTAGGATCTAGCTACGAAGCATGTTGGATATGGGCTTTCTCCGAGATATTCAACGGTATAGCATATCTATGGTATTGAATAGGATATAGCAAAGGAGATTGACGGGACGGATATCAATTGGTGAGGCGCGATTGAGCGATTGGTTAGGACAGCAATTGGAATTGAAGGACGACAATCAACATCAAATGCACATCCCCCTTTGGCTCTTCCTAGCCTCCATTTTTCTAGCATTTTCCATCCAGGACATGGCGAGTTTCCTGCGTGCTAGCGCGCGAAACCTAGGGTCCACTCGCGTGGGAGGAGGGGATATAAGAAGCTCTCTTTCTTTCCCCTTCAAATCCGTCTGCAACCCCTCCAAACACACCACACACAACATCCACACAACCCCAAAAATGGCCTCAACAAAAGCATTCATGGACGCCGTCCGCGTCCGCCGCTCCATCTACCCTCTCAGCAAGGATATCCCCATCCCCGTCTCCCGCGTCCAGGAACTCATCAAAGAAACACTCCTCCACGTCCCCTCGTCCTTCAACTCGCAGACCACGCGCGTGCTCCTCCTCGTCGGCGCCGAGCACGAGAAATTATGGGAGATTACCAAGAGCATCTTGAAGCCTATCGTGCCTGCAGACGCGTGGGCGGCGACGGAGGGGAAGATGGATATGTTTAAGGCGGCTGCTGGAACGGTATGCAAACCCCCCTCCTCAAATTATATCTTGAATTCGTGACTGACGTTGATTATGTAGGCCCTCTTCTTCGAATCCCGCAAAGGCGTATCAGAAATGCAAGCCAAATTCTCCGCCTACGCGGACAAATTCCCCGGCTGGGCAACCCAATCCGACGGCATGCACCAGTACGTGTTATGGACGGCGCTCGCGAACGAGGGACTCGGATGTAACTTGCAGCATTACAATCCCTTGATCGATCAGAAGGTTACGGAGACGTGGGGCGTGGATAAGGATTGGGAGTTGAATAGTCAGTTGGTGTTTGGGAAGCCCGGGGGTGAGGCGGGGGAGAAGAGCTTTATGGAGGTTGAGGGGGAGAGGTTTAGGACGTTTGGTGCGTAGGGAGGGAAGAGGATAGAAAGGGATTAGAGGTAGAATGCCGAGTAGATGAATTCAAGCGCTGAATTAGATTACGTTGTTGTCTACGTACCCGAAAAACTGCGCTGAGCCTAAAAAGTCAATGCCACCAAACCATCCCATCATCGAAAATCAAAACACCGATTCTACCCGCGCACGCTGTTCTTCCCGTAGGAAATGAAAACCGGAAATTGTTTGACCTATACACCAAATTCCTCGATAGTAGAGTAGGTAGATTCTATCAAAGTAGGGTATGTAATACCACATACAAACAACCCCTCCAAGATCACTCAAACGATAATCTCCCATCTCCATTCCCTTAACACCGCCAGAAACCACCTTAAAAAAAACCTCAAAATCACACATCCCACTACCACCTCATCCCACAACGCACCCTCATGCCACACACCACCCTCGCTTCCTAACCCTCCATCCACATCCCCTAACCCAATCCAACAAACACATCACACTCCAAAAGGCGTACGATAACCCTTCGAGAAAAAAAAGCCCCCTAGTACACCTTCATAATCACAATCACAATCCAAACCCCCAAGTCCCTAGTCGTATCCCCGAAAAAGAAAAAGAAAAGAAAAAAAGAAAGTGTAATCCACTGATTTTCTATATCTACAATATATCGCCAAGTTCCATCCATACTTTCCGGCATACGGACCGGGGGGAGGGGGGTTCAACTCGGCTGGTCAGACGGGGGTGGATGTTCCTAGATTTGAGGAATCAAGTGACTAAAGAAAAGAGACTGGTATGTGAAATGAGTCCTTTTGAATATATACGCGTATACATAATTAACCTCCCACGCATCTTACCTACCGATATAAAATACACCACCCTCCTCCCATAAATCCTCCCTCCTCCCATAAATCCCAGCAACAAAGCAAACTAGAGGACGTACGAGTAGAAAATGAAAGAAGCGTATATTACCCATCACTCTCCATCTCATAACGTTCACGTACAAGAAAGTATATTTTATATATTTATCTTATTTGAACCACCTATTTACCCTCCTCCCTCTACACCAAACATCAAACATCTCTATATACAACACCCTTTCCCAACCCCATCTCCCACCCCCCCTTCTTCTCCCAACATAAACCTTCTCATCTCATCTAAAGCGTCCTGGGTATGCGCCAAAAGTCCATCTATATAATCGCGCGAAACCACGAAT